GCCCACAAGTCATATTGACATTGATGGATCTTCGAGCGCCCTAAAACACAGTGGCCACCAGCAACCCAGATCTTGCAGCCAAGATCTCCGCCACGACACTGTTTGATTGAGTCAAACAACCGGCATCGGCTCCGCTCAATGAACGTTTGGAGGTCCGCCTGAGGTCCGGCGAGTCACGGACAAGAGTGGAGCTGGAAACGCGGGGAAAGGGAGGGTGTCTACAACTGCCCCGCCGGCCGGTCGCGGGTTTGTCCGGCAGGAAATCCTATTGAGTCGTCGCGGGGCGGACATGAGAATTCCGGGTCCAGAAAGGGAGTGTTTGAACCCGAACTGGGCGACCAGTTCCTTAGTAAATTAGTGCTAGACATTTTGACTCCCAGGCAAGACAGGTACTGAGTCGGATGGCAGCACCACCTTCCCCGCTGGATGCCAGTTCTGACTGGCCTCAACAAAAAATACCGCTGAGCGGTGTGTGTCAGATGCATCTAGGGCCCATTAGTGGCCGCAGGCCAACATCGCAGCAGCCAATAACAAATGTCTACGGTTCCTGATTATCGTGAGAACTGATCACTCTGCAGGTGGCTTGCAGGCGAGGGGTAGCATCGCTGTGAGCACACATGGCAGGAAGAAATAGAAAATGGGCACGTGTGCGGTTGTGATGCCGTGGGTGCTCGGACATGGAGACCGAAAGAGCAGGCAAGTCTGGGGAAGCGGGAGACGGTGAAGCTGTCGTGAACTCTCACCGACCAAACCGGTCCGGGGTTGATGCTTGGCTCAGGTGAAGCCGGCGTGGGTGGGAAGTTTACGCGGTTCCCCGGACCATGACTTTCTGCAAAACGACGGGGCGACGGGGCTTGTACTGGAATATGAATGTGTTGTTGCTGATATATTCACGTTCGGTCAAACATGCAAAGTTCCGACGCAGGGCGGCAGCCTGATGCCGGTATCGGTGGGATTGGAGCGCCATTTGAGTCAGAATAGATGCCGTCAAGGCGAGTGGTAACACAAAAGTCTCAGTCCTTCCAATGGCAGGCAGGTAGGATATCGAGGCAAGGGATATGTGCCGTGAAAGTTCATCAGGCAAGCTTCGACGCAATTGTGCGCGACAACCTGCGTCTGCGTGGCCGTGGGGAGACGCTGAGTTGGAGGATTGACAGCGGTGTGGGGGTTTATCGGGGCCCGAAGATCATTGGGTGACCTTGATCCGGGATTTTGATAGTGGTGCAAGCGCTCGGTGATTGATTCAGATGAGGCGCATACCGAGTACCTCAGCGCCCCGAGATAGGGAGGTAAAAAGATGTGACCCCCGCGGGCCGTGTGGAAAACGGTACAGCAGACGACGTGAGGAACGTGATGTGACGAAGTTTGTCAGTTCCGTTGCCTGGCTCTCATGTGCCAAAATCCGAAGCCTTGGTTATCCTCGCTTATGATGTGGGATGTGGAATATTTATGATCTTGGTTTGATGCGCTGGCAAAGCTGGCAAACTCGAACGACTAATCCTCAGTTAACAGACAGCTTGGTTTTGTATGACCTAGCTAGTGCAAGCTTGTTCAACTGACGGGGGCCGAAGCGGTGGTCGTCCGATGTTCTCAAGGTCCAAGAAAACATGGCGTCAGTTGAGGTGTCAAGTAGCGTCAGATAGCGCGGTGCATGAATTGAACGAAGCATTACGGGAGGCTCCCTTGAGCGGAGCTGTCCCAGGCGCCAGAATCTGCCCGGATTTGTTGCGTGCTGGGCCTTGGAAATCTGATGAGTGAACCATGGCGGCTTGGCTTCTTCGTCAGGGCTCGTAACATAAACCCCAGGGGCTTGACTCGTTAACGGCAGCTCAGCCACGACAGCGCCTCAACTGCTCATTTCGCCATACAGTATCACGGAGGTGACCCAAATTACGGACACTCTTCGTCCAATTGCGCTTGGAGAAAAGTTACATGCCAATTATAACCAGCCGGGTAACCTGGAGGAGGAGACCAAAAGGTACCATGATAGTGACCTGCTGAGCTTTCTTCACCTTTGTCGGCTTAGGGGGAGGTTTTAACGGGCATAGGGGAACCAGGCAGGAGACGACAATGGAGTGGTTGGCAGTCTGGGGCCTCTAGCTCTAGCGTCGGGGACAGGGGTGAAAGATAGTTAAGGGCAATACAAAGTTGAGAGGTACAGAAGCAATGCAATTAAAGTGGCAGCTGGACTTGCGTGACACGCCTTGTGACAGAGCACTCAAATCCATCGCTTCACGTGAGAGGCTGGCAAGTAGAGTTTGTGGTTGGCAGGAGCATTAGCGGGCAGCGATAGTAGACCGCACGGTTATGTTGGGACGGATGATGTGGCCGGGGTGGACATGGAAGACGCTTCCGGGGCGAACAGACGCCATTTCCGTCCGCATTGGGGGGCGCTGTTGTCTCTAGGGGCTCCTCTTCTCTCCATGTCGGTGCGTAAGTAGCAGCGGTGGTTGAAGTCGAGGCCGTGAGACAGGCGAAAGTTCGAGACGGCGGATAGTACTAGACAGCAACGCCTACTGTCGTCGGTGGTGTTCTCTTTCGCTCTGTCAACGCAGGCTAAGCATTCCTCATCCGTCTCGTGTTGAAGTGGGTTGGTGCCGGTCTCGTCGGGTGTCCCTCACAGGACTAAGATGGGCAGTGTGTGTGCGTACTGTACAGTCAGACGGTAGAGTCCAGTTAGTCAGTCAGCCTGTCTGTGAGGTATGGAGATGACAAGAGTATTGTACCACGCAGGCGTGTGCTAGGTGGGAGTCCAGACCGGGGTGGTATGCATGATCGCTGTGGCTCTCGCCCTGACTGTCGTACCCTTGGGCGGGACTAGCAAAAGTCGTGTTGAGGCGATGATGTCAAATTGCAGATTGTGCATTTTGTACCGTCGGAAACGACTCAAACGGGGGAAGGCGAAAAATATTGGCATTTGGGCACTGATGGAGTCAGATGGGTTTTCGTTTGGGGTCTTCCTTGTTCTTTGGGGGTGTTCCCCCTGGCCATGCTGCCTTGCCCTTCTGACCTGCTGGAAAGGTTCCGGTGTCCCCAGACCACAAGCGTCGTATTTCAGAGTCTTCCGTAGTAATAGTGTACTTTGCGCGGGAGGGGGTAAAGAGCGGATCGTATGAGAAAAATACGGGCTTTAATGAAACGAATACTGGATAGAAATGCATGGTATCAGACCAAATAAAAATGGATGACTGGAGAAAGGAATGGGTTAGCTGGGTTGAATGGGGTTCAATTGGAACAGCTGGAGAGGAGACTTGGGAACGAGGCGACAAAGAGGGACAGAGAAAAGACTGATGATCCCTGTGGCCCCGTACAGAGTAGTGCAGAGCACCAGGCCAGGCCTCCTCCAAGGTGCATTTGAGCCGCCGAGGAGTCGAGATACAATCGATTATTGCGGTAATGCGAAGATCAAGAGTATGGAATTGGTCAATCGGAAAGAGTGGGAGCGGGAGCGGCAATGTACCTACATGGTGTGACCCCCAAAAAAAGTTACTGTGTTTTTATTTTGTTTTTATTTCTTTTTCGGGGCTTGGCCATGAGCTTCTTTTTGGCAAGAGCAGCCATGCAGAAGCAGTTGAGGAGGGGCAGTAGGGTAAAGAAGATGGAAGGCGGGGCAGGTTTCTGTTGTGCGACATCGGGGGAGAAATGACGAACTGGCCTGGGCTTCTTCTTACGTCTTCTTTCTTTTTCTGTTCTTGATTTGTATCTTGATCTTTCCAAATGCGGACTTCCAATGAAGGCAACTGGAATGGTGGCTGTCTCTCAACGCTCATACCCAATATAACAAGGCATTCAGGAAATGCATCTTGTCGGGGAAGGAAAGGCGCAGATGGGGGGAGGGGGTCTTCTTTCTCACCTACACTAATGTGGCATCATTCATTCATTACACCATGAGTGTTCCTGCCCCGCGAGGACTGTACGGTGTGATCTGTTTAATATACACGGAGGAGATACTTGGTTGTCATCCCACTTTCTCTCTCTGCTTCTCGCCTTCCCTAGGCCAGCCCGAAACCCCACTACACCCTCGCATGCCTATTACCTGGTTTGCTTTGCCTTGCCTTGCCTGGTCTCTTTTTTTTTTTTTTTTCTTCGTTTGTGCTACCTACTGGCCCGCACTTTGGGGATCCCTCGGTCGGAAAGTGAGTTAGTTGGGTGAGGTGGCCCTGCCTGGGACGGCCTGGAACGTACCCGTACATGGCACTGTCAATTCCCGGCACCAAAAGTGCCACATATGGTAGACAAGGCCCATGTATCTCGACCTGGGGTGGGCCTTGTACCCCCCGGTACGTACCGAACCCCAAATTCGCCCACTGTGTTATTATTACTTGCAACACACTCGCCCCCCTTCCCTGCGGCTGCTCTTCCCGATTCTCGCTGCTGCTGCCGTTGCTATTACTACTTACTACTTTACCTTCCCGTACCCTTATGTACATTTGCCCATCAACTGGTTACTTCTTGCTGCTGCTGTGCTGCTACTGCTGCTGCTGCTTCCAGGCGCCTTGTGACCGGTGACCGCCGTCCCCTTGGCATTTCCCCATCCGCGCGGCGACTTCTTTTTGCTCACGCTGCACAAATAGTTAGAACATCAGAAAGAGAGGTACCTCGTAACTCTGACTCCTTCCCCCGACAAATACTCACGATCTCTCCGTCCTCCCATCTTTTAACTCCCCCCTCTACTCTTTCTCTCCTACTGCGCGTCCGCACGGGCTGCGACATAATACTACCAACAACACCGACATCGCCCCAACCACAGACCAACCTCTTCCCAACGAGTACCAATACAACCTTTCCGGTACCAAAGGACGAGCGTCACATCTTCGTCCCAATTTACTACCCCTCCCCTACAATACAAAGGGTCCTCCAGCCCTGCGAAACTCGGCGCCCACCGTCTGGACTTCACCCACACACCACCACCTGATATCTTCCCTCCGATCTCGTCTGGATCGCCATTTGGCTCTCAATTCCGCCTGCCCGCTTCATCTTTCCCAACGCCGTCCTCCGCCATGGCTCAGTCCACCGAGCCGCGGAGGCGGTTCGCTCCCGTCCCAATCGAGACTACCTTCGAATCCAACCGAAAGGCCCCTCAACACCAACAGGGACAGCAACACCAACAATCACAGCAACACCATCACCAGCCAGGCCCAGCACCTGAGCCCACTCCCGAACACACTCCCCGAACCCCCTCACCCAATCCCTTCGAGCAACAGCTACACCAGCCACCGTCGCAGTCGTCGCATCAGCTCTCTTATACGCTACAAGATGGCCAGGACAGGACGAGACGTCGATTTGCTCCTCAGCTCATCGAGACGTCGAGACGAGCCCGAAGAGTAGGAGATACCGGCCCCGCCACGCGACCGACGGACAAGACCGACATCACCCCTTACACGAATCATATCTACCTCCAGCGAACCAAGTCACGGAAGAAGATTGCTGATGACAGTGACTCTCCTGCCCCTCAACCAATCCAGCGCCAGCCCAAGGGCGCAAGACGAGAGTCGGAAGACGAGAATGCTGGCACCTACATGCTGGAGTGGGCTGCTATGGAAGCCGAGAGACAGATGCAGGAGGCGGCTCTAGCAGCCTTCCCCAACAGCCGTCCACGTGAGGGTGGCGCTGCTCATTTCTATTTCAGAGAGAGTTCCGGAGACGACAGTACTCCCGAGAGTGCCTCCCCGGAAGAATCGGGCGCTCAACCTAAGCCTCGCGGTCGCCATGCCCATGTGACCCGTCGTAAGTCGTCGGACTTGGGCTACTGGCATAAACATATGCAGGAGCATGCAGAGAAACTGGCTGTCGCAAGGGGTGAGCATGTCCCCGTCTTCGACGACGAGGATGAAGATGAGCACGACGACTCAGCGCTCGACAAAATGGAGCTCGATGGACCCCCTGATCCCATGTGGTTGACCAATACCAGGCATCATACTACTGATAGTAGCCCAAGAGGGCCCATTGGCGAGACCTACATGCCGTTGATTGCCCCTGATCCTGTTGTCGTCAATAATGCACCGCGGCCAGAGCTTCCTGCTCCCGAGCCGGTGAGTAAGCCTATTGGCGAGGCTACGATGCCTTATATTCCATCCACACCGGCCTGCAATCCTGCCGAGGTGCCTATCGCCAAACCCGCCCAAGTCGTTCCAGAGACCGGCTTCCGCAACGCCGGCGGTGGTGGATTCGGCAGACCCTTTGGAAACTTTGGGCTGCCCCCCGAAACCAGCGAATTCCGCAGGATGCGCAAGGCCGCCTCGCCGCCAATGTTGGGCAAGGATTTGGTTTTCCGAAAGTGCCCCTCCCCGAAGCATACAAAGCTTGAGCCGGACCACCCGTTCTCAGAGATCCCAACTCTCGAGGAGACGAACCGGGATGCTACGGGAGAAGCCGGATTATGGAGGGGCTACTGTTTCCGAAAGAGCGAGAGCGATCAGGCCATAGTGCCTGCATCTCTCCAGGGACCCAGAATGCTGCATACACCGCTGCCGCCCTCCACTCCTGGAGACCCATTTGCTGCAGCATTCGGAAAGATGACAGATGAACCTGGCTCCCACTATGCCTCCACCGCATTGACACCCAGCACCGCCGAACACCGCGGTCGCTCTGGGGAGGCCAAAGGTCTCCACATGCTTCACGGCCTCGAAGACCGTCTCAAGCGAGAGAAGGCTCTCGAGGAGAAGATTGCGGCCGAGTTCGATGACACCTTTATCACGCAGGTCTACAACTACCTGTCCCTGGGATACCCCGCGATGGCCCGATCCTTTGATGAGGAGCTTGCTAAAATCTCCCACATGAGCATTGAAGAATTGGAGGTTGATGACGCCAAGCAGATGGCGTCTGGCCATTTGATGGAGCCGGCAGAGGCCGAAATGGCGGAGGAGAAGAGGTGCCCCAGATGGAAGGCCCTCAAGGCGTACATTTATGAGTGGGCACGACAACACCCAGACCTGGACAGCCTCGACCCCCTTGCATGGGGCGTGCGAGAGAGGCGAGGCAGCTGGGCTATTTAGACGATCGGCATACGTTCGTGGAGAAATTATTATATTACGGGGTATAGGAATGGCGGACGACAACCTGACCAGACCAGACAGAAGAGAGGGATATTGGATCCTTTTGCGATACATGTAGCGCGTGTTCTACAAGGCGTTTCAGCACAGTTCTCCACTTGGAGGAGAACCATTCTTAGCAGCATTGCGAATTTTGGTGTTTCGATACGGGATGAGAAAAAAAAAAGGCGCGGTGGTGAAGAGTCTAGAACAGCATGAAGACTTGCATGGCTTGCATTTACAAAGTCCAGACGGTGCCTGTGGGTAGACCAAGTGGGGAAACAAATTCGAGACCAACAGAGAGGGGCATGGAGCATGGAAACACGGACGGGGCGGCTCCATGGGGCGGTAGAGAGGCCGAAGGCTGCACAAGATTCTTCCGCATGCGCGGGGTCTCGATGGATCACGGAGGATTTAGGTACAGACTGACACGAGCCCTGCCCAGTAGGGGTCTGTTCGAGTTTTAAGCGAGCAATGGAATTTCGGGGCGGATAAGGCAATGTGAATCAAGGGTGACGGCGATCGCCTGGTTTGACAACAGAGGTTCTTTGTGTTTGTGACTGCTCAGAACAATTGCCCAACTTGCCTTGATACTTCTTGTGTCTTTAGTCTGGCATACCGCAAGCTGTTAAGAAGACACCTGATATTTGTCACTATGTGTCTAACTAAAGGTGAAGATGGGTGGCAGATTCTTCAGGTGAGGCTGGTGATATGTAAGAGACGTGACCAAAGGATCCATTTACCACCAGGTGACCTTTAACCCAAAGTCCAAAACCATGCCACGGCTAGAACCGAAGCGAGTGTGAGCATATTGCTGCTATTACCTCATCTAACCAATAGCTGCTTTGGTTTCCAAGCAATAACCTTGCTGGCGTCACTGCCGCGCTTGCCGCGGGCCCCTGGATGTATACGCCCCGTCGGCGGCCTGGTTCCCGCACGGTTGGTTAGTGATTATTTAGCTTGCTATGTTTTAGCTCCGGTGGCTGGAAACAAAAGTAGTATCTTTTGAGGCTTTTTGTTTAACTTAATGGTCTTTTATGTCATGGCAGCTTTCGGTCTTTGATATCTTGGGCTGTGGAGTGATGTTACTGTTCCGCACGAATCCTTTCTTATCTCTAGAAGATAGCGGTATTAACTGGCTTACCAGAATACAGACCAGCTCTGGTCCGCCAGTCAGGTGTCTTCGAAAACCAATGTCTGCCGTAAAAAAAAGATCGTCCAGTCTTATTTGAGGGGTGTTCCGCTTAAAGTCCCCTCATCTCTCGCACCCTGTTGAATAATGACTGGAACAGCCTTCGTATGAAGTTATTAGTGTGAGAGATATGGCTGAAGACCACTGATAACTCTTACGGTATGAACGCATAGCTATTGTGACAATCTACTGGTCCTCCACACCTACTGACTAGGCATCGGGAGTTAGCCCAAGTCAAACTGTGATGGCTTCCTTTTTAATTCGGTGACGAATGTCCAATATGGTTTATCTGCCTAGTGACTTTCTACTAACCAAGGATCACCATTCATATACCATTGGATAGAAGTGTATGGGCAGGGTTTGCTTTGCGATATCAACATTGGAGAGAGCGGGCTGCGAGCAACACATAAGCCTTTGTACTGTAGATCTTTATATGTGCCACCTATTTGACACTGGAGTTCCCATGTTGCGAGTAAGGCTCGGCACTACCTTAGTGACCAACAAACTACTGATCACCAGTGTAGAACGCAAAAACGTTATCAATGCCCGTTCCAACCTCGTCAGGAAGGCAGCAGTCGCCTCCGCGGTGTTTCCACCAGGCAGTGCTACCGGTTTCGCTGTTCTTGCTTCTGACGACGATCAAATTGCAGTCGTGGGCGGTCCGCAGGTATCCGGCCGGCGAGACAAGCAGCCCGTCCTTCTCGTGCGAGTACCAGTATCCATCCTTCTGGTCGTACGCGAAGCCGCTGCAAGAGTCGTAAGTCGGGACGTACCATCCCCCCCAGTTTCTCGATCCGGCAGTGGACCCGAAGTTGCGGTTGGGCATGTCTCCCTGAACGCACTGTTCGGCGTTCTTGCAACGCGTCCAGGTGAAGGCGTTGACGTTTCCAACCGCAAGGGCCGTGACGAGGAGAATTCCGACGTTGGAGTGGAACATTTTGGTATGTTTGAAACTGACGGTGTTAGCAGGCTTTTGTCTAAGAGAATTGGGACTCTTACGAGTGAGCAAGTGGTTGAGTGGATAAAGACTATTGGATTTGTTCTAGTTGATTTTGAAGCGAATGTTTTTGAAACCAGTGATTGCAAGCGTGGTTGAGGAAAAGATTTGATTTGATGTGAGGACATGAGTGAACCTTTATAGTTGCTCATGATGAACCACGGACTGAGGATTGCTACGGATTCTTGACGCTATTACACAAGTTTGTCATAAGGTTTAAATCAAATGAATTTATATGAACTAGCTGAGAACTTGTGGACACTCGCATGAGCTTCCCACGACGTCGTGTCAGAGTACTATGAGGCGCGGCTTGCGTGTAGTGACGCCTTGGACTGCTTGTCCCGGCCGAAGCGGCCGACATGTGGGCTATTGACTATCGAGAATCGAGTATTTGCCGCCTAAATGCTCCATAAGAAAGGAAGCATGTTCTTCGTGGCCAAACTATTCTATTAGCATACGAACGGTTTCTTGAACGTTGAATCTAGAAGGTACTGGCGAAGGAGAAGTTATATGTGAGCTGAAACTACGCCCAATAGCCCTGGTATTCCGTCTACCTAACTCCAAGTGAAAATGAAGCATAGCAGCATTGCTTGTTGTCGCAACACATCTTTCATTTCATGACAGAAATCAAGTGGCATTGGCAAGTACATCTCTCGGCCGAATGCGTCTTGGCAAAGTATCCGTAAAGCTATGATGCGTTCACAAGCGCGGGCTCAGGGGTATTCTAACCCACACAAAGTCCGTAATACAAGAGCCGAGCCACTCGGACGTCGTTGCCAGGCTGCCAGAGGCTTTCTTGGCGTGAGCTCGTCGGTGGCCGCGGGCCCATGCGACCATCGTCGCCACTTTGTATGTTGTTTTCTAGACTCGAGTCCGGGAATTGAATGATGGCCTATTCAGGAAGTCTAAGCGGTTACTCGAGCACGTCCCGCGTTGGTGGGTATGGGCGAAAGAAGTGATTACCTATCAACGCCGGGATGAAAGATGGTCAAGTCTCACATTAACAAGTCATCTTTCAGGATTTGATTGAGAGGCCAAAATTTGCCAGCCCTTTCTATTTTATGCCTGGCGTCCCGGATAGTGTGGATATGCCAACTTTCACCCACGGAATATCGACTCCGTGGCGTTTAACAGTATTGGGGCCCCAAACCTCAAAACTTAACGAAGATAAGAAAACTGTTGTATTCATGCGGCAGTTTTGTAGGACCACGGGCACCCAAGAACAAGAGTAACCCAAGTCGTGGAACAGCACTTCGAAAACGCCATTCTCGTCTATTGGTACTTCCTTGAGCTCAATCTCAGCGTCCGGCGCTACGTTGTTTAGATTCCCTTCAAGTTACCTATTACGATGGGTGGACAGAAATAAGTAGGCCATCTTTTAAGGTTACAATAGCAGGAAGAGGCATCGCTGAACTCGTGTTGCCAACATTTAACCATAATTATCTTTGTTGTATGTTCCTGCACTGCTCATTGCATGTTCCGAGGGCAGTCAGAAGTACTGTCCTTGTTTCGTGGTAGAAATCTCATTTTGTTGTGTTCAAATATTTGATTTGCTAAAACTCCCTCTGTTAGACATAGGAAAGCATTGGTGTTCAAGCCGTCGATGGCAGTTGGTATCAAAATGGCCTGTGGCGCTGCGATCCATACAGACATCGCGCGCTTAGATTGAGGCTCAAAAGTTCTTTCAACAGTCAAACATTCTCTTATATGAGAACACCTGTTCCAGCCCTCGCGGACTCCAAAAAAGGGAGTGTGGCTGTACTCCAGTAGCGCTCTAAGACCAGTCAGGTGCATGGGTGCTCATCCTCCTATTGGACGTCAGCCAGCAGGACAACAGGTTGTGGGTTGTGAGATAACTGTTTCCTGTAAGCCATTAGGCTGACAGGCTGTGCAGTTACTGGTGGCGATGCTAGCATCATACAAGGCTGACTAGAAACGATCTTTCTGAACGCATGCCGATATTAAAGACACGATGGCTTTCCAACTTCATCAGGTTGGCACCACAACCAACTCCAGTTTCTGTTAGCAACCTGGAAGCGTTCATGCCGCCACTATGGCGATCGACAGCCGACAAAGCTTTCAAACATGCACACCGCCGTCGCTAGCAAAACCTCTTAATGCATCCGGTGACATTGTGGGCTATGGAGTAAGGCCACGTCTTGTGTTCAACCGCCTGTCATTCGTGTGACATCTGGCTAACAAGTGCTTCTAGATCTTGGCGGCTTTCCTAGGCACTGCGACCATTACCATTGTCGCTGTCCTCCTGGCTTATTTCTTCGAGGCCATCGATGATGACCTCTTAAACGACATGGATGGCAAAGTCATCGCTTCGGTTGGGTGGAGCGGTAGATCAGCTGCGCGGCAAGCAGACATTTCCCCTGCTGACAGGGAGAAACATGCTCGCCTCCGCGCGAAGCGTATCCGTTCGTTCACGCAGTTCATTCTGGCACTCAGCGATCAGCAACTTGTAACTGGGTTAGCCATCTTGATCGCGGCCGTCTCGGGCAAAAACAAACTTTCAAAGTTCGAGTTCTCCGTCGCACACAGCCTTGCCTGGTTCTCGTCCACAACACACCTGGCAACACTAGACGTCCTCAGGCCCGCCCTGCGGAGCCAGAATCCTTGGATGCTTCATACGCGCGTGTTTGGAATGGTGTGTGTTTTGGCCCTTTTGTTGTACACCTCAGTCGAGCTTGCGTTGATGGGGACTCCCTCGAGCGCATTTATTCCCTGCGCGGAGGACAAGCAAATCCCTCAGAATCTCCTAGCCACCATCCCTACTATGTTACTCATAGTCAGTGGCTACATCATCAGATTGCAGGATCTTTACTTTTACGGACGGGGTCCTGGGCCGCTTCTTAGCTTTCTGCGAGCTCTCAGGCTGAAAGAACACAAGTCTCTTACATATGGTGACCTTTATGCGAGGTCGCTCGCCAATACTCGTTGCGACTTACTGATGAGGTATAATCTTATCTCTGGAAGACGCGCTGGTAGGGTTTCTGTGGCCTATTTCTGGGGCTACCTCCAGTACGGCACTGCCTTCCTTTCCACGCTGCCAACTATCGCATTCAGTTTCCTTTACGGCATTGGCCAGCTTGTCATACGCTGTTGGGTAAAGGCACCCAAGTTGACTCCCGAGTCTCGGGAAATGGGGTTTGGCCAAATAATGGCATTATTTCTGCTCATTCTGCCGATTCTCGCGGCCGGAGAAGTCTTTACAGGTAATTGACCACGGTCCTTGCACTGGAAAATCACGCTAATTCGATGCAATTGAAGGCAAAAAGGATGACGGATCTAAGATGGATAATTCGCAGCAAGAAAGTCCTAGGAAAGGGGATCATGATGAAACAACCACTAGCGATGTTCTACCGTCACATGAGACAGGTCACGAATATGACATGAATTTTGAGGTTATAAAGAAATACCTGTTTACGACAGCTAAACAGCCGAACGACATACCGGAGCACCGGAGGGATTTTTTGCTTGAGAGATACAAAGTTCTGAGAACCACAGAACACAGAGTCGGCTTCGGTTTCGCGTTCGGATTCCTTTCGGTTGACCTACTTTTTGGCGTTCTGGCAGCTATTTTGCTGCTTCCTCTTGAACTGTCAGAGGTTGCAGGAATCATGGTATTCAGTTTTTGGATAGGTTGGAGGGTCGTGTTTCAAGGCATTGAGCTTATATCAAAAACCACTAAGGCCTGGGGTTGTAATGATGCAGAGAAGATATACAAGGAGACCGAGGAGTTGATAACACTATATAAAAGTTGAGGTATTACTCGGGGACAAAAAAAGAAGACTGCTAAATATCGCCGACATATAGCAATAGCACTAATATCTTACCAAACGGAGAGCGGCCTCAACCATGTTGGTTTAAGGCATCTGACCCAAAGTAGAAGTGCTGCATGCTCAAAATCGAGGCGCCGGCCTCTTCTCTGGTTGCAGCGACCTTCTTTATACACGTATGTTCCTTCAAACTCTGCCTCCTGACAGAATGACACAGCACATCCCGGAACCCTGTCCCTTTGGCTCACATCATCGACAAGACTTTCCGAAATAAACCAAATCGAGAAACCGCGTATAACTTGAGGCGTAAACGCCCTCGGCAACGATCCAAAACCCGCCAGAAAAGCTAGGCAATCTCCCATGGAACCCCTTTGAACGTCTCTGGATCGCTGGTGCCGATGTGCAAATCTGGGTCATCTCCCGCTCCTGCCAACCAAACTTTTGATACAATCGACTCCGCAAGGTCCGACTATACAGGATGACAGCCCTCATGCGGCTCCCTGACGCCGATGATGAAACCGTCACATTGGAGGGGGATTCCCCAGATTCGGAGGCGCAACCCTGTAACCGACCGACCTTGAGACGTTTCAGCGAATCGTTGTGGTGGGGGCGCAGCCTAAGTTGAGCTAAAAAACTGCATCCAAGCACCCCTGTCGGTCATTCTGGCGACTAAGAGAGCTGACACAGGTCACAGACTTCGGCCTTCTCCTTAGCCTCCTGTTTGGGCCAGGGCCGCTTCTACCTCGACAATCCTTTACGAACAATAGCAGACGGCGTTAAAGGTCGCATCTCTGTGTGTGGAGAGTTTTGGAAGAGGGTTTGCGCCACAAGTTGCATCAAGCTTAATTTCGTCCTTACCGAGCGCCATACGATGTTATTCCCTCCCTCCCCTTCTGACGAGATGGATTTAAAGGCCATCATGACGCCCGGCTCAACTGTGTCTCTTAACTTGAGACTCTTCATCTCATTCGTTCACTTTTACTTCCAACTTTGACAACCTTCTCTTCGTTTTTGGCTGGTCCTTCTTAAGTGTTTCTTTAAACAACTTAAACTTAAAATTATTTTCGATTCTTCAACCGATATTTCCCTCTTCCACAGCAAACATGAAGTTCACCGCCGTTCTCTCTCTTGCTCTCGCCTCCGCCGTCGCGGCCATGCCCACCGAGGACCTTTCTAAGCGTCAGACTGTCCAGCGTGGCCGTCAAACTCTCGTCTTCAAGGAACAGGGTGGAGTACCTGGAAACGAGTGCCTCACCTTCCGTAACAACGGTTAGTTGATCCAAACTCAGATGCACTTACACACGTGTCAAATGTCGTTCTAACAAACATCAGGTGAAATCGTCAACGCCGCCTGCGTAAACACCGCTGCGGACAGACAGATCACGCCCTCCACGAGAAATGGCAACAACGTTCTCCTCGTGCAGCGCTCCTTTAGCAACGGTTTCCGTCCTGACCTCGTCAACAAGGAGGTCTGCGTCGGCTTCAACGGCACTGCGTTCCGCGCCGAGGACTGCGCTGCGAGAAACATTGAGTTTGTTTCCCAGAGCGGCAACAACCTCGTCTCAAGTAGCGGTGCTTGCTTGAACGGCCACGATGACAAGGCCCAGGTCACTGTGTCCGAGGCCGGCCAGAACTGCGCCAGATTCACTACCACCGGTGTCAGAGCCACCGCCCCGTAAAGGGATTGTCTGGGGCGTTTTTCAGGGCGATAGGCAAGGGTTCTTTGAGGTGGAACAATTGAGTCCTATGGGGCCAGGTTGGGGCATTTTGAGGTTTAATGCTGAAGATAGATCTTCGACCTAATTACTACCAATGGAAAAGAAGCGTCGTGGAAGTGGTGAAGAATTAAAAAATGAAATAAAAAAAAAGTTGTCAAAAGCACGCCACGGTCCCTGCAGTGTACTTGCTTAGACCATGGCTAAGCCTCAAATCAGAACTTGGGCTGTGTAATGCATGATTACTGCACCTAATACACACAGAAGATATCAGAAAACCATTGGGTAGCGGTTACTTTCTGTAAAGTACCAATCACACGTCACCTGCAGTATGACCTGCAGTCACATCGCAGCCTGATTTCAGACTCTGCTTCACTGAGCTTATGACTGGGGTCAACAACATTCGCCATCAAGTGTTTATCAACCACGCAACGACCGGGGAAGCCTCTCAACCTAAGATAACAATCTCCTCTATCCTGTTATATGCTTTCGTCGTCATGTCGCGATGGCATGATAAGGATTGTCTTCGGCCTCGGGTCGAGGCTGAAGACGGGACTCCAAAGTGTCTCAATTGCGGCCGAGCCACTCATCTGGCCGATCTCAAGGCATGCGGCGCCACGGCAAACTCAGCCGCACCAGTTCCTGTAGAAAAGCCATTTGGGCAAAGGAACCTGTGGTGGCCACCGTCCGTGCCTTACCGACGCGCGGAAGAGGGAGCGGATGAACAGACGGGTGAGGCTGATGGAGATTCAGAATGGGAAGATCTTTCTCAGCAGATGACAAATGGGAAGCCCGAAGAACATACTTTGGCAGTGAAAGCAACGCCATTGGCATCAAACATGTACTCTGAAACACTCAAGCCAGACGAATTTCGTCTGGTTTGCATTTCAGCATCTCGGAACCTTGACTGTTTAGTTCACTTTGATCTGGAGGTATACAGCCTTGATGACTGCCCTGAATATGAGACAGTGTCTTACACATGGGCCGGAGAAAACGACGACAGCATGCTCAGTTGCCCGATCTACATCGGTGACTATTGGGACGTTATGCTACAAACCAAGAACTGCTGGGAGATGTTGCACTTCATACGGCCTCTTCAAGGGAAGCGAATGGTTTGGGTGGATGCGGTCTGTATTAATCAGAGCAACATCCCAGAGCGGAGTAACCAAGTCGCCAACATGGGCCGCATATACTCAGGGTGCTCCCGTGTCATTTTGTACTTGGGCCCCGACATTGCTATGCCTTTAGAGGGCAGATATCCGCGTCGTCGCCGACTTCATGAGTTGGAAACCGGATCTGTTGTGCCGGAGTTTTCTCGCTCACAAAAACCTCCTCGTCCCCTCACATTACGAAGTCTCCTTGGAAGACGTTACTTCTCTCGCATGTGGGTGATCCAAGAGCTTATCCTATCCCCGCAAGTGGTGATTCGTGTGGGTGATGTTGATTTCTGGGCTGATGCGGCCATGTCGAAGGTCATGTCTTTGCGAGTCGCAGGATGGGCGTGGGAGGAAACTGCTGCTCCCTGGGTCCAGTACCTATGTCAAGGCGCCATTATGAACAAGGATATGTCGCAACTCCTTTTGATGAGTTCAGAGGCACATGCTACCGACCCGCGCGATAAGATCTTCGCGTTGTTAGGAATCCTTCCCAGAAGCGACGAGTTTGGGCAAACAACGCCGCCTTTGGCTTCTGGGAACCATTGGTTGTCAGTTACGACGTCTCCGAGTGAAATTCGAGCAGATTATTCTCTCTCATTTCAGCATGTTCTAGTTGGATCTTTTGGGCACTGCTTGATCAACTCCAATGACTCTGATTTCCTCTATCAAGCGCTTGGTGTGGAAGCCCCATCTGGGTATCCATCTTGGACCCCTAACCTGGAGCCTCGCCGAGCTGGAAGTCGACTATTTCAAGTTCCTGGGTTTGACAGTCAGTATGCATTCAACTACATTTGCAAATATGCACTCGATAAAAAGGTTATACGACGAGGAAGATTCTTAACGTTCCATCATCTTGTAGGACAACAGCACAAATATATTGAGGGCGGGAGGCCTTGGGACTGTGAAGCACATCTTAGTGTCACCACGGGATCCTTGAATATCAACCTCACGCAATATTTCAAGATAGACGAATTACCGGTCCGCGTTTCCAAGCTGGGAAGATATTACATTTTCAAATTGCCGCGGAGTATACACCCAATCTACATCTTCTCGGAATATGAACTGGATACGATCATGGGGAAGCAGATACAGGGCGAGGAGGTATTTATCCTTAAAATAAGGGATCAGCCTATCAAGTACCTGATTCTACGCCCTATCGAAGGCTCAAAAAACTCCTTCAAGCTTGTTGCAACTTGCCCCTTCTTGTTCGTTGTCGAGCATTCAAACACCATGAGCTACAGCAGCGACTGGCACGTCAGCTACGACCTGGCGGATGTACAGCTGGCACGCCTGCAGTTAAACCTGTATGATTTACTCTCTCGTGTTCAACATTTGCTCAAACAAAATCTCAACGTCGTCGACTTCGAAAACAGAGGTTTTCTCATCCGCTCTTTTTTTCCACATGCACAAACACTCAAAGACATTTTATGGCCATGCGTTAGTCTTTTCAACCTTCGCGAATCCAGGGGTTTGATGGCAGGTGATATTACCTCGTCTGAAAAATTTGAGAAAGATTACCTTGAATGCGTTCGATCGAAATATGACGTGGAATTCGACCAGGAATACATCAAGTTCCGCATCGAATCGGCTGCCTGGCAACAACAAGAGTTGTGGCGGCTTTACGTCGGAGAGTCCTCCCCTTGGCTACAGCAAGTAGTAAAGAACTATTACGATGATTGCGAAGGTCTCTGGATCTCCCTGACATCTCGTGTGGCATACCTTACTTTTCCGACGACACATAGCGGGTGGGCTGTGGTGCGTTGCCGAGCCACTGAACTACGCAACTTGGCATATTCTGGCCGGCAGATCAATGAGTTGTTCCAATGCTTGGGGCCTCTTAGTCATGTGGCGCAAGAAACTGGAGAGGACATCAAAAGCTTGTTGACCAGGGAGCCGAGGGAGGAGGATCGCTTTGTCGGCTGTGCGAGTTGGTCTGGGCCTTCTGTATTATTCAATAATTGGAAATTCCGAACAAAGCTGGGAATGTTTGGGAGTACAAATATGGTTGAGATTCTGTAAAGAATTCGCGGCTGTGGTAGTCGCGACTCAATAATAACTACTTCCAAGTTCGTTTATGCTAATTGTCTTTACCAGCTTTGGTTATCAGACTCCACAACTAGGCCACATTAGCCGGATTTTCAACATCGTCAACACTCCAGTAAAGGTACTTTTCTTAAGGCCATCCGAGCCAAATTCTGTGTCTTCAAGTATGCGCGCATCTACACCTCCGTACTAATTAATTCTAAGTTACCGCTGGATGCCTTGTCGATCTTCTTTTCATCTCGTTGCATGGTCGCAGGAGACTCCTCACAGTCGTACCACAGTGCTTTTATTCTGTTGGTGTAGTGCCTTACCATTGTGATTGACAGAATCCTAACAAAGCACATTAAATTGTCAGTGTCTCTGTTCTGGAAAATATGTCAAACATTCCAATAGGCTTACAACGCAACCCAAAGTTTCCCGATTAGAGCCAAGACCGCGACAATTCTCAGAAGGCCCTTTGGTGCGTCGTCTAGCACCTGAATTATTTTATCCGGGATATGATGCAAATACCTTTAATAGTCAGTTACTGTTCATGGAAATGAAAAGATGTGAAACTTGTACAGCTGAGTTGCCAAGATCATAAGCAACACCTTACTTCCGCGGCAATCTGAGGGCGGCGTTACCATGAAGGATACGAATTCGGACACAATTATCAGGCATATTAAGCCCGTAAATGCCGTCTGGAGGAGCGTGAAAGGCCATAGAATTAGCTCTCCAGAGGTCATCTCGAGAGATTGCGGGACATACAAGCATGAAGAGCTCATCTAACCGATACGTTTCCTGTTCGACGTAAAGGCGAGCAGAGGTGTAAAATAAGCTGCCGTTGAAGAGAGCGAGAATAAGGCAACCCTTGGAACAAACATATAGGCTATCTTGGATTGCCAACACCTTGATTCGTCTGAATGGAACCCCAGGCGCAGGCTCGCATGCTTGTTTGTTAATGACGACAATAAACACAAAGTATAGTGTCATCAACAAGGCGTTTCGATCTATAAGAGTCAACATTGTTTCTCGGGGGAAGGGTAGTGATGCGAAGAGGAGATATTTGGAGCCCTGTACTTTCGTATGTGTTGTCTTATAACGCAGTGTGACTTATGGCGGGGCATGCGATGACGAGTGCCGAACTTCCCTTGGCTTCAAGCTTAGTAGATGATCTCGCCCGGTTGGAGTGTGCCTCGGCGACGCAGGTACCCTTGGCATTGGCAAAAGCTCGGCCGAATCTGTCATAGCCAAGACTGGTTAAGTGACTTTAATTGATATCTGACGCACATAGTGAATTTGGCTAGTTTCGTAGAGTATAAGATCTCTCAATAGATTTACTGATTTTACTTGGAGGTCGAAGGATCGCGATTATCAGTAGAGAAGTTTTGAATCAAAGAGGGGAGCCTATGAGTCTAATTGGATGACTTAAAAAGAAACAACTGTGAAAAGAGAATAGTCGAGAAGGAGTTAGGCATATAGATCATAATGTCTCCCGAAATAATTACTTTAGAAGATGAATGCTCACTTTCAAATATCCTCGCAGCGTCCAGATTCTCGTAGCAACCTTTCCTAATTTCCCAAATAACTGCTAGAAAATCCCAATTGGGAATCTCCAGCTTGCAAAAAAGTAATCATCTTAAAAAGACGAAGAAAAGATTGGGAAGGCCGGTTGAGCTATATATCTTGTTTGCCCAATCTTAATATTTCTTGCATAGGTAGATAGTGGCCAAACACTTGACCAAAACTGTCTTTTCATTCGCCAAACAACATAGTCTCATAAATTGATTCTTCTTATCCATCTACCACGACGATGGAGCAAAGCTCATTACATTCCAATCTCCCTGGGCATCATGACAATCTACCTTCTCAATACGTAATATCGCGTCTCTTCACACAAGTTCCAGGCAGAGACTTTCTTGAAAAGCACCCCTCACCAACACAATCCAGCTCGAAGAACCTCACAACCTCATCAGCCTGATCCGGGATGTTGTGGTCAACCCCATGCGCAAGGAACGATTCGAAAAGCCCCCTCTTTCCATAGACGCTCTTCGTCCATCCTTCAACAGGGTTGTTCTCCACAACCTCCGTCGGGGTCTCGCTGAGCCCCAACACCGAAGTCCACATCTTGATCTCCTCGCGAAAGTTGGTGACGTTGAGCACGTCGTCCACATCGCCGTGCAGAACCTGCATCTTTGGCCGCGGGCCGTCGTACTCCGGATACGCCGCCTTGACGATCGCAGCCCACTCTTCGCCGGTGTGCGTGATCTGCCCCTTGGCACAGGCATCAGACCACACCGCGTAGCCGTCGGCCGCGTAACATCCGAACGGGACGCCGGCAAAGGCAGACCCGGCGGCGAAGACGTCCGGGTACGAACCGAGCAGCACGTTCGTCATCATCGCGCCGGAGCTGGTGCCCAGGGAGAACACCCTGTCCGGGTCGACGTCGTAGTTCTCCAGCGTCCAGCGGACCATGCTGACGATGCCCAGCGAGTCGCCCCCGCCGTCGTGGCTGAGGGTCTGCGGCGAGGAGACGTCCCAGCAGTTGTCCGCTGTCCAGGGCGACGAGGGGTAGATCGTCACGAAGCCCAGCTTGTCCGCGAGAGGCCGCCAGGGTTTCCAGTCGAACGCGTTCTGGGCGGTGCCGTGGCACCAGTGCGGGAAGACCAAGAGGGGCGCATTGGGGATGAGGGAGTCTGGGACGTAGAGGTAGAAGGAGACGTTTGTGGGGTTGGGGCCGAAGTCGGTTATCTGTTGGAGGTTTGCTGCCGTTGCCAGAGGAAGGGCGGCCGTGGCCCAAGAGATAGGAGACCGCATTTTGTAGGATGATTTTCCTTTCTTGGAAAGATTGACTGACTTGAGAGATCCGGTGGAGAGAGATCAGAAGAACAACAACAACAACAAGTGAGTGGATGAGGTGGGTTGCGAGGGCACTTTTATGCCCTTTCGAGATTTGCCCCCGGGGTCCCCGCATGCGGCTAAAGGAGAGGGCAACATCTGATAATTGGCAATGCCAGCGCTCCTCTCACTGGTCAGGCGGCCGATTAAGTTGAATTGAGGTTGCATTTGCCGTGCCTGGTTGGCGGGAACGAGGTCGTAGAGGGGATCACTGGTGGATCTGGACATGGAGTTTCGTGCCTCCGTATCCCAAAGCGGGAAATGTGGAGCCGTTGGGAAGCCGGTGAACCGGGATGGATCGGTGAGAGAGACCCGGAACACCGCAGGCTGTATGGATGAATTCTTGGTCTGGCCGAGGGAGGGAGTTGCTTCAAAGAGAGGAGGCTAGGTAAACCGCATACGGAAGAAATCAATTGGGCCGATTCATGAATTGTGAAAGAATCTCCCGGCATGTAACGAAGCACCAGACATGATTCACTTTGTAGCCAGTTCTTTACAGAATGTTCACCAAATACCCTTTCTTGATTGACCGAAACTCCATACAACGCATTTTTTTGCCCTATTGCACAATATTATGTCAATTGTCGACCGAGCCAAGTCTATGTGCCGTTCTACCCCATCCATCTATGAACCGCCACGCCCCCGTGGCGACTCGTCTCTCATTTTCTCTTTGCGAAAGAAGATGCAGTTTTCCGAAGCTTGGCCGGCGGCGCGGTCTCCGCATCGCTGTCATCATCGTCGTCCATGGAGTCCTCAACATCATCGTGGTCGACCTCATCCTCGTCAACGTCCTCCTCGTCGTCGCTCTCGTCCTCTGCCGCAGCAACGTCGTCATCCTCGTCATCGTCATCCGAGTCTCCAATGAGGCCGTTTGTCGTGGGGATCTCGTCGTCATCCTCATCGCCGAGCAGCGCATTTCTTGAGCCAACGCCGTTGGCCATGTCAAGGTCTTCCTCATCCTCCTCGCCTTCAACGTAGATGGCATCCTCATCCTCGTCGTCTTCCTCTTCATCACCATCCTCAATCTGGTGCGCGCGACTTCTGCGCGACCGCGTCTTTCTGAGCTGCATCTGCGCCTCCAACATGTCGAGCTTGCCCTTGAGGGCCAGGAGACTGGGCAGACCCCGCGAGCGCTCGTTAAGCACTTTTTGCAGGGAGACCAACCGGTCAAGGACCTTGGGCTGAACCGCCAGTGCGCCGCCGTGTGCGACGAGTGTCCATTTCACCCAGGTCATGAGGCTGCCAGCACGGCCGGGCCGCCTGTGGAACCTCGCGGCGAGCTTGGTGAGGAGGACGCCAGCGAGGCTGCTGTCGAGGCGCTCAATTGTTTGCTGAATGGTCTCGAGGTGGGTGATTTGCAAGCACGACTCAAGAAGGTCGGTGTCTTCGGTCTTGAGCGCCTGGGTGAGGACGGTGCTCAGGGAGGATAGGGACGGCGGGGCAAGGCTCTTTCTCGAGGAAAGGGGAACGACGGCCTTGGTGTTCTCTCCTTGTTGCGAAAGAATGGCAGGGACGTCGATTGTGCCTCTCAGCAACTCTCCAAAGGTGGGGGATCCGGCTTCATCTTCAGACTCTGCGCCATCGGCATCGGTCTTTTGTTGTGTTTGTTTCTCGGCGGCAGCGTTCTCCTTTCCGTTCACGTTCTCCTGTGCTTCACCGCCCTCAGCATCGGGGGATTCCATCTCCTCGTCCGAAACATCTTCCTCGCTCTCCTCGTCGGAGGAAATCTCGATTGGCTCGGCGTTATCCTTGACGGCGGCTTGTAACGAGTCTGTTGCGGATACCGCAGCTCTGCTCTCATCAATCGTCGTCTTGGGAGCTCGAATAGTCGGCTTGACGACGGGTGGCGCAAACTTGCCAGATGACCTTCGCTTGGCAGACATTGTGGCGGTTTTGGGGGTATCTTTTGAAGGGAACGGAGGTCGGGTGGGAGAGTAGGAAATTTGTCGATCAAGGGCCCTCTCCTCCAGCAACGACACCCGAACTTTTTTTTTCTGCCGGGTTGCCAATTTTTTTTTTCCGTTCGGCGCACACGACCGCCCGCGGGGATGCTGACATAAGGATTTTATGGAGCAGACTGGACCCACCAGAAGAGAAATGGTGACGGAGAGGGATCAGAGTTTCTCCGAGGCACCGGCAAAGCTTAGCTAAGACTCATTAGGTAAGAAGCCGGCCATCACGGTGCACGGACGTGAAGCCTGTCACGTGGCGGAGGCCGATAACCTGGACCTCTGCACATGTCATACTCTTCCGTCAAATTTTCTTCTCACACCTTCCATAGCTTGAACCTGGAAGATGGTTGATGAGTCGCCAAAGGAGACTTACTCATATTGTTGCCGCTTGCTTTCTTCCAAGTGTTCGGTCCGGGAGGGTCATTACTCAAATTCTAGAGATGTTCTCACCTCGTGGTCTGCTTACACGCACGGCCTTGCTTCTACATAAGTCTCATACAGAAGCTGAACTTAGACGCGGTAGCTGTGCGTTGAGCCCAAAATTTTGATGGAAGCTATTCGCGAAAACGCGGAAGCCATGGGCTTGAGGTAGCACGCCAGTTTACCATGTAGCACGAGAGGCCCTTGGCTAAACTATTGTATGATTGGCCCAGACTGTGCAGCTACCCTCATTACAGAACCATGGACATTATTCATTGGTCAACGCGGTGCTCAAGCCAAAGTGGACTCGCTTTTGGATGCTATGCCATATTTGTCTCATGAGCCCCCGCTTTTCCGTCATAATGCATCATGATTGGCCCAAGAAGATAGTTTTATCCCTGTCACATACCCTGGCGAGGGTAAACCGTCGAGCTGCGCGCCGGGGTCAGCGCGACTTGGCGGGTTCCTACAAATAAGAAGTGGCCCCGAATCCAGATTTTCGCGCTTTTTAATGCGTAAAAGTCCTGACATTCCAGCAAGCTATCAGTCATCTGATCTGTCACGAGACCTGCACTTCTGCCACCCAACAGCCGTCAGACTACGCTCTCTTTCTCCCCATAGGCAGGCTGCTTCACATCATTCCGGTACGTACCGATTCTGTTTCTTGTCGCATTTGCTGCTCGCGCAACTCGTGTGTCGCGTCGTTCATCTGCCATCGACTCCGTTTCCCCCTTCATCCCGTCGGTGCCGTGTTTGCATCGTCAGCCCCCTTTTTTTTTTTTTTTTTTTTTTTTTTGTATTCCCGCAGCGGACGGCGTTGGTGCTTGCTTTTATGGCTTTTGGCTTTACCTGTACTTTACACTGCGTTCTGTTTATGTACATCCAGAAATGACAAACAAGCTGTTGCGAGCCGGTTCTCGTCTGCTGTATTTTGGATGAGATTTGATGTTGCATTGCTGCATTACTGTCAGACTGGAATCCATCGCGCTGGCATTTTTTGCATTCGCTCCGGGACCGCATCATATTCACCTCACCATAACCACACCAGCCTCACGGCACTTACACTATTGACCAATCAGTGACACTATTGGTGCATTATTATTTGCTAACAATCTTGAATCATAGAAACCGACAAGTTGAACGGGGAAAAAAAAAAGACAAGAAAAAAAAAAGAAGAACAATACATCACGAACTCATCCCCAAGGTGAGTTGCATTATTATTATTCTCTTGTTTATACACGAGACTTCACGTCTTTCCATCTTTCATATCCATCCGTTCCACGATCCCGTCCCCAGTCACATTTCCCAGCCTCGCGCCTTTAGTCCAGATCCGGGATGCAAGGTGCTTCCTCATTGGCTAGTGCCTCCACTGTATGCATAAATATGCATTTTATGTCACCCTCTGGCCCCCTCCCCCCCGGTCGCCCGTTTCTCCTTCAACTTGCTCTTCCAACCATTTCCTCGCAATTTTGCCATTTCTTCCCTCTTTTTTCTTTCCCTCGGACCTCGCGCAAGCTCTCTTCCTTACTCTCCCCCAGTCGTCGATCACCCAGACGCACTGACCACCCTTACCACCTCTCTGACCCCCTTCCCGCCTCCTCCCATACACACACACTCACACACGCTCTGGCTCCCTACTGCCCAACTACGCCACTATTTTTTTTCTGCCACTGTTTTCAGGCCGCACCCCTTCTGAAGCAGTCGTGATTGCGCACCCCGATAAGGCCAGATAACCGGCTCTCCGGGGACCACCCCCAATTCTCGCTTTCTCATAAATAGGACGCGCCGCCATCTCGGCCAAAAACCACTGACGTGCACGCGATTTCCTCCGCTCAGGTCCCTCCACCCTCCCGAACCGTATCGCCATCGCCACCAAAGATCCCACGGCAGTAACCCTTTCCCACTTACACTTTCGCGTCGCGACTCGGCCGGAATAACCAATCCACCACCATCTTGTCGCCGCATTCCATCATCATCGATTCGCACTGCGCCATAATCAATTGTGCCTTTGCAATCATCTCCGGCGCATTCGTGAACCTTCTCGTCAAGGCTTTCGCGACTTTTACGACTTGTGCATCCTCATCGTTTTTTCCGCTTTGAGTTGCATGCGCGATCAAGGATCGCGACGCCCCTTGTAAAGCTTCCATCCACTTTAGTGACGGTAGCTTCCCTGCGATTGCGCATTCCCCCTACTGCGCCATCATTCGATACCTTCCAGGACTTTTTATTTATTTTATTTTAATAAGTCCATTCGCGCTTTTCCCGAATCTTTGGAAGTAGCCAACCTTCTCGGCACCTTCCAGCTTGCGCCGCCTCAGCTTTCCCACTCACGATCGCCTCGCTACCTGTGCATCATCTGCGCCATTACTTCTCAGTAATTCATCTCACTCATCAACATCTGCGCGCGCCGCCATTGATGTCGCGTCGCGCACAGTAATACTGCCCTATACTACAAAAACCTTATGGCAGTCATGGCGTCACCACAGTCAGAACGCGCCTCGGATCAGAAACCAGTCGAGTCGACACCGGTCAAGGAGGAAAGCAAGCCTGAGACGAACGGGTAAGCAGTGTTTGTTTCCGGTTTGCCTTGGCCTTGCCTACCCGTCGCTGTTTGCGTAGCTGGTGGCGTCTTGTTTGCGCAAGGTGATAACTATAATTAAGACCTCGTCACTGACTCCATGTCTGCAGTCACGCCGCGCCTTCCAAAACTTCCGCCGACTCTGATGCCGCGCCAACGGTTAACGGCAATGGCAAACATGACGATGAGAAGAAGACGGCTAACGATGCCGATGTGAGCGCCTCCAAAGATGCCGATGCACCACCCAAGGAAGCCTCCGCGAAGCCCGATGAGTCACCTGAAGAGCCCAAGTCCCCCAAGTCTCCCAAGTCTGCCAAGTCTGAGGGCGCATCGAAAGATGAATCAAAGAAGGACGACGTGAAGGACGCAAAGGAATCGAGCAAGCCTGCTAGCCCGGCACCTGAGGCACCGACCAAAGATGTCGAGATGTCGGACGCGACCGAAGAGAAACCCAAGCCCAAGTCAGAGGAGAAGGCCGCTGCCGAGGCCTCTGAGCCTGCGAAAAGCGCATCTGACTCCAAGGAAGACGTAGAGATGGGTCAAGATGATGAGAAGGTGAATGGAGCGAAGAAGGAAGAATCGTCTCCCGCGCTGTCTGCTGCAGCTGGTCAAGAGGTAGATCTCCACCCAGCAAGTATGTCGCAACTCGCAATTGACAGTAACGAGGAAAAGCCGTCAGCACCCAAAGACACCGATGTGCCAATGGCCGATGCACCTTCAGCAGCAAGCAAGGTCTCTCGCGAGCGAGAGGATGATGCTGCCGACGAACCCGCACCTAAGCGGGCAAAGACCGAGTCGAACGCCGACTCCCAGGAGGCACGAGCTACCGAATCCACCGTTGAGGTCAAGCCGCAGGGAGACTTGGCTAAAGGCGAGTCTGCTCTCGATGACCTCCCGAACTGGATCGACCCGGAACGCGATCCGAAGCCGTTAACGTCACACCAAGTACGCGAGTTCCGTAAAGTCCTGGCCGGTGTGAAGAAGACCAAGCACGGCGCCCATTTCAAAGATGCCGTGGTCAAAATGTGGCCCAGTCTTGCCGCGAATTACATGGAGCGGATTAAGAACCCCATGGACATTGGTGAACTCGAGCGAAACCTGCGTGACAACAAGTACAGCACCCTTCGCAAGTTCAAGGACGATCTTGGCTTGATCTACAAGAACTCAGTCATTTTTAATGGCGCTAACAACGAGATTACCTCTGCTGCGCTCAATGTTGTCAAGCTGGCCTGGACCCGTGTCGCCGATATTCCATCAAACGAACCTGCCAAGTCCAAGCCTATTCCCAAACCGTCTCGTCACTCGGAGACGAGAACCTCAGCGCCTCCGCCGCCCGTTCGCAGACCGCCTAGTGTCGCTGCTGCTAGCCCTCCGGCGAAGACTGAGGCGGAGGCGTATGCTGTTCCCCCTGGTGGTGTGCCTCAGGTTAGACGTGCCTCGACACAGAATGACTTGGACCGGCCGAAGCGTGCCATCCAGCCTACAAAGAACCGCGATCCTGACTACACGGCCAAGAACTTCAACAAGAAGAAGCTTCCCGTTGAGCTGCAGTTTTGCTATGAGGTCTTGAATGAATTGATGGATCCTAAGCATGCTCATGTCAACTATGCTTTCCTGCACCCTGTTGACCCCGTTGCCCTCGCCATCCCCACATACTTTACCATTATTAAGCGTCCTATGGACCTTGGTACTATCATGGGCAAACTGAAGAACCATGATTATCAGACGGCAAAGGATTTCCAGCTGGATGTCAAACAAGTCTTTAAGAACTGCTTCAAGTTCAACCAGCCTGGACAACCGGTCTACGAACACGGCCAAGAACTGGAATCAATCTTTAGGAATCTTTGGTCCAAGAAAGAGCAGTGGATCGCGAAGCACACGCCGGCCAAACCTACTTCTGATGGCTCAGCTCGCGATAGTGAAGACGATGTTGAGGAAGAAGAAGAAGAAGCGACTACCGCCGCCGCGGAACCCGCGACCAATAAGACGATCCAGATGCTCGAGAAGCGCCTCTTGGAAGAAACGCAGCAGCTGACTCAGCTTTATCAGACGGCAGACGCCTCGAGCGATGCAATGATTGATCTCCAGCAGTCTGTGATCGCCACTATTAGGGCGCGCATTCTGCAAGAGAAGCAAAACTTGCCAGCTCCAAAGCCTGTCAAAGGAAACAAGGCCAAGCCGCTCAAGTCCAGCAAGCCCAAGACAGGCGGCGTCCCCAGCAAGAAGTCGGCGCCGACCGTGCCCCCCAAGAAGAGCGGTGGCGGCGCACCCAAGAGGCCGAAACAGCGTGCCATGACTCAGCCCGAAAAGGATGCGATTGCCAATGCGATTAACGATCTCGAAAGCCCGCATATCGAGCGAGCTATCGACATCATCAAGAAGGATACCGGCCAATCCGTATGCATCCCCTTTCCACGTGGTACAATGGCATATACTGACAAACTTTGCAGGAAAACAGCAGTGGAGAACTCGAACTTGAGATTGACCAACTTACCAACGAGGCCCTTCATAAGCTGTGGGACCTTTGCAAGAAGGCATTGCCCACTTTTGGCCAAGGTTTGGCAGCTGTTGCTCGTGAACCATCTCCAGTAAACAACGCGTCTCAGAAGAACGCGTCTAAATCTAGCAAGCCCAAGAAGAACAAGCCCATGAACGCCCAGGAACAAGAGGCGCGTATCGCGGAACTTGAGAGATTGCGAAACATGTACGGCAAGGGCTCCGACGGCGACCAGGAGCGACCTGACAGCTCCGGCCGGGCAGATGAAGCACCGATCCACGGGGATAGTGAGTCGTCAGACTCAGAAGAGGAGTAATGGCGTGCTCGTCATTCACGACTCGTCAGATGTCAAATCGATTATGAGGAGACAGAGAGAGAGAGAAAGAGAGGATGACTGCGCGCCGTAATACCATGAGGGGTTTGGCGCCCTATATTCGGCTCATTTCAACAGTGCTGAAATGAGACTGGCTCTCAGTTCATGGGCATAGTCCCAGTGACATTGTCTATATCGTGGTCAAACGAGCAACACGCCCAAGGCGGTTGCCTGCGCAATATGATGACCACATGGCGCAGAGAGCCTGGCATGAGATGAGCGTTGATTTGCGGTGTTTGTGGATGCCGCGTTATGAGAGCATCTATTTTTTGCTAGCCAGCAGCGAGTTAGGCCAGCTAGCCAGTCGAGGTTGTAGAATATGATGTATAATACTCTTCATCCCGATGCTCATGCGTGATTTGTAGAGCGATGCGATGTGTGGCTTCCTTCATCTTGGAACAACCTGTGGGACAAAAACTATGCATGGCTTGGCGACACGAACCAGCCTCTGACTGTGTACTGGCCTTCTTCCCAAACAGGCACGACAGACACTTGCCTTGCCAGCTTTGGTAGCGCTCAGGTCAGCCTGGTACCTCGCATTCCTCGTGCTCAGGTGAGCTTGATTCTGAAGGTGGTTTAGGGATGCCGTCCCATGAGAGGTACGACAAAGAAGCCTGGGCGGGTCTGGTGTTTTCCGTCTTGATTGGGCGAAAGGGGAGGGAGTCCTGTAGCTGAATCAGCATTCTGCACAAACTTTTTGCGGGGATACGAGCTGTTTTTTTTTTTTTTTTTTTTCATTCTTCCTTTTCTCTAGGTTCAGTCGTCGGAGGCAAGTGAAATTCTAAATCGACTGATTCGGTATCGGATTGCCGTTGCTTGAGTCGTGGGGCCGATGATATACGTGCCGGTCGGATGGGTGAGGTGATCGGGTTGGGTTAAACACTGGGTGTTTTCTTTTTGGTGGGTGCGGTTCGGAATTAGAGTGGTAGTAGGGAGGGTGGGAGAAAAGAGTGTATTTCCTAGTTTGGTCCGGACATGGTCTCGGATGAAAGTCGGGATGTTGGGCAATTCTTGACTGAATTCTTTTTCGAAGGTGAGAAAGTTTTAAGGATTGGTGGTGGTGGTGGGCGGAGTTGAATATCAAAAATTTTGATATTGGCGGGTGCTCATACGATTTGCTCGACGAGACGGGACTATGGCGTCCGTTTCGTGAAGCTACTTTGATTTTTTTTTCGAGATGGGGGGTTTTCGCGTGGGACCTTTTTTGGGGGGGGGGTGTCCAGGGCTACAAAGGCGGGCAGAAGAATCCTGATGGAAAGGAGAAAAGCTCCCGGGGGTTGCTATGGGTGGGTGACTTGTCGAGGTACTCTGTGGGGAGGGCGATCGGCCGGGCCGGGGTGTCCATGCCGGGATGTTACGGCCTTGGATGCCGGACCGAGGTGGTCCTGCGGAATGCAGGTAATTTGCAAAGTTACTCGCTGCTGTTATGGGAACCTATTGAGTTCTTGATGAGTATCTTGGTTGTAAGTTTTACTACGTTGATCTTATTGAAAGACACGTGAGAGCGGAATGCGGGCCGCAGGAGACTTGCTGTTTGTCATGCCTTTTTGTGAGATATGCTTGAATCTATTATGTTCTGTGTGAATCATTATGTGCTTATGCTGATATTTTGACAAGAATGCTATGTTTTTTCCAGCCACTTTGTGTCTGCGGTATGACCCACTGCCCCAATTGCTTCCGTGTTCTCTTCCGAGAGGTATCCTCTCAGTCTTAGGCGCAGTGGTTGAGGGGGTGTCGTGTCTCGTGAAGAGATGTGCGATCAACACTATGTTGACGCAGTCGCCACTGGCCAAGGTACGCGCGAATCGCTTTTAGGTCGACTTTAACCTGGGCATGTCACGACAGTAACCCGGCACAACGGCTGGCGTGCCATCTTTCGGCAGACCATGCCCCTATTATATCGTCTCGATTCCCCCTATTAAAGGGCTTGTAGAGGATTCAGATACGTCTCTTCTGCTTTTCTTTCAAAATACCATGAAAGCGAGGAAAGAGATGACAGCAGCCACTGCGATAGCCAAACCATTAGGTGCTGATGTGGATACGCCAGTCGACCGCGGTCCTCCTGTTGGTACTGTCGAGTTTCCAACTTGGACAGTTGCAGTTACGGTTGAACTCAATGTTACCGTCACTGTGGAAGCCTCCGTCTGGGGAACTGTCCCGGCACGTCAGCCATTAGTCGATGATCTCACATTTCCCCTCGGGGCCAGAAGATAGAAGCAACGTACGTGGATAAGTGACACGATACCAAGTGTTTGGCAGGGCAAACTGCTCCGATTTAGGGATGCAGAATATGATGCTCCGCGCATCGTCGCCGCCCTGTGTCTGGAGCATAGTGATGGTGTCGCAGGTGTTGCTCGGTCCGCTGCTCCTTCATTCAGCACCGCCCACCTCCCATCTCGTCGCGGGGGTTTCAAGTCAAAGACATACCAATCTGCCTGCCCATAAGGCCCTATCGCGAAGTTGTTATCCAACCCGCCACATGTCGTAGCCAAGTCGCAGTATATGTTGCTCCGAGGACAGCACACGCCGTATTTGGCGTCGGCCGCAAAGTATTCGCTCGACTGGCAGACGGCGGATACCCAGATGTTGGAGACACTATACCACCCGATAAAGTTTGTCCTTCCATCCGAGGGGCGCGGATCGCCTTGTCGTGCCTTCACAAGTCGACGGGCGACGAGCAAAGGGTCCGGAGCTGGTGTTGTGTGGGTGAAGGGGCTTGAGAAGACATGGTTAGGCGTGATGTTGCGCTGGTTCCCGACGTCTTCAGCCGTGGTAAAGCCGGCGAGGATGGATAACAGAAAGAACAAGTGGAGGACCGGCAATGGGATGTGCATCGTGAGGCACCAAGGCCGCTACGGCCTCATTGGGCTGATGAAACGGCGCTGGGAGATGCAGAGCAGAGCTGAGATGAAGGAGATGAGAGAAGTCACGTTCACGTACGACCGCCCGCTGCGATCAGGATGGGGATCAAGGAGCCTTTTTCATTGTCTCTATCTACTGAAGGTCTTTTCGGATCGTGGGGAAGATTCTGTACGGCTAAACTGCAAATGGCGCGGGAGGTGTTTTGAGGCGAACTCAGAGATGAATACCCTGTTCATGCGGCAGGGTTGGATGGGATCAACTGAAGGAACGGGTATGTGGAGATGCCATTGTTTTGCCTCAATGTTCTTGTCTTTTCACCATCTATTTTGTGGGGAATGGCATAATGTAAGAGGTTGAGACCTTGAAAGAGGCCGTGAGCCTTTTAGGATATGCTCGTCAACTCAGTACGGCGGGTGGCTTCCCGGGAGACTAGTGTTATTCGGGCTAGTCTTCCGTGAAGCAAACTGGGAACACGATTGCCGTGATCCCGTAAACAGATGGTGTACTAGATAATTGAGTTGGTCTCTGAATAGTAGTAGTGATATCTCGGAAATAAACCACAAGCTTAAAGTTAAGGGTTGGTTTCCTGGCCTGCTTCAATACGACGACGCAAATACATGAGCAACTATCGACCAATGACGCACCGCTGCACATGATGGAAGCTATAACTAGGACCATTCGCAGTGGTGTCGCAGCAGCTAAATCTAGTCGTCAACTGCACTCATGTTCGTGTCATAATGTGATTCGGAGTTTGAGCCGAACTAGTTGGCGTACATTGCGACGGTAGGCCGCAGGGCTGACGGGGAGATTTGCCCCCCTGCCCCGTGCGACCGCTCAACAATCCGAACTTTTGATTCTGAGTTTCTGAAGGGGAATATGACAACGGATATAGCGTTCCCGGTTCTAGACTTGACGTTCGTGCGAGACAACATCCTGGTGACGGCTCGCTTTAAGCTCTTGACCTTGCCGCTGTTGTTTCTTGTCTTTGCGACGGGACCGATAGTGACCGCGTGCTGCATTCCACGATTGGGTTGCAAGATTGGGTTGGATCATTTTCGCTGCCGATTCGGCAACGATGGACTGCCCAAATCACACCCGTCTGAAATGGTATATGGTGTTCGTCAGCTGGAACATATTAGAGTTGAACTAGATGATCATCTCAGGAGGATGTCGTACAAATTTGAACTCTGAAATTGATCCAGACAGCTTGGAGCCCTTGACTTATTGCCGCCAATCAACTTTGCATTTGACTCTCTATATTGAAAACCAATGCTCGCTTGGTCGCTGTGAGCAACGTTCATGGGCTGAGTAAGAAAAATCATGTGCCTTTTGGTGATGATTACACATCAAGTCGTATTTTTACTTCATTCCCTGTTTAGATACGAACTCTCAAGCCAGCTAGTGCATTCGAAACGGCAACAGGGAATAAGTTCCATTCGAGAAAGCATACTCGTCAGTTTCCGGTTTAAAAACGGGTTGAGCTGATCACGACTCATAACACTTGTCGCCAGACTAACAATAGACCCGTTCTCTGCTCTTTCTTCGTCTTTTCTAGGTGAATTATATGGAGCCCTCACTGATGGCCCAACCTCTGAAATTGTGGTTGAATGGGAAAAGCATCTGGATCTCCTCGGTCATAAACCTGAAGCTCGATTTCAAGACTTAATCGCCAAACAGCCATTCCTATTCGTTCTGGAGTGATACAGGTTCCTGCCCGTGCCAAATCCTTGTGTCAGGGTTCGGAGAAGTGCCATGACCGGCTTGCTAACAAGAGCGGATGAGACAAACAGTAGGCCAAAGCCACTGAGCTGATGGCAACCACCCCACAGTCATAGCGCCGCCAGACACATACTCGATGCGTGTCACGGTACATGTAGGAACCACAGATGGAACAAATGCAGGAATTCTATATTACATGCTGGAGGCAGAGGAACTCTAGTATATGATCGCGAATCATCCAATCCATCGAGACAGCAATCGAAGCTTCTTTTGTTCAAAGAGATGCACAAGCCGGTGAACGATTATGTAAATCAAGAATCTGTCTAACTGCAAGCAGCATCGTTATACAAGAACGAAACATGCACTGAATGTCATCGTAGTGAGCTGGCAGTCAACTATATAGTGATTTGACCAAGTTAGCTTGACACCTTCTCAAGAGCGAAACTGGTCTTGAGGAAATATTCATATCCTGATATGGAATGCCTATGTCTTGGTCCGGGCCAGGAGCAGTAGCTGATCCCGATGTCGGCATTGAGCGGCCGGCAAGTGGGACCCGCATCGGATCAATGCACCAGTTGCCAGCAGATTGTTCCACCCCAAACATTTGTCATTCAAGGTTTGACAGCAGACGTCAACCAGCCTCCCATCAACTTAGTTCATCAAGTAGAGACTATCTAATCATGAGTCTACCTTCATTCATCCGTCCCCATGTCGGACATGAGATTCGGACAGTGGAGATGCACACATCGGGAGAACCAGCCCGCATCGTTTACGCAGGCTATCCCGATATCCCGTTCGTCGGATCCCCTGCCACCTCCATTAGCATGCGCTGATTGATGCTACCTCAGCGGCACACTTCTTCAACAACGTGAAGTGGCTCAACTACAGCATGACCACATCCGGCGGAGCCTCGTCTATGAACCTCGTGGCCATCAGGACATGTACGGGGCCGTCCTGAGACCGCATACTGAGCTAGTAGATTCTGGTGAAGCTCACATGGGCGCTCTGTTTCTTACTCATGAAGGATACGGCATGATGTGCGGCCACGCCACAATGGCGCTTAGCAGGTTCCTTGTGGACTGCACGGATGAAACCATCTTTCCTCGACGAAAGCAACTAGCATTTGATGAGCTGAAGCAGGAAGTCGAATTACGGCTCCATGCTCCGGTTGGCCTGGTTAGCGTCAGAGTTCCCGCTCTAAAGGTAGCTGGTGTATGGAGGTCGGATACTAGCCGCCCGATTACCTTCCTTTCCATACCAACTTTTGCTACCGCCGTGAACCTTGCTTTCTACATTCCCGAGCCCCTACGCTGGCCTGAACTGGGTGACCGCGAGAATGTGACGGTCGATGTAAGCTACGGCGGCGCTTTTTATATCATCGTATCTGCGTCAGCTCTCGGCTTTTCGCCCTCGCTTTCGAAGCCAAACCTGGCCGCACTCAGCAAAGCCGCAGAGAAGCTCAAAAAAGCCTTCAATTCTACACCTCTGTTGAGAACTCGTCTTACAGTTCCTCATGATGATCGACTGCAATCTATTTATGGGGTTATGGTCACAGATGCTGAGAGCGGCGAATCTGTGCCTGCTGCACCGGGATGTAAAGGTGCAGAGACGGGATTGTACTTTTTCTCCGACCAGCAGATTGATCGGAGTCCGACGGGTTCGCTGGTGCAGGCGCGGGTTGTGGTGGCAGTCGCAAAGGGAGAGAGGCAGTTGGGCGAGAGTTGGACCTATCATAGTCTTGTCTCGACAGCACAAGGAGGGTACAAGAGCGCTTTTGTTGGCACTCCAGTGGAAAGAATTGATTATGGAAAGAGAGAAGGCATTCGAGTTGAAGTGAGCGGGAGAGCTTACTATATTGGTTCCAGCACGTTTGTGGCTGAGGAAGAAGATGATGTTGGCAGAGGGTTTTCCTTCCAGAGCTTGGGAGAATAGTGCCTCGGAAACACCTGTTTCTGTTTTAGACTAACTATGCCACGCGCACTATTTGATCATACCTTCGGCGGAATTCAGTTTTACATTTGACCATGTATGCTATGGGAACCATTCAGTATACCCATTGTTGAAAATTATGAATAAACGTAGCAGTTTAGGATATTACGGCCGCAAAATGATTTCTAGCCAGGTTACTAACTGCGCCATTGAAAAGCACCCTAACTGATGTATTTCAGAATCATTCCACACGGTGGACAACCAAGCCATGCAAAAAGCAAAAGACGACGTTGGCCTGATTCGAACAGACGCTCCCGAAGGAACAAGATTTCTAGTCTTGCGCATTAGACCACTCTGCCACAACGCCGTGGAATTGAACCCACTTTCTAATGGGGACGGTGTTGGGAGCGGACCTGGACACTCATGTTAGTAACCCTAGTGGATAGCAAGGGTTCGTTTGTGAGAAAGATGTGGATCGATAGAATGCGCTGAAAAGTAATAAATAGCATTGTAACGGTCCAGCTAATCAGATTTCAGCTATCCGAACGACAGAAAACTGATTGGAGCAGAATCCGTGTCTAAACTGTGGAGGTTGACATTTTGTTAGAATCAGTGTTAAAGGTATTGAAGACAACTAACCACACAACCATGTCCCCAACCCGGAAACAAACCTCTCTGGCTCACACAAAGAACTCCGTGATTGCCTGAACAACGTCATCTGGCGCCTGTTCGGGAATGTAGTGCCCAGATTCGACACTATGACCTTGCACCAACACGTCCTTGTTCGTAACATCCCGCCATTCCTTGACTGCATCGAAACACTTCTCGATCACGCCATGCTTGCCCCAGAGAACCATCAACGGGGATTGAATCAACCGCCCAGCTTTCAAGTCGGCCTCTGCCTCTTCCATGTCCAGTGTTGCGCTGGCGCGATAATCGTTGCACATGGAATGCACCGCGGCCGGATCCTCCAGCACGCTCGCGTAGTGATCGAAATTCTCCTTTCCAAAAATCTCCAAGCCTTTGGGTTGGCGCGCCCCCATGAAGAGTTCCGCAAAATGCCTCGGTGCCGCTGAAATCAAGGTCTCGGGGAGAGGCTCCTGCTGGATCAAAAAGAACCAGTGGAAATACGCCTTTGCAAAGTCAAAGTCCGTCGACCTGTACATGACCAAAGTCGGGCATATGTCGAGGAAAATGGACTTTCGCACACGATCAGAAAAGTCAACCGCAAGCTTGTGCGCGACGCGGGCGCCGCGGTCGTGGGCGCAGACAAAGAATGGCTTGTTGGCATAACCGAGTTGATCCATGACACTGATGCAGTCTCGAGCCATTGCGCTCTTGGCATAGGAGGCTACATCAGCTGGTTTTGAGGACGCGCCATAGCCGCGAATGTCAATTGCGATGACAGTGTAACGGTCGGTAACCTTTTCTGCAACCCGGTGCCAAATGTGGTAGGTCTGAGGGAAACCGTGGATGAGGAGGAGAGGGGGAAGAGGGGATGTTGAGTCCCCGCTCTTGATGCCATGGATTGTTACCTCCGGCGAGGCCTGGGTGGTGATTGTAAATGGTTGGAAGCCTTTAAACATATTGCGTGCTATTCCAGAAAGCAGGGTTTTGGGGGGGAAGGTTTTTTGATGGTATTAATGTGACCAGTTCTCAAGAGTTGCTCGCGGTGTTGTTAGTGATTTTAATAGACAACGTTGCGCCCTTCAATGCCTGTCGAGTCGGTAAATTATTGACGCGCATGGTGACGCAACTCACCTCAAAGCTGCATTGCGCGTGGCCTCGCAGGGCGTCCGACTACATACCGATCATTGGCTGCGTACCTTTTTACACTCTTTAGTCTCCAAAAGAAGCCTAGTATTATAAATCAACATTTCATATCAATTTCAAGCCTACGATGAGTTGTTTATGATGCCAAATTCGTTGCGTCCCCGCAGGTTGCGGCGGAACTCTTAGCCGCGGCTTTTCGATGCCGATGCTCTGTGAAACCCAACAATCGTGACCTCCAGCCAACCCATTAGGTCCGAGCATCTTTGCGGTAGGCAGGGGAACAAACAAGGTTGCTGATAACAGCTGGTCCGAGAATTTTGTGGTTGATGATGTCCAGCTAATCTAAGATGCTCTGCAGCGATTGCTTGGCGTTGATCAAGCATCATGATATGATCAAAACAAGCAATGCGACAACTCTTGCCAAGAAGTTTCAGATCTATTTTGTTTCTATGAGGCTTGGACATGTTATTCCTAATAAAGATAGAGAATCAGTAAAGTTTCTAGAATATCGCAGTTTAATTAAAATAAGCACAAGCTTTACGGAATGTGCAACTAGACCTTACGATACCGGAGAGGCTAACATCAAAAAGTCAAAAGCGGCCAGAGATAACCTAGAATGATGCTACCGGGAAGTCTATACTGTATTTGTCTAACTTTAGGAACTTATGCACGTCATACAAATGCTTGATGAAGGTAGAAACTGCTAGTTGCTAGGAAACGATGCTGGAATTGATTACGCTGTTTACTTGTCTGGTTCGATATTCAAAGGTTATGCCAAAATTCGTACACTTCATGGTTTAAGGAATGATGAAAGTCTGATGTAACTTTGGATGAATTGTGTTGTTGCATAAACATGTCGCGACCTATTTTTAAAGAGCTGGAGACCAACGCAACAACCTCTAAACTATGAGATTAGGCCTCAGAATTGAACCGTCTAACCAATTGCCTGAATGCCATATTGGTAAACCGGCTCATTCTTAGCATCGCCCAGTCTTAGTTGCCTCTGGTGGTGAATTAGACATTGACAAAGTCCCAGCTGGAAACCGGGGCATTCTGGCCGTTGAGCGTCGCGGTAGGACGATCATAGAAGAACTGGACCGAGGTCTCGTGGGCGTCGCTGAGGATGCGCACAACAAAGTGCACAATCAATTCCTTGCCGGCATAGATTCCCTTGACGATGAAAGGGACCTTGACGTCGACCTCGCTTCCGGTGTGGGTGATGAAACTGGCGCCTTCGACGCCAATCTTGGGCGAGCCAACACCACCGCCAGACAGTCCGCTGTACCAAACAGCGGCCTTGCCCCTGTCATCCTCCTCAACCCAAAAGTTGAATGCCCATGAAGCGGCAGAGATCATGTTGCCAGCAACGACCTTGAATGCCTTTCTGACGTGAGGCGAGGTGAAAACCCGCTTCTGGAGCGCATGGTCGGCCTCGTCTTCATGACGAACAGCAAGGTCGGTTGCAATCTCGACGCTGAAAGGAGCCTCGACACCTTCAGCCAAGAAGTTGTCTGATTCAAAGTCAAGGTCAGCATCGGTACTCGGTTGGTAGGAGTTTGTACGCACCTCTAGCCTCAATGGCTTGTACTTCAGAGACAGTAGTGTCAATAGGGGTAGCCAAAACACCAGCGGTCAAGGTGTTGGCGGCGAGCAAGCCGGCGTAAAGGATCTTGAGGAGAGGGGCCATGATGGAAAATAGATGTGATAATAGACTGGAGAGATGTCTTGTGTACTGTGATTGCTTGATGCTTATGACATAAATGCTGGCGGGCTTGGCACTCTTTATAGACGACGGATCAAGAGCTTTTCTCAAAAAGAAGGCCTTGCATTGTCTTTGACGATCATTTCAACTCTTACATTACGGTAGTTCCGGGCCCACTCCGTCCAGAACTCGTTATAGCATGAGTCGTTTTCGGATACGGAGCAAATGAGATGTCCGGTTCTGCGTAAAGCTACACCTCACGATAGACGGGGAAGCGTCACATGATCTTAATGTCTACAGTTAGCTGTTAAGCTTTAATTCTTCAAAGTGTTCTCTTGTGTCCTTTTTTCTTTCTGTTTTATCATCTTGTTTTTGATGCTTTTTGTTTTTGTCGAGAAGTTTTGGTTTCATTCTTCTAGTTCGAGTTCATCTACAATTCCTTTTTTCTTCTGCCCAAGTCTGTCAACAGTAGTAGAAAGCTGATAAATGCTGCTTATTGCATTGAACTTTAAAGCTTTGGAGAGAAATATGCCTTTTTGTGGGGGTTCGCTCTAGTGAAAAGCTTAGAAAACCTTTCAGCACAGGATACCCAGTTAGGCCTTAGAGTTGGGTCTAAAGTTTGAGTTTTCGCGTTCATCAAATACAATTTTCCCATTCTGAAATGCCACTCGAAATATGACGTCTTTAGGAGCGATAATTACCCCTTTCTTGCGGCCCAGTCGCTGCATTGTGTACCTACCAGTCACGGCATACACTCAAGGCTCAATAGGGGCTCGATCAGCGCATAAACACCCGTGTAGTAGGCACACTAATCAACCGGATATCCGGATGAGATGAATAATTCAGTTCCGAGTACCCTCTTGCTTGCTGATCTTTGTTTGATATTTCCAAAATAGCAATACCGACTGGACCGTGGCTGATTTAGCCCTGCAAAGTAAGCATTAACTACTTGGAAGGGGGTCTGACATCAAGTATCAGGAAGGCGTGGCATTTGGAGACAGTAATGAATCTGAAAATTGAAGAAAAGAATGACATTATAAGTAAGAAGGGTGGCTTTGGAAATTTTTGTACGGTGATTCTATTCTTCTATCTTGGTAGAATACGAGATTTATAAATAATACAGCTATTGTATTGCTACTCAATCCGGAGGCTGGGAAAACCCTTTGTATAGGGTACCATTAAGCTGGCTCTTGCTCTATGGAACTGAGCATTATAAGATGCTGGCATACACTCTGGATCCGAAAGGCATTATGTATCTGTCTAAGTAACGAGTGTTCTTGTAGTTGAATTTGAACAAGGGCCCGCCGTAGAGAAAGTGGGCTATTACGGCAAAGAAGCGTGTGTATGTCAACAGCCGGCTATTTGTTGAGAGCTTGTTTACTGCCACAGTGTTATATAAATGAACGAAGTATCCAGTTCGGATTTTCAGCATGTATCACCAGATGAAGCAGGCAGCTCAGATTAGACGTCAGCACAAAGGAATATTGGTGAGACGTACGATGTCGAACCGCTTTAGAACCTATTGCAGTAACCACTACTTATACAAATCATGCAAACTGACTGAAAACGCTAGCAGTATCTGGAACCCTCCTCATAATAGAAATGAACACATATGCCCATTAGAAGACAATAACATCCTCGAAGTCTACTAGGTTCATTGTCAACCTTAATGTACCTGCCTCTACCTATTCGTAGATAATGCGACGGCCAGTCCACCGTTCGCAATATTCGCTAAAGCAGCACCTTCTAAAAAAGACATTTCAGATTATCCTGTAGACCTTCTTTTGGAAGCTGACTATAAGCTTGGCACGTGTTAGCTTTAAATCTTTCGCAGCGCGAACATGATTAGCCTCAAACTCTTTTATACCCTTCAGACAGTACTGATGCTAGAGGGCTGGTCTTCAGGCGTCAAAATCCAAGATATTCATATCAACAGGGCATTCATCAATTCGATCAATTAGATTCAAGCTCTTTGCTAAATGGGCTTCGAGGTGCCGACTATTTATAAACCTGGAAATGGCTGATGCCTCCACGAGCTGACAGTTGCAAAAAGAAAACGACAAAAGAAATCACTCTCCACAACCTGAATCGAACAGGTGACCTTTCGATCATCTTGGGGAACCATTACAGTCGAACGTGATGAACCAACTACACCATGCGGAGTTTATCGTGATTTGACGATGTGATGGTGGGTCGCAGCTAGGTTGGCATCATGTTTGCGGGTTCAGGATGGGCGGGCTGGCTTTGTACTTGACAAGGAGCGGGTCAAGTAATCAGAACAGAGTACGGAGAAAGCAAACAACAAGTTATCACCCATATCTACTATGTCCCCAAAGCTGGTAAAGTTCCTGCGCCAAGTTTTTGGGCATGAGGGCCGGGCATGATATCCGTGGATGACTTTGTGTGTCCGTCTTCTGGAGAATCAATCGCGCAATACTCGATACAGTACTCTCTATCTCGGGATCCTACCGCCTCTCAATTCCAAAGGACCGCAGAAGGCCGACGACGGCGATAAGGTCTCAGCATCCAACCACATCGCGTCGGAAAGCCCCCGACAGAGCCCACAAGATCGGAGGCCGGCCGCTAGCACGCCATCGCGCCGTCCGACAAGCTACCGATAAGCGTCGCCGTGGGGCCTTTGACAGGGAGAATAGCGGCCCCCAATCGTCGGCATCAATTACCGCAAGGCAATGTTGGATGTTGTACTCGGGGTGCCGGAAGGCCTGTTATTTATATGCATAATTCATCTTCACTCCGCCAAGACGGGTTGATCACAAGGGGTGTTTTTGTTGTTGTTGTCGCTCATTACCAGTCTTTAGCATTGAACTTTAGTGTTTTGGTTCACTAAACAACGCCCTAAAAAGCCACTCCAACTCATGCGCTGAAACTTCTGACCCTACAACTTGTCGAAATCAACGGCTCTTCATAGCCGCCATCAAAATGGTCGCCGACATCAAAGTTGCCATTGACCGCGGCGGCACATTTTGCGACGTCATTGCAGATATTGACGGCCGTGAACCTTTGATCTTCAAGTTACTATCCGAAGATCCCGCAAACTACCCTGATGCACCAACAGAGGCCATCCGCCGCATTCTTGAGGTCGCTGAAGGGAAATCCATCCCCGTTGGAGAGAAGCTTGACGGCTCTCGCATTGGTAAGTTGGCCCATGAGCGATCATACAAATGCTTTTATTTTATTCTTAGACTTCCTTGCTAACAAATACATCCAGCCTCATGCCGTATCGGCACAACAGTCGCCACAAATGCTCTCCTCGAACACAAGGGCGAGCGCTTCGCATTTCTCACCACAAAGGGCTTCAAGGACGTCTGTGTCATTGGCGATCAATCTCGCCCCAAGCTGTTCGATTTGAGTATCCGGAAAGCCACCGCCTTGCACTCATCCGTGGTCGAGGTTGATGAGCGCATCGTCCCTGCGGACTATGACCTCAACCCCGAGCCTCTCGACAAGACCAGCCTTGCTTCATCTTCAGACGCAGGCGAAGATGGCCTCGTCCGTACGGCAAGCGGCGAGTTCGTCCGCGTCCTTCGCCGCCCAGACTCGGACGCTGTTCGCGCGCAGCTCCGGGCTCTGCGGGACGAAGGATACACTTCTCTTGCAATCTGCTTCATGCATTCCTACCTCTACCCAGCCCACGAAGATCTCGTAGCCTCCATCGCACGCGAGCCCGAGCTAGGCTTCGACTTTGTCACGACCTCTGCCGCGACCTCTCCTACCATCAAGTTCCTCAACCGCAGTACTTCGACCTGCTCCGAGGCGTATCTCTACCCCGTGATCCAACGCTACGTGCAATCCTTCACGTCCGGCTTCCGCCTCCCCCCGCAAAGGGTAGACTTTATGTGCTCAGACGGCGGCCTGAAAGCAGCGACGAAATTCCGAGGAAACGAGGCTCTCCTCAGCGGTCCCGCGGGCGGCGTCGTGGGCATCGCGCGCTCTTGTTATGACTCAGATGACGGAACGCCCGTCATCGGCTTCGATATGGGCGGCACCAGCACCGACGTCTCACGATACGACGGGAAATACGACTACCTCACCGAGACCTCCATCGCGGGACGCACAATCACGGTACCGATGCTGAACATCGCCACCGTAGCAGCAGGCGGCGGCTCCATCCTCTTCGCGCGCAACGGACTACTAGCCGTTGGCCCCGAGAGTGCGGGAGCGCACCCCGGCCCAGCATGTTACCGAAAAGGAGGGCCCTTGACCGTGACCGACGCCAACCTCTTTCTAGGACGTCTCGTTCTCTCGTCTTTTCCCTCCATCTTTGGCGAGAACGCCGACTCGCCGCTGGATACGGCCGTTGTGGAAGCCAAGTTTGCAGAAATCACAGACGACTTTAACCAGCAGACGAAGCAATCCCTCACCCCTCAAGAAGTAGCTCTCGGATTCCTCAACGTCGCGAATGAAACCATGTCCCGACCGATCCGCAACGCAACGGAAGCCCGCGGCTTCGCGCCGGAGAATCACCACCTCGTCAGCTTCGGTGGCGCCGGCGGCCAGCACGCATGCGACATTGCAGACCGTCTCGGTATCCGCCGCATCCTTATCCATAAGTTCTCGTCCCTATTGTCGGCCTACGGCATCGCGCAGGCGGAGCTGCAGCACGAGACCCTCGAGCCATACGGCAGCAAGCTCGACGAGGCTGCCAAGTCGCATGTGGCGGATCGTCTCGCGGCCCTCAAATCGCGGGTCTCTGAGGAGTTGCTTTCCCAGGGCGCCGATGCAGATTCCCTCGTATTCGACGAGAGCCTGGTGCTGCGGTACTTCGGCACCGACACCAACCTTACCATTTCTAAGCCCGAGGACGGCGACTACGGGGCAATGTTCGCGGCGACGCACATTCGCGAGTTTGCATTCTCCATGAACCGGGATATCGTGATCGAGTCGGTCAAGGTCCGCGGCACAGGCAGTGCAGGCGCAAAGACACAGGAGACGTCGGCTTTGAAAGAGCTGTCCGCCAACGGTCACATCGCAGCCCCTGAACCGCGAGAGAAGCAAAAGGTATACGTCGACGGCGCATGGCACTCGAGCGGCGTGTACCATCTCGACGAGACCCCCAAGGGCGTCGCCATCACCGGCCCAGCCCTATTGATCGACCAGACGCAAACAATCTTCGTATCCCCGACCTTCCGCGCGCACATCCTCTCCTCGCACGTCCTCCTCGAGAAGCTTTCCCTCCCCTCCGCGTCCTCCACCCTTTCAACTCCCGAAACCTCAGCAGCAGTCGACCCGATCCAACTCTCCGTCTTTGCCCACCGTTTCATGGCCATCGCCGAACAAATGGGCACAACCCTCCAACGCACCTCCATCTCGACGTCGATCAAAGAGCGCCTAGACTTCTCCTGCGCAATCTTCTCCCCGCAGGGCAAACTCGTCGCCAACGCGCCTCACATCCCGATCCACCTCGGCTCGATGCAGTTCGCAATCCAGGCGCAGCACCGACTCTGGCAAGGCAAGCTCCAGCCCGGCGACGTGCTCCTCACGAACCACCCGCAATGGGGCGGCACTCACCTGCCGGACCTGACGGTCGTCACGCCCGTCTTCGTCGACACGGACACGGACGCGGACACGGACGCGGAGTCGGGAACCCAAGAAATCGCATTCTACGTCGCCTCCCGCGGCCACCACACCGACATTGGCGGCAAGGGCATCACGAGCATGATGCCCGAGTCCCGCGAGCTCTGGGAAGAAGGGCTCAACGTGCCGTCGATGAAGATCGTCTCGGCGGGGTCCTTCCTCGAAACGGAGGTCCTCGCCGCGTTCGAAAAGGCCGGGAGCTACCCGGGTTGCAGCACGTCCCGGCGTCTCGCGGACAACATCTCGGACCTCAAGGCGCAGACGTCGGCGAACCAGCGCGGCATCATCCTCCTCCGCAGGCTCTGCGCCGAGGCCGGGGGGCTGGCCGTGGTGCACAAGTACATGAAGGCGATCCAGTCCAACGCCGAGGTCGCCGTGCGCGGCTTCTTCAAGTCCGTCGCCGCCGCCGTTGCCGCCGCCGACGCGGGGCACCGGGATCGACCGCCGCTCGAGGCGACGGATTACCTCGATGACGGCACGCCGATGCGCGTGCGCATATCCATCGACGAGCACACGGGCTCCGCCGTCTACGACTTCTCCGGCTCCGGCCCGCAGATGTGGGGCAACTACAACTGCCCCATCAGCATTTGCCACTCCGCCATCATCTACACCATCCGCTGCCTCGTCGACATCGACATACCGCTGAACGAGGGCTGCCTCGGCCCCGTCGAGATCCGCGTGCCCGAGGGGTCCGTGCTGAACCCGGGGCCCCGCGCCGCCATCTGCGGGAGCACGCTGGCGAGCCAGCGCGTCATCGACGTCATACTCCGCGCGTTCGGGCGGTACGGCGCGAGCCAGGGGTGCGCGAATAGTTTCGGGTGGGGGATGGGCGGGAGGGATCCGCAGACGGGTGTCGTGAAGAAAGGGTGGAACTACGGCGAGAGCATCGGCGGCGGCGTCGGCGCCGGTGACGGGTACGAAGGGGAGCATTCTACGCACGTGCACTCCACGAACACGCGGCAGACGGATGCCGAGGTCATTGAGAAGCGCACTGCGGTTCTCGTGCGGAGGTACGAGATCCGCAAGGGTTCCGGCGGCAGTGGTAGGTGGCGGGGTGGCGATGGCATCACGAGGGAGATCGAGGCGCGGATCCCGCTCAAGTTTAGCATCCTCAGCGACCGACGCGTGTATAGGCCGTGGGGTATGGCGGGGGGTTCGCCCGGTTCCAAGGGCGAGAATTATGCGTTCCTGTTCAATGAAGAGGGCGGCATGGAGAGGATTAACCTTGGCGGCAAGGCGATTATAAACTTGAAGGAGGGGGAGTATGTGCAGGTCAACACGCCTGGCGGTGGAGGATACGGGGGTGAGGAGGTGGAGGATAGACATAGAGGGTATGTGTGATGATTAGAACACAATGGGTAAACGACAAGTGAAAAAGAGTGAATCAAAAAAGGTGTTCGACTGTATAAAGTCGGCATTACTAAAAAAAAAAAACTAATTTGCAATATTACGGCCATGATCATGACGCAAGGTTCAAGGTATTTCATCCTCATCTCTCATGTACAGACCTCGACACTCAAAACACCCCGGGATATCATGCAACACACACACACACACACACACACACAAAAAAGACGTACGCCCCGCCGCCAGCTTCTGGCCACAGTAGAATGGTGTTTCTCGACGGAAATTAAGCCTCCTCCTTGGTGGGCTTGGTGTCGATGGTGCCGGGGGCAACGACGTCCTCGACCGTCTCGTCGGTGAACTTGAGGTCCTCCTCGAGGGAGACGGTGTCCTTGATCTTCCAGAAGATGATGGGGGCGCCGATGATGAGGGCACCGGCGAGGCAGCCCCAGCTGGCGCCGAACATGACGTTGAAAGGCTGCTCGTCGCTGTCGAGGGCCCAGAAAACGGCGGCGCCGGCGGATTGGATTCCTGTGAAGGGGGGGTCATTTAGCAAACTAGACATCTCTGAAGTATCGTGAGCAGGATAGAGAGACGTAAGCATACCTTTGTAGAAACCGGCCAAGTTGGCGGCCTTGCGGGACGAGTTGGACAGGGCGCCCATGTACCAGTAAATACAAGTCTGCCAGACGGCGTCGAAGAAGCCGAAGAAGATGTACAGGAACATGGGGCCGATGTACTTCTCGCCGCCATCGGTCCAGTCGACCTTGACAAAGCCCTCGGCGGCGGTCTCCTCACGCGTGGCCTGCTTCTTCTGCCAGGCGTAGCCGCCGCCCCAGATGACGAAAGTGAGGACGATGAGGGCGACGTAGGAGCTCTTTGCGCGGACGCTGCGGCGGACGGACTTGAGATCGAGGGCGTAGCCGAAGACGAGGGCACCGAGGATCTGGGAGGACCAGTAGAGCACATTGTTGAGGGCTCTCGTGCGCACATTGAACTGGGCGGCGTTCATGTTGTTGGTCTGGTAGGTGTAGAAGATGTTGGAGGTGAAGAAGAGCGGGAAGAGGGCGATGATCCAGGGCTCGTTGTAGAGCGTCTCCCAGAGACCCTTGAACTCGGATCGCCAAGACGGGTTCTTCATCATGATGACCTTTGAGCCGTCCTCGCGGACAACCTTGGGCACGTCGCACATGAACAGGGCAAGTATGGCGCCGAGGAGCATGAGGACAAGGAAGGCGACGTAGGTGCCGTCGGAGACGTTGCCCGAGACCTTGTGGATGTTCTCGCCGAGAGGGATAAGGGCGCCAATGACGGCGCCGAGGTTAAAAATCATCCAGAACCACGAGATGTAGCGTCCCTTCTCTTTCTCGGTGGGGTAAGACATCATGATTGCGCCCTGGCCGGTCCACAAGAGACCGGCGCAGACACCGAGGAAGGCACCGGCGAAGATGACGAAGCCCTCATTCTGGTTGTGCGAGTAGCTGAGGAAGGAGGCGGCGTAGATACAGTAGCCGAGACCACCGATGCTCAGGGTCAAACGAAGACCGAGACGGTTAGCGAAGGTACCGGCGAAAAAGGCGACAACGGCGAAAGTCGAGTAGAGGGCGGTACTAGCCTTGGTCTGGGCCGAAGTGTTGACCTGGCCACCGCCACCAAGACCGGTGAGGGCGTTGAACATGCCGGGGCAGAGGAAGCAAATAAACGAGACCATGAAGAGCTGGATGCGCGGGGAAGCGTACCAGAGCTCCTTACGACGGATTCTGAAGCCGCGGTACATCCAGCCGGAGGGACGGGGGGTGGGGGTGAGGGTATCGGCGGTTGCGGGGGCGGCGTCGCCGGCCGTGGTAGTGGCTGGCGCCGCGGCGGGTTCCGCGGTGTGTTTCTCGTCCGTAGACATTTTGGTGGTGTTGGGCGCGATTGAGGCTGTCAATTGGCGGTGATTCTGTTTTGAAGTTTTGGTATTTGTGTGAAAAAAAAAATGTGTGTGTTTTGTATGAGTGAATGTGAGAGTGAGAGGGTGAGAGTATGAGAGGGGTAGGTGAGCTGCGCTTTGGTGCTATTTGAGTGTGTCGGAAACTATAAACTCAATTGCGACGGGACGGAAGGAGTGCCGTAGGAAGCACACGCGGGAAGGTGCTGGCGAAATATCGGAGGAAAGAGGAGAGGGGAAGCAGACGGCGAGATCAAGCAAAGGAGCCGGGGACGGGTGCGGCGTTCTTATGGGACATCTACCGGCGCAGGTTGCAGTTGCACTGGGTGATGATCGTGAGGAGTGGAGTCGAGTCTGCAGATGATGCCGGGGTGTATATGAGTGTGTGTGTGTGTGTGTGTGAGTCTGGAGTGTGGCGTGTGGTAGCGAGAGCAAAGAGATGGAGACGGGATGAGCAGGGGGGGAGATGGATGGGGTTAGATATTTGAGAAGAAGAGGGTGAGGGAGGGGGGGAAAAGATAAAGAGGGAGAAGTGGTTTGAGAGTGTGTTTGATTGGAAGGATGAGACAGTCAGATTTAAGAAAGGCCCTAAAGAAAGACTGGTCTGGTTTCTGGATATATAAAATCCGATACGAACAGTCCGGGTATGGAATGGAAAAGAGAGAGCGAGAGAGGTATCAATGAGACTGAACGATGTACAGAGCTAGAGGATGCTGCTAAGGAAGGCAGCAAGACCGAATGAGACGGTTGGAATTTTTTGGATCGGAGCTACCCCGGCCTGGTAAGGTAGCAGTGGGAAGGGGTCGCCTGTCTCTGCGCGTGCGCATCTGACGTGTGGTCCTGAGTGGTTCCGAGGGGGTGCCTATCAGCTTGGGGATGGCTGGGGGGAAGCGATTCCTGGCGCCTGGGCTGAGGTCAATGCATTGTAGAGGTGTGTGAGAGTGTGGTGGCAGGCTTTTGGAGATGGGATGTGGCAAGCTACGTGACAGTTGCAAGGAAGACGGCACAAACGCAAACTTGAAGGGTATGGGAACGAACGAGGGAAACGAAACGAACAACCTAAGCTTCGTTGGAGTGGGAGCTAACAGCAGCCGGAACTACGCCTTCTACGCAGTTAGCACGAATGGATTCATGGCCAAACCTGACTTGTGGCGGTTGACTCCGTATTGAAAGGTGACAATGACCCCTGGCACGAACCAGCTAGCGAGCTTAGTACGGTACATACATACGGATACCATACCATCAAAGGTTGGATGATGGAAGGTGATGCTACATTCACTATCGTACAATTAGAGAAGGGAGACCAAAAAGCAGGAGAAGAAGAAGAAGAAGAAGAAGAAAAGAAAAAAAAAAAAAGTGAAAATTAAGGACAGGGGTGTGTGACTTGATGTGTGCTAGGCAACGGGGGAGCAGCCGACGGGTTCCAATCCCTCGACACCCTTGATGCCAGGGGGGGAGATACAAACCAGGTTGCGATTGACAGACCAGAGCCCACTGATACGAACAGAGGTTGATAAGAGGCAATCCCGGTCGGTATGGCCGGTTGGATGAGAGATAGTAAGCGTCCGTCGTCTGATATCTGTTTACTACGTAGATAGGCCATTCTAGCAGACACTGGACACCGATACTATCCTGTGTAGTGAAGAGACGATGCCGAATCACCTTAGTTCGGGATCCCAATTTTAGACAAACTTCAACGGCTTCGGACGGCACGCGGCGGCGATCCCAAGCCATGGCAATGGGGGCGCAACTGTTTGCGGTCGCCTGCTGGAATGTCTGCTGAGGAAGCATCCGCAGCATGACACCACATCTGCAGATGCAACCGGCCTTGATGAACGTTTGAATCAAACACCACCCTTGAGTTTATCCTTTTTTGGACCTTCTTCCCGGCTACTTTGATGTTTGTTTTCTCAGTTATGTCTTATCCGAGACGGGCAAACATGCAAACCCGCATGATAGCGGTGTTTCTGTTGGTTTGGTTAATATCTTGACTTTGGGCTTCAACAAGGCATTTGCACTAACAAATAAAGAAAGATAAATGGTAGATAAAAAGAATAAGAAAATACCAGCAAAAAAAAGATGAAACCCCACTACAGATCGCTTCTCCACTTTACCCCAATCGATAAGGTCACCACTACGGCAAAGGCCCGATTTTTACACAAAGAAAACCCTCTCATTGGCCACAGCTCAAACAGATCACGAGGTGGCGGCTACCTCGTTATTTGTCCAACTCGGCTGATGATTGGCCCATGTTTCCCGTGCCTCGGCCGATTGGGGAAGGAGCAAGTTGTCGTCTACTACTCTACTACGTACCTTTTGCACACTCTTTTTTTCTGGTGGCCGCCACGATCCCAAATGTGCCATCTCAATGCCGAAGATACATTACCTTTCCTGCAGCTAGACTTCTACGACTGTAGCACGCAGATTGGATTGCTGACACCGACATGGGGATGCGATACAATAGTCTTCCCCTCCGTCATTGGTCTGTTCGGTTGACTGATCCGATGGCGCAGACACGGGTAGTAGAGACAGCCAGGACCAGGACAGCGTAGGGGGAAGTCGAGACACACGACATGCGGCTGACTCTCTTTTTTTGCCCTGCGACAGTGGCGCAAATCTCGATACGAATAGAATCTGTCATCTCTATCCCTCGGGAAGATACTTACAACATTTCCTTACAAAAGGGCCAAATGTGGCTTATTCAGCTAGGATCTTTCTAAACCTGCAACTTTGGCCTCGTGCCTGTCATGCCTCTCACCTCCGACATGTCTGATTCGACCACCACCAGGGAGTCATCCGTTCAGTGGCCAACAACCTGAGAATCAGAGTGGCTGCTCAATCCCTGCTTCTTCCTCCCCCGTGCGGAGAAATAAAAATGGCGCCCAAAGCCAAGATAGACAAGCGTCCGCCCTAGAGACGCTAGCTGGCGGGGGGGGGGGGGGGGGATGGTTGGCATGTAACGTTTCCCTGAACTAAAAAAACCCTCCTGCAAGAAGAATGGAAGCAGAAGCAGAAGCCGGCACACTTTGGCCATGTTCGCTGTTATCTTTGTTGGTCTGTCGCCTTTGCAGAACTGCGTTATCAAAGATTTGAAAGGTCCAGCCTCGAGAGCATGTCCAGTGCGACGATACCGACCAAGGTGCTAAGGTAGGCCATTGTTTCTCGCAGTGGGCGGCCCGTTGCATTGTTCACCTCGTGGGTTCGTTACACAGATAAGTTCGTTTGCGCCGCGGCCTCTACCTCTTTCATCGATAGGACTGCGGAGGTCGTACTAAGGTAGGTAGATTCGAGGGTCCAGACCTCGAAACCCTCTTGCGAAAGTCCCTTGGGAAAGTCACTGGGGCGGTCCCGATTATCACTGCACGGCATCTATCCCCGGAATCCTCAAATAACCCACATTCAAACCTAAAGGCACCCGAAGTACATCCAACCGCTCTCTCGTAAGCTTCTCAGGCACTGATTTCCGTATATTGAATGAACACAAAAGCGCCGCTGTCACTATTGTAGCCACATGGTCTGCATCCTCGTATCTTGCATCTCAATCCCTCCTAGATGAATCGTCTGCTGGGATCTCACCGTAACCTGCCTTACCCCACAGTACCACGACCATCAAAGGTTACATTTCCCTAATCGTGGCGTCCCCAGGACAACCAACTTCTCGGGCCGCCCAGTATACTACGATTCTTCATTTCCCAGTCCGTGGTGCTGGGTCTTTGTGTCCAGAGATTGACGTGTCGCCGAGATATCTCTTCAATAGGGAGCCATCGCCGGTTAGAGGTACACGCAACGTACCGTCGTATCAACGTCGGTTAGGCTTTTGTCGAGGATGTGGCTGGCAACCATGTGCCATGCCAGTAGAGTACAGTCCCGACCGTGTTAATCAAGGCAATGTGATCCCTGACCGCGCAAGGTTACCAATGAAGCGGGCCCGGTGTCTTGGAGGCATGCTCGATCCTGCGGGATAATGTAGACACCGATGCCACATGTAGAGCACTTCCCGATCCCATCCCGTGTCCGGTTGATCGACACTCGGGCCCGGCGTGTCCTCCGAGCCTTGACCACCACGGATGCAGTACTTTTGAAACCCAGCGCGACAGTTTAATGTCAAACATTGACTTGGTTCCAGTCAGCTCCCAACTCACAGTTGAAAGAATGGTATTTCTTCCTCACGACCAGAGCCAAGCTCCATCCGCAATGAAAAAATGAAAAAAGGCCTGTCAGACGTCCATCGACACCCACCCCGTCCGCGCGCCCGAAGGCAAGACCGCAAACGGGGACGAGATCATCACCGCTCTCTATACAGCCAATCACGAGGAAAGGCCGCCTTCTTCGCAGAAGGGACGAGAGCAACCAAGAGTTCTTCACTCTAGGGCGTCGAGGATATAACTCATCAACCAGGGTGGGATCTGTGGCTCCTTTAGGGAACCAAGAGAGGGTCGAATACTATAGAAATGATTCTCTGAAGTATTGTCGACATGAAGAAAAAAAGAGAAAAGAAAATCCTAAGATGCGCGGTGGGAGGTCGCTCTTTTATAGACGATATTCTGCTCCTGGGAGTGGATACGTCCGAGTAGTTTGGGCGGCGACGGTCGTGAAAATTTCGTCGGCAGGGATGCCGGACGGTGACCGAGTCCACATTGTCAGTGTTTTTAGTTTGGATGCCTTAAAGCACGGGCGAATGTATCCGTAATGGAATAATGGGTAAGGATGATGATAAAATTTTTCTTCATGTTCTTGAACGGATATGATTGTTGGGCCGTGCAGTGTTGGCATTGCAGATTTATACAGAGTGCTGTGCATCTTGATGCATCGACACATAGGCGATCCTACGATGGCAAAAGCAACATCATACGGATACAGCCCTGTATAAAAATACTTGCCATCGCCACTAGCCCGGCCGGTAACAGTCATTTCAACAACTTGAATTCTTTACTTTTGCTTCCAGGGTCTCCTGACGGCTGCTGGCATTAGGAGTTTATCATGTGTCTCCCTCAATTTGCTTGTTTCCCGACCAAACTCCCTGACCCTGAAACCTTTCCCACCAAACGGAGGTCTGAAGTGCCTGTCTTGTATCCCATGGCTAGTTTCTCCGACTAGCAGTCGTAACGGCTCCTAATTTGATGGAAAAAAACACATCACTAACCTTTCACACCTTAATCCAAACTGTCAATTCCCTTCTATCAACTGCCTTTCGGCAACAAGTAGGTACGCAACATATGTGGGATACTCCAATCATACACAAGGATTTTGGCTTTGTTCGAATGATGAGCATTATTTGGGTCATATTTGAAGAAACATAGCCAAATGGATCGGTTGTTGCCTGTTTCCATTTGGTAATCGATGCGATACCTGCTCGTAGTACACCGATGCACTCGTCGGATGCGGGCACGTGCTATTGAGGTCGCACCCTATGTGCCTGTTCGACAACTTGGGACATTGTCCACGTTGAAACCGCTTTTTTGTGGCCACGGCATTTTGGGACTCGAGATTGGCCTTGACGTTGCCACCATAAGGCTCTAGTCCTGTCGTTGTTTGTCACCCATAGGTTTGTCTGATAGGACGGGCTTGAGGAGCAAGCAGAAATGACCCATCGTGTCCACCAGCTGGGTTATGGGCTAACAAGCAGATTTGACGGGCGTGTTAGAGCGTCCTTCGTTAGACAATCGAGTGGGTGTTATAGCTGTACTCGCGCGACAGCGCGACGATTTACATGGGCCACAGGCCACCCGGCTGAGTTGAGAGTTGATAGTCTGCTGATGTTGGCCCCCGAGTACGAGAGCCGGCACAAACCCGTCGTCCATGAGAAAATGCTTAGTCGTGATTGTTTGGACTGCGAATATTCGTAGTACCTGGTTTATCACTTGCCTCTCATTAGAAGCCACAAACTCGAGGACGGTTATCGGCTTAGAGACACTGCAAATAGGTCATATTCCGGGCTTGACCTAGAAATGATGCTGTTTGTGATCAAGGGGTATAGGCCAGCTTGTGTAGACGGATGCAAAGCTTCGCCGGCGCTGAGACCGATAAGAATGCGTGCTCCTCATGAAATGATACGCCTGGTTGAAGGAACGCCAGACCTACGCCACCAGTTTCTCACCGCTGACACGTGTTTTACCTTGCTAGCAAACTACTTTATAATCCATTGCAGTGTCCAGTAGACTCTGAATTTAAGCTCTTATAGAGGAGTCTCTCTCGAGGTTTTAAGGTGTCAGGGCCATCCCAATGAACGCTTTTGAGAACCTCGAGCAAGATAGTAGAGGAAGAATTGGGAGCGGGGAAGTTTATGGTAATAGTGAACCGGCAATCTGAACAGCGTTCGAGTCAATTATAGCACAGTAGAGGAAATTGGTCGGATATTTGATAGCTGCTTAAAGCTTGCGTGTCCACCAACGCCGGCGTGGCTTAGTGAAAGAAAGACTATAGTGATGTGGCGTGATTTGCTATCGGGACGAGACCTCATAATAGCCTTAATGACATCCCTTTTAGGCAATTATACCAAATCGAGCAACTATCTGATCAAACAGTCAAACGAAGAGGGCTAGTCAATTTGTCTTAATTGACTCAAGTGCTGGTTTTGACTGAAAGGCACACTAAATATCTTGTCGCCAGCTGAGAACACCTTGTTGCGAACTTCTTGGGTACCTGCTGCCTAATTGCAGTTCATGAGCTACTTGGAAGCTGCTTTCGGTGAGGCTTGCAGTTGGCAATCATTTCCATCTTCAATAACCATAAGGTATTTAAGTTGGCTTTTGGTAGCCCCGCCGTCAATCAGGTTTCTACGCCGCAAGGGCTGCAGCATGACCAGCTTTGAGGTCGTATACCGAGATCTATCTCCGAGTCAGGAGTGTATGCCTGCTTGGCAGCTTTACAATAACCAATGACTGCGCCATTCGCATCAACAACCGCTACGTATTCAGAACTTCAGCCCCGTGCCCGGGTTTTTCTACTTTCCTCCCTCTCCACCCTCGGCTGAGAGTTGGCGGAAATCTCAGGGCAATATCAGCCCTGAAGAGGAAACCACTGGTGGAAAAGGCGCACGACAAATAGCTCAACGTGGGGAATGGCATGATTGTCTTGTTGCGCGTGAATACGATGCAGATACGACTTGTCGTCTGCTGAAGCCGTGTTCGGCCATCCTACATACGTGCTACTTTCTCAATTCCTATGGCCGGAATTTGCAATCAGGCAAATCAGATGAAATTATCTAGGGTCTCTTACTGGTAGCTCGGGTTGAAGTACGTCCATCTATGCCTATGCGTCTTTAGAGATCTATTCTGCATGGCATAGAGCTGGACTCAACGAGTAGACGGCGTAGGAAGTATGAATGAAGACACTACAACATGTCCAAGTGTTAGCGACAAACTCAAGTCTCCCCTCTTATAGATAAGAGTAAGTCTAACCATACACTATAGCTCATCAATAGCTCAAAGATGTCGCATAAGATGTCCTTGATACGAGAATGGAAAGGCATAAGGATACGGAGCGAGTAGAGTATGGCCTCGTCAGCAGGATAAGGGTAGGAGGGGTGGCAGGCGGGGGTGGGGTCATGTATTGGTCTACCTAGAACAAGTCCTTGGCAATGGTAACGTACTTCTGGCCAACCTATAAAATAATGCCAGCCAGTCGCTGTTCCCATTTCCTAATCCCATCTCCTTAACAACCCAAGAGCGATATCACAGTCACCACAAGTTCGCCATCATGACCGATCACCCTGAGACCCAAGCGTCCAACACTGGACAAGAAGACAGCAATAAAGCCACTTCAACCGCCAGTCACCCTACCACTAAAGAGGAATACCTGAGCAAATTCCAACAGGCAACCGACGATTTTATCGCAAAAAACCCTGAACTTGCTTCCAGCCCCGCCTTTACTCCCTCCACCTACATTCCTGGCATTGAATTCATAGTTGACTGCCAGGAGTATCTCGACGCCAAAGGCAATGAGCGCTTTACCGCAGCCATGCGCCGGTACACAGGCCATGACGGGTTGCCTCCCCCGGCAGATGGATCTAGCGTCTTTGATGAGGTTCGGGCCGAGTGTCGGACTCTGCTCGAGGGCCGAGCAGACTTGCAGGCGCGGTGGGATGAGGTTTTTGGGGATCGGGAGGTGTGGCGGAAGCTCCACGACGCTGTAAAGCAGGGGAAGGGGGGAGAGGATGCTAAGGTTGGTGCTTCAGAGTAGAATAGGAGATAATAGTGAAGCAGTTTAGCTGAGGAATGGTACGAATTGGATGTCATGGTTACCCAGCATCTTGATTACTTGGTGGTACAATACCGCTGCTCAGACAAGGTTCTTCTCTTTAACCCAAGTGCACTTCATGCAGGTCGATAATGTCAACCTTACGTTGATTACGAGATAGATACGGGTATGCCTACATACCTGATTGTATGTGAAGTCAGAATCCCAATTACCGGGAGCATGTCTTGAGTACGGTTCGAGTTGTCAACGCCTACCTGGATGTATCCATATTGCTGGGATTATAGGGCAATATCAGGTGGAGCATAGCTAATTATACTGCGAATACCGAAAGTAGAGTTCTGTTATGATTCTTTCTGAAGCCTAGCTGTTCAAGTGCCCCCTTTTGACGCTCATTAGGACCGCCATCGTTCTATTCAGAACCCCGCAACATTAGAGCTGGGATGACCCCTACTTCACTCCACATTCTGACTTTGACGACATTAACCAGCATTAAGGAACCCTGCTGGCTTTATCCGGGTTAAAGACGTCAAAGATGACTAGTCGTAAAGGTCATCAATATCATAGAATGGGATTGTCATGCTTGTCTCTTTGCGATAGCAAAATCGGCAAAACTAGCTGGCCGTTTTACCTGGAGACGATGTAATGATAAGGGAATCCGAGCGCCTGCCCCGCAAATCATCGAATTGAAACGGCTTCTCGGCCTTCCGCTTCGCGTTTTTGCCGCGCCGAACATCCGGTTCGCGTTACACTTCGGGGCGAAGTGACAATGTAACTCTCTCACTCTGTCCGATTGGAATAACCGCTTCGTCCGGTCTCTCGAATAGCCAGAAAGGGCACCGCGCCAGCGCTCAGCAAACCTACCCAGTTGATGGTCGGCTCACTAATTTGCGCCGTCGCCGATGGCCAGGATTTCAGCTGGTGAACCTCAAGGCTTGCTCGAACTGTCACATATCCTCTATTACATATAAAGGGTTTGCCACATGAAACTTGCACTTCCGATGATTTGAATTTTTGCCTCATCAAACGAAAACTCCCAACCGAGTCCACTTACTCCCACTCATCACAACTGAGTTCCATTTCACCCATGGCCATGCACTCGCCGGCGATGTCTCTACCAGCAGATGTCCTAATCCGCGCAAGGGCAGTAGAAACACTATACAGCGGCATTCCAACACAGAAAGCTATTGCAATCAGAAATGGCCGAATCATGGCAGTCTCGGAGGATGCCAACCAATTGGACTACCTCATCGGGGACAAGACCATTATTATAAACAAGCCCGAGTCAACGGTCCTGCCTGCCTTCAATGATACACATACTCACTTGATTTTTGCTGGCTTAAGTCAGTTCGACGTCCCCGTGCATGACGTTCGCGATCTTGGCGAACTTCTAGGCCGCCTGAAGCACCGGGCGGCCGTTTCCTCGGAAGGTGAATGGATATGTACAGCAACAGACTGGCAGGAGTTCAACTTGAAGGAAAAGCGGCTTCCAACGCTCAAAGAGCTCGACACAATTTCAACCAAGCATCCAATCATGGTCCGACGAGGTGGCCATAACGTAGTGGTCAACTCCGTAATTATTGACATGATTGGGGTCACAGCGGACACACCATCGCCCCCAGGTGGTCTTATCGGAAAAGAAAAGGATGGATCCCTCAATGGACTGTTTCAGGACTCAGCTCTGGTGCTCATGGAGAGCGTCAAACCATCCCCAAACCTTGAAGAACGCATTGCCGGCCTCGAACATGCATCGGCATCGTATGCAGCTACAGGGACAGGCTGTGTCCGCGACTGCTTTGTTTCCCTCGCCGACCTCAGAGTATTGAAGGCGGCCTATGATGCCGGGAGACTGAATGTACGCGTACGAGCATTGGTTCCTACACTCGGTTGCACCACGGCGGCCCAAGTGGAAGAACTTCTTGAGAAGATGGAACAGTGGAGATGTCTCCAGAACGAGCAATGGCTTTCCGTCTGGGGCGTTAAGTTCTTGGTCGACGGTGGCATTGAGGCCGCAGCTACCAAAGACCCATATGTTGTGGTGCCTCCTGGGCAAGAGTGCTGTCTACCCTCTGGGTACCATGGTATCACGCTTTGGGAGACAAGCAACCTTGTTGAAGCAATGAGCGTGGTTATAACACGAGCTTGGAAGATTGGCACACACGCTTATGGGGACAAGGCTATCTCACAAGTTCTAGACGTCTACGAAATACTTCTGCAACGGTTTCCCTTTCTTCAAATTGGATCTTTGGTTCTTGAGCACGGAGGCTTAGCGTCTGAACAACAGCAACAATGTTACGACCCGTTAGATACACCTAACAGGACCCACTCGGTTGGGCGGTTATGACAGGACTTTGTATGCAGGGCCACGGGAACAAAAGGTAACCTCTCGGAACGGAAGAACTATAGAACGGAACAAGTCACGTGATGAATCATTCTAGGTCAGAATGATCCAAGAAGAGTTGGGGGCCAACGGATCATGTTCGATCAATATGATCTCCAACGACTACAGACAATACGTGTAGATAGACTCCTATATAGACCAGGACTTGAGTACCTGCTCAAGCCCTCTAGATAGTTCTTCAGCAATCAACTTGTGATTCATCCTCGAATGACTTTCAGCTTACCTCTCAGTATTGTGAATACTAAGAACCTCGTTACCATAGTGTAAGACTGATCACCTTACCCTAACCCTACGATCTACCAGAACGACCTCTACGAACCAGTGTTAGTCTCTTACTGCACCTTCTGTTAGCAGAACCCTACTGTCAGATAGCTGGCCGTAACAAACAACGTGCTGCAGACCTCGGCATAGCTGTCACTATTCAACAACCTCTTCATCATGATACAGCGGGTATTCAAGAAGTGTATTGGGGGGCTGAAAGAGTAGCTCGTACATTCCCTGCGCGACAATGGTTAGCCAAGGGAGCTCTTGTTACTGGTGGATCTGATTATCCGGTTGGAAAGTACGCTGCCATGCGCTCAGTTTGGGGGATGGTGACGCGTCAAACCGTTGTTGGTGTTCGAGGCCCTGAGCACGCTATAACGGTGGCTGAGGCTATTTCTTTGCATACAACAAAGGCGGTTGAGCTACTGCACGAAAAGGAAACCCGCGGGTACCTTCTTCCTGGGTTCATGGCAGACATGACTATTTGGGATCTTGACCCACTAGGCGTATCTGATCCATCCAGTCTGAAGGACTTGACGCCGAGTTACACTATAGTAGGGGGAAGAATTATCTATAGTTCATAGATTTCAAGATCATTGACGCCGGAGGCTTTACCATGACAAACACCTTGTCTGTATCGTTGTTGAACATGTGATTGTGTCTTTTGAACGCCTCACTATTCAAACTCGGCACTCATTCGTTAACTTCAGTTCCTCACTTACTGACTTCTGCCATCGAACTCGCTCTAATTTTCTCATTGCCCCAACTACCAAAGAAAGAGAAAAAAAAAAAAAAAGGAAAAAAAAAAGGAAAAAAAAAAAAAAAACAAATCTAAAACATATAACACCAGGTATTGGTTGGTCGTCACTGACCTAACTAGTTTGGTTTGTGTTAACTGGGAGGTCCGATGCCGTTTGGAGTTCAGTAAAACGTTCGATTACAACACTGTAGTGGCCAACATTGAACCAAGGAATGATTTTCTATCATGACACATCGGAACAATATATCCATATGAATCGCCGTTTGCGAAATGGGATTGTAGCTCAGAATGCGACGGATCCGGCTTAGTGGTTTTAGCGCCAGCCACGTCTCTAGCCGCAGGTCGCAATTGTTCTAGGTCTGATAGCAATCCGCTCCTACTTCATGTGATTTCTTGCCATGAGGTCTTCGGAGAAGGCCTCCGTTGTTTTCTATTGGACATTCCCAAGGCGCAAAAATGACAGAGTTGAGGGACCAAAAGCTTAGCCTGTCAATCTTGACAAATGCGGAAATATCGCCCCAACAGAAAGTTAACGTCGCACACCCACTTCTCGCACACCCCCACATTTCGCACACCCATAAATTGGGTCATCATGAGGTATTCATCAACTTCATAACTATAAGTCTGATTCGTCTCCTGCAACTGTGATACTATCGCCAGTTTTAATAGGTAATTCAGGCTCGCTAGATTCATCTGAGCTATCCTCAATTTCGCCAGCCTCAATTTGGGCTTTGTGAATTGCCTCAATGTTGGCAAACTTCGAATTTGGGCTCATTTGGACCTTACGCCGCTTCCGTACCATTCCAGCCTCAACTTCTGCTTCCAACATTGCAATCTTCTTCTCTGCTGTAGCCAATTGATAGTCCTTTTCATCAAATCCCTTTTGAACCTTCCGAAACAACAGTCGCTGCGTTTGCTGATCTTTATCCAACTTGCTGAATAAGCTAAGTTGATCATATAGATCAACTGTCTTCTTGGGCGTTGACCAGGCTACTATGGATGTAGCAGATGCCCAGTTTTCGTCTTTTCCACCATCAGAGGCCCTCATAGGCGTAGAATAGCCTGGCTTTGAGGGCTTGGAAGCATTCTCAAGCAGTAGAGGGCTCATGAGCGGTCGAGCTATCGAAATGGGCCATAGTCCTGTTGCTTTCCAGCCGCTTCTGATATTCTTGCTTGAAAATGCCATCTGGCGTGCTTTTCCATAGCAGGTAAGAAAGTTCCGTTTGCCTACAACTGTAGAATCGTTGTGTTGAATGAGGTATCCAAGCTCTTTTCGATAGGTCGCCTTGAGAGGCCCAAAGACTGCTTGGTCTAGAGGTTGGAGAACGTGGGATGTATGTGGCGGTAGGAAAAGGAGATATATCTTGTGTTTATAACAGAGATACATAAATTCTGTTGTTTCATGACTGCCATGACCGTCTAGGATCAATAGTCTCTGCTCAGAGGGATGATCAGGCTTAGTCAGAGGGATAAAGATGTTCTCAAGCCATTCCACAGCTGTAGAGTCTGAAGTCCAGCCATTCTCAGTTGCTGTGAACTTCCAACCACTGTAAATATCACGTTTATGGATATCAAGAGGAAACCATTGTTGTTGAACCGATTTCCCTCGATAAATAACAAGTGGAGGAAGCGCCTGACCAGTTGCAGAGACACACTCAAGCATAGTTGTCCAAGCCCGAGACCCAGGCTGTTTTTTTCGCATTGATGAGCTTTCTGATGATCCCAGTACTAAGCCATTTGATCCTCTGCCTTCTAGGATACCAGTTTCATCCATGTTATAGCGATGATGTGGTTTGATCGCCTTGATCTCTGGAAGGGCGAGTTGTTGAAACCATTGCCTGATTACATTAGTTGAGGCCCCATTGACACGCTTAGAATCGATGGCTCTAGCTCTATGAACCTTGATTGATGGATTTCTCTTAATAAAGAACTGAATCCAGTTTCTCCCAAGTGGCTGGGTAGTGCCTCTGATGTCTAGGATTCGCTGGGCAAATTCCTTGAGTTGTTGATGTGTTGGCGGCAGCCCTAACGCCGCCTGGATACGCACCCATTCAGCTAAGTGACTTTCCTGTGCTGGAGATAGCTTCTGGAAGCTAGAGAAAGCTACATTTCTTGCCTGTGAACCCTTTAATCGAGACTGGAGGGTTGATGGTGGAATTCCAGCATCATGAGCTGCCTTTCGGACACTCTGCCCACTTGCAACTGCATTGAGAGCTTGATTGACTTCTGTTTCCGTATACTGGCCCATTAAGCGTATAAGAGTAACTATTCAAAGAATTATAATAATCGCTGTAAAAGTGGTGAAGATATTAAAGAATGTTGAAGAGGGTAAAATTCTACATGAGCGATTTATGGGTGTGCGAAATGTGGGGGTGTGCGAGAAGTGGGTGTGCGACGTTAACTTACATTTGGGGTTCTGCAGGAACCCCACGCCTCTCTTGTTATCTGCGATGACATGGGTTGAATCGACTGAGACGGACCTTCATCGGTAATCTGAACAAACAGATGATGGTATAATTCTGCTTTTGGTTCATCATTTTCTTTTTCTGTATCCGGTATCCTGTATTATACTTTTGCTAGCCCACGTCCTCCTTTGGCAATGCGGCAAGCAACCAAGAACGAAGTTCCTAGAAACAGGCAGACACCCCCGAACACGAATGCGAATGTATACCGTCCTCCGCCGGCCTTGATCAAAGAGCCAGCGATTGGAGGGCCTGTCAGGTTGGCGAAACTGATAATCGAATAGACCATTCCCATCCTTGTCCCCGCTTTCTGTAGGTCGGTTGTTAACGACGACAGTGCGGCTGGGAAGAGACCTTGAACTGTAGCGCCGAATATTCCTGTATAGTAGAACGACTATAAGTAAAGGAAACAACAACAACAGATAGTGCTTAGGCTGCTAAAGACACAACTATTACATACCATATAGGACAGCCCAGACGTACAGTGCAGGCGCTGTTTTAATTGCATTCCAGCAAAATAGAAGGATAGTGCAGACTGCAGCAGCCGGCGTGACGACGTTGAGGGGGCCAAGGAACAGATCCGCGAGAAATCCGGGTATCACACGGCCAATGGCTCCCACACCATTCATTATCATGAGTATATCGATCGAACTATCGTAGGAAAAGGACAAGATGTCGCGACTGAACGGGCCGATGCTGTTGCGTGTTAGTAACTCCAAGTCTCCAAACACGACGATTGCGGGATGCGGCTTACTAGTAAAAGGCGAAGTAGACACCCCAAAAGTTCTTAAACATGTTAGTAACAGTTACTGTTCGAAGACCAGGCACACTTACAAAGAACATGCCAATAGTGAAGAGCAAATATGGCCGTTCTTTGAATGCAGAGAGCTCAATAAGCGAGCCTGCTCGTCTCGGTCTTACCCTCGCCCTCATAAAGACGTTGGCGACGGCCAATGTGAGGAGCTGGACCAGCGCCATCACACGCATAGTCCAACCGAACCCAATCTGGGGTAGGAGCTGGCGCGCCATGACGGGGAAAACCATGCCTCCGGTAGCTGAGCCGCTGATGGCGATCCCAATGGCCAAGTTGCGTCGCCGCTTGAAGTACGTTGACAAAACAGCCATGGCAGGGCAGAACAGTCCTCCCATGCCAAGACCAATGCAAACTCCCTGAGAGAGGAAGAGCTGCCAGTACTCTGTTGCGAAGGAAGCCATTAGACTTCCAACCACCACCATCGTGGACCCACTGGCCAAGACGACACGAAAGTAGCCGGCGTCCGTGAGGCGGCCGGTGAGAACGCCCACGACAAAGAGGAAGAAGACTTGCATGGAACCAATCCAGCTTATGTCGGACGCGGGCCGGGAGAGGTAGCTTCGGTAGAAAGTCTGGAATATGCCGAAGGAGTTGATGGTGCCCCAAGTATTCATGACGACAAGGTGAGCCGCCATGGCTTGTATCCACGCCTGCCAGCCTCCATCCGGAGGGGGGCCGTCAATATCGTTTACCATCTTGACATCGCATGCGGAGATGTCCTTGATAGTTCCGCTTCGTTCTACATCTTCGTCCGAGGAATAGAACATTGTGGACGCGGAAGGGGATGGACGGGGGTTGGCGGTGTTGTATTCCTTGTCACATTCACTGGGGCGGAGCCCGGAATGTGAGATTTCGATGCCCTTCATGGTGAATTAAACAACTCCCTGACCAAGACGAGTTCTGAGATTGACGTGGGAAAGCGCAAGCTACTTAGTTACTGAAAGTGAAGAACTTTCATCTTTATATCTTATCCTATTGGGGCTACCATTTCCCAGATATCGCCAGAAGAAAAGGGCTTTGTCTAAAGACTAACATTCATGGCCCCGTTTTGCCATTATCGTGAGACTCAGAGCCTTTTTGCCGCTGCAAACCGAAGCGCTTGACCCAATTATCAAAGAACATTTCGAGAAGCCCAAGCAGAATGTTTTCAAAGGGCTCCATAGTCGTTGCCAAGGCACTCGACTTTCCCGGATTGGTGTTTTACATGGGATGTTTCCCGGCCAAGTTTTCCGGCCATCGGCGAACTTTTCCGCGGGCAAGATAGGAACAGGCACATGTAGCACAAATTCACCAGCTTAGGCCACCAGAATATTGCTATTGAAACTTTCCGGCGGGAAACTGATCTATCGTAGTTCCTGCGGTGGATTCTGTTCTGCGGTTTTCATCGGCCTTGTGTTGAAGCCCTTGATTTGGTTCGATCCCTAGCACAACAGGGAACCTGGGCTGGATCTTGTCTGTAGCTCCTATTTCCGGCATGTGTTAAACCCGAATGACCCGAGGGTATATATAAAAAGGGATGGTTCACAATACAAATTATCGCACCCCCCTTGAAGATGTGTATCACTGCTGTCCAGGAGCTGCAGGAACAAAAGACATCAATCGCAACCGACGTCGATTGACGACAACTCATGGGCCAGTCTAACAATACATTCCGTTCCCTATCTTTGTGTAAGCTGGTTTGGATCTACCCTTTGTTTAGGTGTGAAACTGGGCCATGAAAGAATAAAAGAGGCTCTGTCGGATGGCAGTGAGTTCCAACCCCAGCATAAGCCACTTTACGGCCATGCCTCTGAACCATGATAATCAGGTCTCACCCATGAAATGCCCTTCACTGGAGCAATAGTGTTGAGTGGGCCGACAAGTTGTCCGTGTCGGCTATTTCGTATCCTTTATGGAAAAGCCTGTGCTTAAACATCCCCCCCGGCCTCGGTCAAATCTGGAAGACACCGCAGTGCTCTAACACTGAATGCCAACTGTCAAATTTGACTATTGTTGAACACCGCTGGCTTGGCTACATCAGTGGGCTGTGTGCTGTGTTGAGTTTGAACATGTTATTCCTGCCCCTGGCAACCATTCATAATCTTACCATCGCCATGCATAAATGTCAGTTTTCTTTCGGGAAATCGGGTAATCGGTCCTATGCTGTGGGGTGCTGCGTACAAACTGTAACCGATTGTTCGCTCAGAATGCATCCCTGACGGCGACGCACTCATGAGAAGCAAGGTTAAGGGAAATGGAAGGCCTCGAGCCAATCTCAAACCCGGATATTCTCATTTCAATATGACTGCACCTCCGCTCTGCCACTTTCCTCTTATTCAAACACTGCCGGATTGGAGCAGAGTTGGCAGAAAGAAAATTTTCCCCTGTAGTATGCTCGGGTCAATGAGAAGCTTTTGATTAAGGCGACTGTTGACCGACTCGGGTCCTGTTTTCTTCAACCTCAGACCAAACCACCTGGAGTGTGGGACTTTGATTGCCGTGAGCCATACGCCACAAAGCTGCAAGAGTGCCACCTACGTAATTTGCTCTGCCCCTGGACGGCACTGTTGTGCTTGGTTGTACAAGAGTATGTGACGTGGTAACTTTCTTAAGGCAATGCATGTCGGCAAAGTATCCTTCACCGTTGACCTGGGTCAAAGAGAAGACCACATGGAGATACAGCACCATTGAGTGACTGAGACCGGCTTTTGTGGTTACCTGTCCAAGAGCTTCAGCATTAAGGCTCATTGCCTGTAACTCCCTGTTGTACGCTTCAACTTAAACAGGATAGTTTTGAACGCAACAAGCACCGTCGGGGTGGCGAGAAGCGCAGATACCACAATACCTACGACATGCGGGCTGTGTCATCCCTCTGAAAGGGCAAGCAGGCTTTTGCAAGCAAACAGTTTATCCACAAACCCACAATGTACAATACCGGCAAACTCTCTGTCTACTAATTGACGGAGTGAAGAAGAAGAATTTATGTCTCTTTGGCGGCCAATTTTGATATCGTTCACTAAGTGAGGTTGAGACGTAGCCACTGCTCCGCTGCATTGTATGTGCTGGCTCCACAGGCAATCGGAGTCAGAGATTTTGTACTGGGGTAAATGCTTAAGGTCTCGTGATAGCGGCCTAGATCACCGAATGCGAGATTACGACGTCTGCATGTCAGTAAGCAACGTGGTAAAGAATGTAAAATGGAATGAGCTGACCGCTTCGATTGCCCTGATTGGGGAAACCGCAGAAGTTGCGGTTTTATCTAAATGCGCTCTTGTAACCCGATGATACGGAGAACAAGCGCCAAACACTTCCGAGCTTCCACTGCAATCACTCACGGGCAGCTATTTCCCCCGTGTCCGTACCAGGAAAAGAGTTCCGCGTAAAGACATGGTCTATGCGAGGAACGAGGCTGAGCTCATAAATTACTGAGCTCATAAATTACCTGCCAAGAAACTAGGAACGGAAAGCCTGACCCCGTTGTTCCTGTGCACAACTCTCAACTGCAAAAGACCCTGTTCACAGAATCTCTTCACTGTGAAGACATTGTCCAAGGTAAATCATCAGAAGCATTTTTTAGTTGTTCGTTATTGGAGTTGAGGTCAGATTCGTCCTTAATCATCAATCGATGAGGCTTTTAGGCAGTGTACTAAATCCGGCCATTTTTAGCAAGCCTAACGAGCCCCCTAGTTATGGCGCCTAAAGTTCAAACGGGATGGAAATTTAAAGTTGCTCTACCGCAATGTTATGGTATGTTATCCACACTATTACCACAATTATTCTTACGCTGTTAGACTCTCTGGAGTTCCGATACAGCTGGTGGGTATGTTAGAACTCGCTCTAAAACCTAAATATGCGAGGAACGCCACTCAAATTAAAACCAGCACGTCCCCCAAAGATCCGCCCTGCAGATATATTATATGGAGTTTTGACTTTGGCTGAACTGACTCGATCATAGCCGTACTCTTTACCTACGTTTATTGTGGGGGGTATGCGAAACTTAAAGATAGAGCTGGATGGACCTGATGGGCGCCAAGGGGCAATGGAGTGATGCCTTATATAAGATTGCGTCTGTCTTCTTTCATGATCATTTCGAGAAGGCATACTTATTGTTCTTTACAGCTCTACTACCACAAATCAATACAACTCGCCCTGCACAGCTTACTTTTAAAATGTACGCCTTCAAGCTTCTCCCACTTCTTGCCGCCTTGGTTCTTGCCGAGAATCAGGGACAAGGCTGCAACCCTGACAAGTACACCATGGGCTGCTCCGGGCAGAACATTGTCAAGTGTTACACATGGGAAGGCAGATCTAAGCCAACCTGGAACTTTGTATGTCTCTCAACTGGGTGAACCTCGAGTGTAACTCAAAGCAAAGCTAACCACATTCAGGTCCAATCGTGTTCGGACAGCAACCAGAAATGCTGCAACGGTATTTGCACGTCTAATAAATGCAACTGAGCGTCTATTGAGCTCATGACTATGTAGAGAGCGCCAGCAAGATGCTTTCATCATTCATAAAAAGACAAGGCACTTGATAAGCTTGTAAGATAGAGCAGAGATGTGGTAGAGTCGATACCCCTGTGCAGAATGAACAGCCTGCTTTCTACCTATAGTACATACAACAGATATTAAACTACTTTCGAACTTCGAAAACAAAACTATTGCATGATGAGGTGAACAAGGGGCTTTCATGGCTCTAATCTAGGGTAATTGTGTGGCCAACAGGCCCCTTGGGAGTAAGTTTCTAGATGCTATGCCTGTAGCACCCAACAACTTCTCCGAAAGCTTTAAAGACCAAGGTAATTATTGATATAAATTACTCCCAAGTGATGCCAGCAATAGCCCAGATCCGAAAGTTGAACTTGAGCACCATACATGCCGACCACCATCACTTTGGCTTTAGCTAATAGTAGTTGGTGCTGGTATCTTTGGCCTATGACCCGGATTTTCATGAAACTAAACTTGCTATTGAAGAAAGCGAGGTTAGCTGAACCGCAATCAGTTTGGATTGAATGTCTCGGACGCTTTTGGTAATATGTTATAAATGGTGTTGAACCCGATGGGAAAAGTCAAGGAAAGATGAAGTACAAAACGAGCTATGATAGATAGGCGCATTTTAACAGAGGTTTATACTCTAATCACACTAGTCATTGTTAAAAGAGTGAGAATCTAGAAATATTAAATGGGACCGGACCCAAAGTCAATGAGCTCTAAAAAGGATCTGACGCCGGCGCTCTCGTGCCAGAACTACTCTACAGTATGCATTGAAGAGACCAATCCCCAAAAACTCCTGCAGATCTATCGCTTGTCGTACATGAATACATGGTTAGGTTTCAATTTTGATCTTATGATCATGAAAAACAATCCGTCAATTACCACGCAGTGTGACCGCCGTCGATAACGATGTTGCTGCCCGTCATGAAAGTGCTAGCGTTGCTCATCAAGAACAACCCAGCGCCCTTGAACTCGTTTGGCTCGGCAAGTCGTCCAAACATGTTGTGGCTCTCCCACTCCTCCTTCAAACCGGGCACTTCTCTAAAGTTCTGCTCGACCATCGGTGTGATGATATGACCGGGGCTGATGCAGTTGACTCGGATGCCGCCAGAGCCATCCTTCCTCATCGGGCTCCACTCCATGGCCAGGTTTCGGCCGAGCTGGATGACGGCAGCCTTTGAGGAGTTGTATGCGGGCGAAAGCAGACCATGGTTGGCGATAAGTCCCGACATACTGGCAATCAAGCAAATGCTACCATGGTTCTTGTACTTGAACATCTGTCGAGCGGCGGATTGTGCGGTCATAAATACACCCGTGTAGTTAACTGAGAACATCTTGTCGATGTCTTCAACAGTATAATCGAGGGCGGGCGTGATTTGTTGGATACCGGCAGCAGCTATTAAACCGTCCAGACCCTGGTTTTCTTCTGCAATGGCGGTGATTGTCTTGTCTAGTCCTTTGGCGTCGACGACGTCCGCCTGTCGGTAGTGCAGCGAACCACCAACTTCGGGAATGACACGCTTCATGGCTTCTCCATAATCTTCGTGGGGCGACTCTTGCCGATCCAGGCAATACACTGGAATATGTGAGTATATGTTTGTGTCATAGAGCATATTGATTTCAGATTGACTTACCCTTGCCACCTGCTTCCACAAGTGCTTCCGCCAGGCTCAAGCCAAGACCCTGCGCACCTCCAGTCACGATGAAAGTCCGGCCCTTCAAATTGAAGTCGGTAAAACGACTGCTGCCAAAGTTGGCATCTTTAGGGGGCTTGATTTCGGTAGCAGGGTTTTCCGTAGGTTTGGGGTTCATTGGTTTCGCGTTCCGCCGTTGCTGTGTGCTGTGGAATGGGCGGCAGGAAGCAGACATCTGAGGTATCCGGACAGCAGCTGGGGCCGAGAGAACATGAGACGGTGCCACCCTAGCGCGAAGAGCGCTGCGCAAGGCAGTTTTGGATGCTAAAGACATATTTTGTGCAAGTGATGAAAACTGAGAAGGTATCGTGAAATGTGATTGTTGGCAAGGTCGTGTATGAATTCAATTCAAGTGGTGGTGGTTGTGGTTGGTCAATTCATTCAGATCAATAAGGTTTGATCAATGCAGGGTCAATCTTTGTTTGAAGAGCATGTAGAGGAAGCTCTCTAAAATACTATGTCTGACCCCCAACAATTGAATGATTATTTATGGGTAAATTTACCACTACATGGGATTTAAACGATACTATGTCAACATGAACCATTTGCACGCGTTGTATTGACTTCTGAAAGACCGGAGGTGACCTCCTATTCGAATTGACGTCTCGTTGGCGTCATCCCGAAGGCTGAAACCTATCGGTTGGTGAGACAGGAGAGCTTTTGTTGGTCGCCATCCCGCGCTGTGATCAGGTGGATGCCGCGCCGCAGACTGGAAGGAGAAAGGAGCAACTGCTCCGACCAGCTGGTTTGCTGAGGGGATTGAAAGGCGTGCACGAGACTGGCGATCACTTTTCGCATGCTGCCGCAAATGCATTTCAGCTCCAGAATGGGCCCTTATGATGACGCGGCTGGTAATTGTGGCAGCTGCAGAGAGCCCTGCAGTAACTAAGCACCTAGCCACAGGCACCGTTAGTAGATCGATCGCTGCACGAATGCTAGACTCAGACACTAGCAGGCACTGTAGGGTGGCAGCGGTAGGCGTCCGAGCCAACTTGGCAAGATGATATTTCGGTTTCCCGCCTGTTGTAGGATTTTTTCATAATGAACGTGTTGCCCCAGAGCGAATCGGGTCCGCTTCCCTGTTTGCTTCCTGGTTGCTGATCGGCGAATGTCATTCTTTGCCTGTTTCGATGATTGCCCACCCCACACCATCCCAGCTCCGCGTGTCTCCTGACAGGCTAAAAGCCTGTGGCGCCCGAAAAGCCACTGGAAAATTCATACTGCCTCAGCTGCTTCGTCTGCTTAGATTTGTGGTCGCACTTGAGCCCGTTTCTCGTAGCTTGGTGTTCTGTGGCTTCACAGCTGTAATCGCCGACCGGAGGCACCTCCGGGACGGACCTGACCTCCGCATGAGTGGGTCCACTCGCGGGCCGTCTCGGCGGGTCTCGCAGGGCTGAAGGCAAAACCTTGCACAGAACTTGACGTCACTAGGGTGATTGGATCAAAGGAATGACTGAGCTTTTCAATTGACTCGGACATAAATGCGTCAGACTTAAGTGAGAAGACCCAATGAAAGGTATCGTGACTGCTAATTTGCCTCACCGCAAAGGCCCTGATTATTACTCCCCTCCACTTATTCAAGCACGACATGAAGCTGTGGATATCTCCGGCTCGGAGATTTCACGGGTGGTTTTTTGAAATCTCCACTGCTTCTCGCCTTTAGACCTTCGTGTCCCGGGGCTCCTCCTGCGATCCGGTCCTAGCACGGACATCTTCGAGCTCCACCTGGAGTACCTTCTGGGCGTTCTTATGCACCTTATCCTGCACTTCCTTACCCTCGAACATGAAACTCAGCTCTTCGAGTGTTCTTCCATGGGTCTCAGGGAAGACAAAGTAGACAGTGGCAATCTCAACCAGAATCCAAACGCAGTACACGATGTAATACTTCCACTTGATGGAGCTGAGAGCGATAGGGTTGACGTAAGTGTTGAAGAAAACAGCAAACCGAACAGTGAGTTGCTCAACGGCGATTCCCTGAGATCTGACGCTGAAGGGGAACAGCTCAACCATGTAAGTGTATCTATCAACATGTTAGAACCCAAGCTAAACATTTCACGGGAGAAATAACGCACGTGAGAGCGTTCCATCCAATGTTGTAGAACCTGCAAAAGTTGAACCGTTAGCTATTTGCCACTTATTCAAGTCGGCATTTGTTGGCTTACGGAGAGTAGAGATAGATGAAAACAAGGACTGGAATAGCAGCCCGTGACGAATTCTCAATAGCAAATCTGGCCGATGCAACGGTCCACACCGTGTAAACGCATGCAGTACCTGTCATGAGTGGTCAGTGGCATAACTTCCATCTGGGGAGTGAAAGCACGTCACACGTACCGATAGTACATATCAAAAACATTGTTCTGCGCTTGAAGCGCGGGGCTATCAGAGCAATCGGCACAGCATTAATCATTCCTTTACTCAGGTTAGTTACCATTTAAAACAGAATTTGAAATCAAAAATTAAGAAGAATCATTGATTAGCTCCCAAGGCACAGGCGTTATGTAGCCGACACGTTGTTGGTGATGTTGGTTGACTTACCCCAACAGGTATTGCTCAGAATTATTTTCTGAACAGTACGATCATCCTTGATACCAACGAGAGAAAAGTTGGAACAACCTTGCAAGAGTCATCTATACACGGATGCAACTTTCTGCCTATCCAAATTGAACACAGGAACTTCAACTTTGTCATATTGAAGTACTCCATGAAGAATTTCTAGCGGCCGTTCAGGCGCTTAGAACCTCTGACACCATGACCTAGAATGCTATAGACCAGAAATTTTATAAGCAAATGCGACAAATTTCTGCGCGCTGTTAAAGAAAAATACTTAGCCGCCCCCTAGGGTCCTTACACCTTTGCATGAGATATATATGACCTAACCCAATGTCGTCCGGCCTATTGTTAACAGAAAGCCCGAAGATCAAGTCATGTCACCAAAATAGCTTAACGCAATATCCTCAAGGCGGCTTTTGCACAGTTTACGTACAGTTCTAGCTGAGACGTGGTAATCATAAGAGGCAATCCCTCAACAGTTCTCAAATACCGGTGGTGTTGAAAGATCTTGCAGTATACTCCAAATTCACGAATGGCATGCGTTTCCTGATTCCCGATAATAAAAGTCCAACAGAGACGTAATCCGCGATAGTTCTAGTTTCCTTGTTCGATGCTTTTGACAGATTCTTCCGAGATACCTGCCAGCGCTGCGACTAACTATTGCAGCAAGGCTATCGGGGTAAAGAGCGTTTCTGTTGGTGGCAAGGTGGATGTCATCTTATGTATTGACATTTGATAGTTTGCCGCAAATCTTTCCAGGCGGGTTCATTTCTAGCTAACACGCTTTCTATTTGTGTAAGACTCAGTGTGGGTAGGTCATCTTCCCCCGGTTGACAGGTTAACAATCAGGCGGTTCGACACGCATCGTAGAAGGCTTATTTACAGGACATTCACTAGTTGTAAAGTATACATCAACAGACTATATAAAAGTCTCACTGGCAAATTCAATTGAATTTAAATAGTCAATCGGGGCTTTGTTGTCTTCCCCGTTGGTTCATACTTATGGATGAACGATTGCGGTGCCTGGAGGAACGAAGTTCCGGAAGGTTTTCAGGGACCGCGAGGGGCGGAAAAGTCGTCTGCCACCCCCTTCAAAAATTTCCGCGGTGGTCTAGTTGGTGATGGTGTTAGGCCATTATGCCATCGGACAAGAGCTCTTGGGACGGAAAATACAAACTTTATGGAATTAGGAAGTTAAGTTCGCGGCCTTCGAGGGTTCGATTCCTACTCGTATTCTGTTTTTTTGGCTAACGCAGCCGCCTGCCGCCATAAGACTTTCTTCGCCGGCTGTACGGCGGCTGCAGTCGGTCCTGCATTCGCTTCGTTCCTCCAGGCTCTTTCTAGGCAAAGCGCTGAAGTCGCTTTGTCTTTTCTTGTATCACAAGGAAGGTATTTAAGATGCGCCTCTTGTTCCTCGGGCACGGCCATGATGGTCAGAGGCTACTACAAAGCTACCAGTGTGGCTAACTTTGGCTTATGTACTCACAACACACCAAAAACTGTTACATACGACCATACCCATTGGAAAACTCGGGATCCCGTCCGCTCTCCCATAGATAAGCCAATGAGGGCCGGATTAGTAGTTGGGTCGGTGACGACCAGCGAATACCTGGTGTTGTATGTTTCTTTTTGGCAAAATATGATTCTCTTCCCGCGGACCTAGTTTCTTGGGCAGGTGTAGGATCACAGTTGCTACCCTATTTAATTTTGGTAGTTGCAATATATCCCTTGTTTTATGTTGCCACAAATGAATTTTCCATGCTTTACATTTTGCACGTCCACTAGTTAGGTAGTCGAGTGAGCTAGCCGCTGATGTGAGGCCGATGAGGGGAGACTTATCATCGTTGGGCTGACCATTATTTCTGTTCGGTTCCATGATAGAAGAAATTCGACGTATTGTTATGGGTAATTTTGCTGGCGAACTTGGTCTTTTCCCAAGCGGCCTGGAACGTTCTACAATGGACACCTGAAGTTCTATTTACTAGGAGAGATCCTCAAACAATGGTTTGTGCAGGCTGGTTAAAAAGCCGATACAAGGAGCTTGAGTCCAAAAATACAGACCAAGAACCTAATGGGGTGAAGAGCTTAACCCTAAGTCCAGGAACCAGTGTATAAGATGAGATAATAGAAATCCTGCATAGGCTCTTTAGGCCTATACTATGATAATACAAAGAGTAAAACTCAGATCAACCACGATGTCTTTTTCAACCGTAGCGCAAGAATGATTAATTTGAAGTGCTTTTAACTTGTGCCACTACCAACGCCGAGATTAGTAATGCAGCACCGTGTAATCAGAGAGTCAACCATCAGCTACAAGATAAAGGAACGTGGAATGAAATCCAATAGAATTAGTACACCCTGCCCACTCTTAGCTGACTGACGGCAAATTTCTGAGCTTGAAGAGGTGAAAGTTACCACAATGATAAAGATATTGACTCGCAGCTGACTGTGTATGTATGTTGGGGGTTCAATCATCTGCTAATGTGAGCATTTTACCCATACACAGCTGACTAGCGATAATTTTGGTATGTGTGAAATGAGAGACTAATATTCGCGGCCTTTATCATGACCCGTAAGATATGGACCAAGGAATTCGAAAATAGTTAGAGGGTAGGAGAAACCGGCGAATCAAGTTCGCTCTCAACGCTTCTGGATATGCTGTGAGGATTTCACTTGTGTGTCTTGAAATCTGTTAGCAGTAGTAAACTTTCTTTGTTGATGCGATGCATCAGTAAAGCCTTGTAATACCGTGATCTACCTCAAGTCGATCATCTGGTTGTTTAATGCAGGTGGTAATAAAAGAACTTCATTAGTAGAGTGTGACTCTAAAGTCCTCGTTTAAAAACAATATTCAGTGATTAAAGCAAGTTATGAAACTTATACTAGTTAGACCGATACCAGTTATTCAAAGTCAAGGTTATGACATGTTGCTGCTCTTTAATATTTACAAAGAAGAGTTATTCTCGAAATTTTATGATGAATGGTGTCGTCATAACGCAGTCATTCCAAACATTAAGGTCTACTGGCTTTTCCCAACCTCCTAAAGCGCACACTCTGAATGTATAGCTTCCTTCAGCAACCAGAGTACCGTTCGCGAGTATTCCATTCCATCCAAAATAGCTTGTCTCTGTGCGCCCAAAGCCCCCGAGTTTCGCAGTAGTTTTATCTGCGGGAAAAACAGGCATACCTTCATCCGATTCTTGAGCCGTTGCTGAGAGGACGTGAACAGAAACAGCTTTGCTAGGAAACGCTAATTGTAAATTAAGAGTAGGAAGCAAATCGGAGGAGTTAGACCGCATTATCGCCGAAGTGTTATGTTCAAGATGAAATATCATATTTGGGGGGATCGGAGCAGCATTGTACTTTTCACCTTTTGCCTGCTTCACGGTGGCAGCAGTGACATAGGTCCGATTCCAACCTGGGGGCAAGGCGGCCACATGACGCAGTGAACACCCGATTCCGCCGTATGAAATGGTAAGCCGAGTAGTGTCATTGCCATCCAAGTGAATGAAACCACTATACAGAGGGCAGTCGGGAGCGAGTTCTTCCAAGTTGGTAATATCCGCTGTGACCTGAATCGTTGCTGACTCGCCTGGTCTTATCAATATTTTCTGGGAATTTGTCGTAACATTTGCGTAGTGTCTAGGTTTCAAATTTTGAAGAAATTCATCACTAGCCAGGGAAGAAGAGTTGTCTCTGGTCCAAGGGACGACTTCTTTCCTATCAACCAAAAATGTTTGGACAGTGACAGCTGGCTTATGAACAACTTCGTACTCGACTGACTCATTCCCTTGATTGTGCACTTGGAAGGATGCCTTCCCAGTGAAGTATTCGGTGTCATTGAAAGCCAAGTTGGAAGTTGATACCAAGGAATTCGTATCTATGGCTCGGGTAGCATTGACAATGCCGTTCCCTTGTTGCCAAACAGGTGCGAGAAAATCGTATGTTTTATTCGTTCCGTCATTAAAAGCCAGCGGATGTGCAGTACTGGTCAGGAGCCGCATAATCTCAGAAGAATTCAAGCTGGGACGAGCTTGCTTCATGAGAGCCAAACAACCCGAAATGTAGGGCGCAGCCATTGATGTGCCTGACAAGGTACCATAGCCACCCCAACTTCGTGGGAAGGTGGACCAAATGTTTTGTCCCGGGGCTAGGATTGATGGCATGATATCGCCTAGTCCTGCGGGACCCCACGAGCCACGGCCGTTGATTTGTCCCGGAGGAAGCGTGTTTGCGCCAACTTTGACATATGGGTCAAATTGAAAGTCTGAATCCATCATCATCGTGACATTGGTCCCCGTGGCTAAAGCTTGGATTAGCTCCAAACCAGTCTGTGCCGTGACTGAACCAGCAGCAGATATTCCGTCAAAAGTATTATCGAATTCCAGTAGCGGCCCTTCTACATTGTCGTACAATAGGACGTAACGAGCACCTTTTGCGACTAGGTTTTCCATTTTAACGCTAAATTTGCAGCCTCCACGACGAGTTAACACCACAGCGTTGTCGTCAAAGCGAGAATTAGCCGGCAAAGCTGTGCATGCATCATCTTGAACAGTCATGTTTAAACTTGACGTCTGTAAGATGAGAAAGGCCGGAAACCTTCCTGGGGTTGCCGGGGTCCAGGGGAATTCTTTTGCAGGCGTAGTGTTGTTTTCCGCCGCGCCAACCTTGTATTTGGCTCGTGGTCGGCTTTGAACCGCATTTATTTGATTGACTGAACCGACAGCCATGATATCCGTTGCTGATGCAGGTGAACTGGCTGAAAATGGTCCTTGCCACCCATAGTTGCCAGACGCCACCACAACGAGGGTTTTTCCCTCTTTAGATATCCTTGTAAGCACTTCGGATACAGGATCTGTAACAATAAAGTCAGACTTATGAGGTGGTAAGATTAGTGAACAGAAGCAAAACACACCATCTGGGTAAGGCCCCGTGTTCAACGTCAGGGACAACGATAAAACATCCACATTCCTATTATGAGCCATTGTGATAGCCTTCAAGATAACATCTGACGCTATTGGAGCTCGTTGGCATCCAGAAATGCGATAATGTTCCAACGTGGCCTCGGGCGCCACACCCACGAATCCGAGGGCCGAATGGTTGCCGGCAGCAATTCCTGATACATGAGATCCATGGGCTGTACATTCCGAGTATGGATCTTGATCCATTCGTGGTATGTCTCCGGTAGTCCAGTTGTCCCCCACAAGGTCAACGCCAAACTGTACCTTGTGGCCTTTCCCGTATCCGCCTCCAAGAGCGGGATGATAGTAATCAATACCTTCATCAACTATTGCAATAGTGAGCCCCTGTCCAAATATGCCTCTGTCATGTAATTGCTTGACGCCAGTCAGAGAATGAAAAGTGTTGCTTCCTATCGGTGACGATGAGGCACTAGCATTGTTCGACTCATTTCTGGACGCTGCAGAGTACGACTCTGACCGCCAGGTTTTAACCACTCCAGTTATTGAGTTGAGACACTTTATGTAATCCATCTCGGCATTGTCGCTATTGTCTATTCTCACTGATATTCCAGGAAATATGAGACTCTCGTATTGGTGGCGAAGGTATATTTTTGCGTCCTGTAGACACGAGATGCCATGATCAATTGAGTCTGCCACAGGCTTGATATGCTATAAGAGAATTTAGCTGTGGCCAGCGACATTACTATCAGTCCTTTGTACTCACATCAACTGAAGAGACTTCCACTATGTACTGTCGTGCTGCGAGAATTTTTGACGGGATTACTAGCCATAAAATGGCCTGCAACAAGTGGCGCATCATAACTGAGGCTGAGATAAGTCCGGTTCTGGTATACCGCGGCAGATGCTCTGAGACCTATCTGAAAAGCTGACGTTTTACGGTCTGTGACAGAAAAGGCAGCCGTCAATTTTGCCAAGCTGGACTTGTACTTGTCATTCATTTTCTGCTGGATCTTGAACAGGTATTTGACTCAGTCATGCTCCTCAGCAGGATTTTGAGATCTTGATTACAGGAAGCTATCATCCAATTAACTTTATGGGTGTAGTTTTAGCTTGTGGCATGTTATAGAGGGGTTCATTTATCCAGTTTGACAGGCACAAGAGGCTTCATTCAGACACCTCATGATCTCTCATTTATGGGGGCCCACAAAGTTATTCCGTCCTGCCAGGGACCAAAAGTTAAAATTTTTGGACAACCATCCATGTTGATGGGGACGGAGATGCTGATAGTTGCAAACACCATGCAGGTAGGCGGTACATGATGTTCAAGCGACAAATAGGGACTAGTAGAACGGTTCTTCAAACAAGCAGAGGCACACCAGGGATGTGGTGGGGTAAGAAGTAGGGCATGCATACCAAATAAACCATCGACCTGAATCGCCAATCAAAATCATCACGAAGTCCACGTAATCGTCATCTGCTCCTGAAAGTTAATACTCGTGGAATGATCACCGAAAGGCATCTACTCCAAAAGTTCTAGACTCATGTAACAGATATTTGCAGGCTTGTGGCTGGTCAGACATGCATTACAACGTCAGCCAATTTGTCTGATCTATCGGGTTATTCTTAGGATGATCGGTATCCTTGAAGTAAGTTCAATAACTGTCGTCCGAGTCAGGTTCCGTTATGTCATATCCCACTGTTGCCGAATACTACTTCTAACACTCCAGCACCCTTGTAACTGTGTCGGTGGTCATGATGTATCACAATCAAGGGGTCATATCACATATTGGGATGGATTTATAGATTAACTGGCCGGCGGTGGCATATTACCACAGGAATCACCGCGCCAGAAACAAATCACTCACTTCAACACACGGAAGTCAGGCCCTGACGATGAATTTTCAGTATTCCGCGATAAAAAATGTCAAAACTCGTGACCATGAAAAGAGCTTTTTTTCATGTCAGGACGGTCGCTGGAAGACTGTCACCTGGGCGGTTCTTCTCGGACTTGCCCTGATGGCCTCTTTGACAGCCATACTGAACATATTCAAGTACCCGACGTATGACTACGACACCAAAGATCAACGTACGAAGCGCTGCGGCACGACAGCCACGGAAGCTAAAGCTCGAGGCTGCCACTTCGATCCAGTCAGCTTCGCTTGGCTACCGGAGGAGTGCCTGGATCTCGACTTAGCTGAAGAGTTTCGAGCACTTAATTGGACACTATATGCGGATATTCATGGCACGAAGATCAAGTCCGAAGAGGAATTTTCCAGCGACACGACAGACACATTCCTCACAAACGAGAATCACGTTCTACATTGCGTCTACTCATGGAAGCGACTTCACCGATCAATACAAGCCAGAAAGCCGCTACATTCGGGCTTGAGCTATGACCACACAAAGCATTGTGGTGGAGTGCTTACATCTCAAAGGCCTCCAAAGCAAATAGTCACAAAAGCATTGGTTATCTATCCTGCCTGTTAAAACCAATCCATAACGTTCAATGTAGAGCGACAAAAGAATGTTACGGTTAGGCTGCATGTAATAAATCAATAGAAAACATAAGACTTGGCACATTTGCTACTCAATCAAACTGGCCGATTCATGATCATTTGAGACCTGATATGGTAGATGCGAAAGGTCCAGGTGAGGATGTCTTTTATCCACCAGTCTTGAGGCTGATTTTGCTTCTGGAATTGGTTTTCCGACGCGACATTGTGGGTCTTATCAGCCAAGGCTCAAGAGTTAAACAGTCTTCCTGACAAACGCTGAGGTATGTCAGACGGGATGATCCGGGCAGACAAACATGATTCGGAAACGAATCAGGAAACGAATTCGCGGGGAACTCCGCCTCCAAAATGGGTAGTCCGATATCAACCATTCCTCTGCAAGTTTACTAATGCTTGCTCGTTCACCTTGACCTGACTCAAGGGATCATCGTCAAGCCTGACCCTTACACGAGGAAAGAGTTGCATTTGCCCTGAAACTTACTTTCGGGCGTGGGCCAGGCGAAGTTTTATGGCGTGGGTGTAAAAGCTGCCGAGGTGCTACCATTGGCTAAATCTAATACGAATAACAACGAGCATGCCACGCCTTATTAAATGAACGAAATGCTGTCATCAGCTAGGATATAATCAATTTTGGCTTTTGCTACCTAACAACCGATAATATAAAACCCGTGAGATAGCTTGCCACATCCCTTGCGGTAGTCTAACCCTCCAAAGATGGCTGACACCACCGTTGAACCAAGTTCTCATAGGCGGCCCGATGCGCCCTCATCGGACGCTAGCCAGAGTATACAACATCAATCTAAGGGTGACAAGCGTCTATGGTTTGTAGCAATTAGTGTAACACTTGGGATGTTGTTGATGTATGGTTTCATGAATTCTTTGGATGGCAGACGTCCTGTCGACTCGATTCAACGCCGTCCGCCTCCCTTATCTGTGGGGTCAGAGCTTAACGGTCTCGTTCCTGAGTGTGAGTGAGCTATGAGAGACCATTACGACGTGTGATTTGAGTCAATGCTGACTTCTGCTCAGTTCCATTGCAAAAAACGACCTTCTCCGATTTGACTGTCTCTTGGCCATCTACAGAACAATGGATGCAAGGTTCCGTGTCAAACAGTGAATGGAATGAGCTGATGAACAGCCTTCACAGAGTAATTCCACGTATGTGGTTCATTGAGGATTGCATATGAACTATATTGACAGAACGAGCGTAGATGGTGGGGGTTTCCTGAAAGTTGATCATCCCGAACGCTTTCTTCTGCCGCCACCTTTGACCATATCCTGGCCAGAAAAGCCAACGGTATACAGCTTGTCTGTATTTCATCAGCTGCACTGCTTTGTAAGTCGACTCTAGTCCAACTGATTGTTTCAGTAGGTAAAGTTGGATTTGATCAGAACGTGGCTGATAGTTGATACGCAGGGAGCTATTCTTGAGGATTATCGCAAAATACACATTGGACAATCACCAACACAGCCCTTGCACCATATACTTCACTGTTTTGATTTTTTACGGCAGGCAATACTGTGTTGCGGTGATTGCACAATGGAACCCAATAAAGCTGTCGCCCTTCATCACCAAGGGAACGTGCCTGAGATGAACACCGTAAGGGTTTGTAAAAATATCAACAATATCATAGAATTCGCAAACAAAAACCAACCAAGAAGGACGCAGAAAACCGCCAAATGATTTTGTACGAAAGATAAATAATGCTTAGAAGCAACGGGCAGGTTGCAATTAATCCACTAGTTCTGATATCACAATATTCTAACACTTCTTGATATCCTTAACAATCGAATCTCTTAATGTGTTTTGTACTGCGATATGATTAAGGAACTTTAATCCCCCAATGTCACTCTCTCTAAAGCACGGCGAGTAAGAATAAACTGTGTTGTACAATGAGCAACTTGCATAGATGGAGGACAATCTCAACTGGGAGGCCCCCCAGTCCGGGTAGTTTACCCGAACAGGCCTAGGGCGGGATAAAGCAAGCCTATCCCTGCACTACCACATCTTCATCTCATTTTCATTTGATTCTTTCCAAATGTCAATGAGTTTCTAGCTTCTTCGTGCTGTATCAGGATCTGAAAAATATTCGACACAAGCCTATAGCGTCCAAAGTCAGAAAGTGGAAACTAGCAAAGACCTGCGGTGGGATAAGGGTACTTCATACTGAAACGAAGTTCTCGACTGTTGCAATAGCTAGTACAAATCTTCATTAGGCTGGGGACCATCTGGTCAAAACCATGTATACTAGGTAGGCTAGGCCTCCATTGTTATTACGTAGACTTCCTTTCGCCTACTTGAACGTTTTCTTAAGAGAAGCTCTATGTAGAACCTATCAGCTGCCTAATTGATGTATTTTTTCCCATTCTACGAACGGTCAACTGGACCAGATGTGAAACTATCTCTAGAAACTTTAATTTATTGTTCTACCAAACTTTGCGCTCCTACCCTCCAACGGAACTACCTAGTCGCGGCTGAGTCATGGTTGCTGTCTTTGGTGGATTTTCTCACTTTACATCAACTGAAGTCGTGTCAAACTCGTTTCCTAAACTCAGAGGCGTTGTAGAGCTTGCTTTAAGTAACTTACCGCTATTGGTAAGTCTTTACGGGGAAACTGCATGTATTATGCGTGCATTGCGTGATTTTGTTTGCTTATCCTCCCGCCTGCCAAAGGACGGTGTGAGACTCTCGGTGAGACGATCCTTCTTTCGATGACGTGCCGATGGTTAGGTTTGACCGTAGGCCTTGTCCTCCGTCTCGCATTCAACACTACGCAATAGACTTCATCTAGAATTTCCTGATTAACTAGAGCATGATCCACATGCTCCACCAAAACACCTAGTTTTGTTTTATAGCGAAAACTTTCCTTACTCGACCTTGGAAAAAAAAAAGCTGGTTGACCGTTGACACCGCATACCTGGGCATATCCTTGTCCATTGGTGCACGCCTGGGGCGATGTGCGCTAATCGTTTCAACAAACTGAGCCATTTAAAAAACATTACAGGGGTCGCGGACCATGATGTCGGTATTCAAGCACCCCAAGGTTTCGTCCAGACTTGGAAGGGTTTCTCCGTCACCCATGTCACTAATCAGCCAACTCCACTTCAAGACGAACGGAACGTGGCAGGTGAACTGCTGCTACTATTTAGTTCTGTCAGTGGGCTACGGTTGAGTGTGGCTCGTCTAGGTAGGTATGTTTCGGCTCCTACGGTAACACCGCTCATCTCAAGCAATCAACTTGGGTTAATAACCTCCACTCAGCCATGGGTTTCTTCCATTGGACAGCAGCAATTGTTTTCGTGTCAGCATTTGCAATTTTATGGAAGATCTCTGTCATTTCATTTGAGCCATCTCCCAATTTGTCTCAGTCCGAGCTGCGGCTGATGGAAGATTTGAGCGGCACTGCGACTGGTAAGCTGCCACCAATTTCCCTCGAGCCGACTGCTATCGTTTGAACACTGAGTGGAGAACATTACCCTAAAACGGTTAAGTTGTTACACCTACTAACGCACTACGCAGTCCGTAAACAAGCCCGTTTGTTCTGGAACGAGTCGTGGGCTGCTACAACAGCACAAAGCTTCGATGAGCTTGACAAAAGCGAGATTCACATGAACTGGTTGTCATTGTTTCCACGTAAGTCCAATAATCCCTGTTTCAGTATCAGAATCCCTAATCTCAATCCTTGTTGCGCAGCCGCGTGGCACGATGTGGAGAAAAAGGTCTCCCACTCTGAACAGCGGTCGATAACCTCAAAAGGACTATCAGTGTTTCATCAACTGGATTGCCTAGTAGGTGACTAGGCATTTTGACCCGACCCCAGTACCCTTGCTTACCACTCTTCGGCCTTTAGATGGAAATTTTAGACACGTTTCTAGATTACAACAGTACCAATGAGTCAAACACCAGCGCATACACTTACGAATGCTTCAGCTATCTACACGCCACACTACTCTGTTGCGGCGATACTTCCCTAGAAGGGAGCGACAAGTACGCGGCAGCAAGTGGCCGGAACGGAACATTGGGCATTGGCTCCACTCACATTTGTAAATCTTTTGAGTCGTTCGCTCAAAAAGAAAACACATTGGCAGGTCACTGACCCGGCCCCGGGACATGACGTGCGGCTGCAACCTTGCTTTTCATTCAGAATAAAACACTTCATTCTAGTTGCACAATGAGGAGCATTGAGTTGCTGCAGGTTTATTGAAGTTTAAGTTCATGTTCCCCTGACATGCGAACCATTCGTCAAATGATAGTCTTATTACGTAGCGGGTTATTTTGCTTCTTTTGTCGCAAGGCACAGGAATTTTCTGAGTCTACTGTATAATGTACCTCAAAGCTCCGTAAGGTATTGGAAATTGGCACTATGTTGAAAGCACTCGTCGCATCTTTTCAGTGTCTCATTCATCTCTGCACCCATACTATCACTAGTTTCTGCGTATGAGACCATACAACTACTCTTCTTCTCTGCAATTTGAAATGAAGTCTTCTTTTCGTCAATTGCAACACAAAATTACGTGCTGGACGAAACTTCGTCTAGCACATCAAGAAAAAGATTTCAGTCACGCAGAACGCCTGATCGAAGATGAGTCTTTGTTGGCGCAAACACCTCAAGCCAATGAGAGAGAACGAGCCCATTCTATTCCTCATGGATCAAGAACCACCTGCGTTTTGCTCGTATGGAAGCTTCTCAAGTCTCTTCTGTTCTTGGCAGCGGTCGGTTTCGTTATTGAGCACCTGCTCTCCATAGAAAGGAACCTGAAGAACGATTCGACGCCAAGAAACATCCACGCCATTCCAGACTGCGGACACGACACGGCGAGCGCCAGGGCTGCAGGCTGTGTCTACGATATAATGATGGTGGGATGGAGTGCACCACAGTGTTTTGACCCATTTGTCTCGGCGGATTCTCTCTCCAACTCTTCCACGCTCGCTGACGTCCGCGGCGCGGGTAGCTTCACATTTTCGGTGACCCCGGATTTCACCCAAATTGTGCGTCAAGATGTAGGCGAGATAACAAAACATGAATACCTTTACGCCAACTGGGAATTTCATAAGGCTCACTGTGCTTATGTGTGGCGGGTACTCGCAAATGCACTAGAACGGAAGAGACGGGGAGAACTGAACGTTTATGTTTATATGGCAGCAACGATGTATGAGCATTCTGTTCACTGCAGCCACGTTCTACTCGACAAAAAAAGAAACTTGACAGCGCCGACGCAGATACAAGTCAGTGGGACGAATCGATGTGTACTACTTTGATTTTCGTGGAGCTCAATTTTATATCCTCACCCATTACATACGGAACATGAAATAAGCATTTAGTCAATCATACTGTTTAGGTCAATAGCAAAGACATAGAGTAACAATACACATGTATACAAAAAAAAAAAAAAAACTGTCGTATTGGTCGGAGTATACTAATTCTGGAACTATGCAGAATCAAATCGTGCAAAGGTTGGCATTACTTCTTCTAATACTAGTCATCCTATGATTTGGTTAGGATATACCAACTTCGTTCTTAACTCATCCCGATCGGCGTTGAGCAAGAACATGCTCCCACAATGTTTGATATGGCCCTCCATTTCTCTTCTCAGTGACATGGTCGTTCCAAGAAAATGCCTTCGGAACTGCTTCCTCCATTCGAAGATGCAGTGCGTGACATGCTGCTCGTAAGTGAACCTGACGATTCTCCCGGGCTCTACCATCATTGACAATTCGGTGACGTTGACATGCACGGGTTTTCCGTCAACTTCCGTTTCATAATACCAAGCACCGCCAATCCCAGGACCCGAGCGTGCGAATTCATCCGTGAGATCGTGGTCGACACACTCGGGTTTCATCCATCCCAGCTCCAGCTCATCAAAGATACAGCCTTGTGCAATCCCGTCCGCTGTTGTGACTCCGCAGTGACAATGGGTGGCTTGATGAGCGCGGAATCCCTTGAAAGTGCGAACTGCAGCATCTGAGGCACCCCAGAGAGCAAAGCCAAAAATAAAGGTCCAGAGGATAAAACGCCAAGTAATTTTAGCTAACGAGAGGTTTGATCTGTCTTTTAAATTCAACATCTTTCCTGCTGGTTTGGATGCAGAGCAATCTAGTTCGGCGTTGAAAGGTGCAAGAAGCGGCTCGGCGGTCTCGATACCGTCAACATCTTTGGCGTCGGGGCAAAGAAAAGACTTATCACAAGGCTTCATTCCGGTTGTTGTCGACCAAGGTATTGTTTCTGAGATAGCGTGGTGGTAAGGCGTGTAGGAAATGACTACCTGATGCAATGCCGGTGCACGCAAAGACGCAAAGGAAGTGAAGGTGGGCGGCCACGACAGCAATTGCAGTTTACAGAGACACAGAATTGAATGATATGGCGGCTGGCCATTGTTTGCTCTGTAAGCCTAGCTGTGGGCCGGTCGATCGCGGCACTGTGCAGGCCATGTATCGGGTTCGATGTAAACACCGGTGTATTTTCGGCGGGCTAGTCCAGGATTTACAGGGTATCTCAACACATGAGTCAATAAGTCCCCTTACGAAGGGTTTCGGAACAGTGATGATGTATGGAAAAGTTTATCCAAGATGATTTCATCTTTTTAGAAAGTTTATACTAAGCGACTTGAGAATACGGAAGAGAGGCCCGTTCTTGACTCAAATTGGGCTCCATCAATGGAACCAGGGTAAGAGAGGTGAAACCAAGGTTGAAGATGCCACAGCCGCCATTGTTTGCTCTGTAAGCCTAGCTGTGGGCCGGTCGATCGCGGCACTGTGCAGGCCATGTATCGGGTTCGATGTAAACACCGGTGTATTTTCGGCGGGCTAGTCCAGGATTTACAGGGTATCTCAACACATGAGTCAATAAGTCCCCTTACGAAGGGTTTCGGAACAGTGATGATGTATGGAAAAGTTTATCCAAGATGATTTCATCTTTTTAGAAAGTTTATACTAAGCGACTTGAGAATACGGAAGAGAGGCCCGTTCTTGACTCAAATTGGGCTCCATCAATGGAACCAGGGTAAGAGAGGTGAAACCAAGGTTGAAGATGCCATCAAGGGTTCAGTCATCGTAACAATCATTAAGATGATATCTGTGATTCAAACCTATACATATTTCAACGCCTGGCCTGATCAATTCCCTTGATCATACCATCCAAAGCACTTGAAATTGTTGTTTTCACTACTCCAATTACACTTGCCACAATGAAGCTCTTTCTTTACACCACTGTATTTGCAGCAACTGTTTCTGCAATTCCCATGTTACATGGCGCGAATGTAAGAGTCTTGTAGATTCCTTCGAACCACATATCATCGAAGAGCTAACTTATTGAACAAAGATGTTAAAACGTGAAGGCGGTGAAGTGTCGACAGACTACATCTTCACTGACGACCCAGCTGGCGGTGGCAAGGTTGACCAAAAGAAGAAGCGAGACGGAGGTGAAGTGTCGACCGACTACATCTTCACTGACGACCCAGATGGCGGCGGCAAGGTGGACCAGAAGAAGAAGAGAGACGGAGGTGAAGTGTCGACCGACTATATCTTCACTGACGACCCAGCTGCTGGTGGCAAGATTGACCAGTAGTCAACGGATTCGGAGCTAGCCATACAGAATTTGGAACAAGACATCATATGGCTGGCTTAGAATTGTGCTCCATCTTATCATAGTTTTCCACGGCGTATCAAAAAGTAGTGCTGCAAACAATGGCATCAATGTACACTCAGAGATAGAGCAAGAATTCAATGTTCGCATTTCGTTACAAATTTCTTTTGAGAAGTGAAGTTTGTCGCATCGAAGTTACTTCATACAATTCACCTTTACTTGATTCGATCTTAACCTGGACCTTCTTCGCATGTTTTGCTGCCTTGATACTTGTCTTGGACAAAGGTAACACCTCCATGAAACTTCACAGTCGGTAATTTAGTAATACACGCAAAGTTTACCGCTTTTTGCAAATGACAGAGGCCAATACTGAGTGACAATTTATGGTTGTGATTTCTATCAGGACAACAGCAACAAACATTTTGGTAGTGTGTTGTGTTTGGCTAGGTTTAGTTGCAGGGCAATTACAAAATGGCTGAAATTTCTCTTATCTGAGCAGATCAAGTAGTCTAATATACCCCGAATTCCATCAAGATGGTCTAGAAAATGCGACGCTTTTCTCCAACGATCAGCACAAGTCCGTTGACACAAAGCGAGCTCCTGAAAACTAAATCGCCACAAGTAAATAGGAGCTTAATTAAATTGAGACCTTCTTATTTGACAACTAGACAATGAATTGAGGTGGTGCTGAACAGCTCAAAAACCTCACACGATATCCAGCTACCACGTCATCGAGAGCATACCTGTCCTCCTTCATTAAAGCCTCATCTACACAATGCTGTCGCCCACCCAAATGACCTGTGACATTGCCGTTCGCAACTAGCACGTCCCTTCTCCAAAGCCACGCGCATCGATACAGGTGGAATTCCCAAGTTGTCCAAATCTGAACGGTTGAACCAAGAAACTGCACCTGATCAAGTGCCACCTCGTACAAGTTATTGCGGTCATGAATGCCATTGATTGCAACATGCATGTTATCAAAAGTTGAGTTTTTATATGCGAAAAATTTCCAGTTGCGAATCTGGCGAAACTTTTCCTCTTGCTGCTGGTGTGTGCATTCAGGAGGCTGCCAGGTTCCTGTGGCTAGTTCGAAAACGCATCCTAGTCTTATTGCTGCATTGCTATCTTGACCACATGGATATTGATAAGAAAGTGCGTTATCTTTTATCCAATCGCGATCGCCAAAGGGTGAGGGCCGTTCAAGTCCGGCAGCAAAGCTATGGCCAAGTATTTTCAACCCGATGACCTGGCCAGCTAATGCAGCTATGAGACCAGCGGCGAAATATACGCAAAGGTGTTGAGTGTGATGAAAATAACAATTTGTTGAAGTTGGCTTCCTGTTCAACCACAGAGTATTAAGATAAGAAGACATTGCGAATAGCGAGCAATTGTTTGTGATTGAACTGAATCGAAAACAGATTCCAAGGTCGATTCGCGAGGAACAGAGTTAAGTAGGAAAGAATGACCATATACAGACGGATCCATGATAAATCATACTGCAATAATAGGTTTCAGGGTCGAGATAAGCACTCAGTTGCATATGCTGTCCGGGTTCGTAGAACACGGTGCGAGTGGTAGATTGAATATACGCACCCCTCCTTCTTGGCAATAGCACTCTCGACAACCGGCTGTTTGAATTTAGTCTTTAACTCTAAAAAGACAGTGTGGTGGTGTGGAGAAAGGTTACGGGGGAATGTGGCACCTGACAACTACGAACCACTTTTAGACGTTTCGTAGATCACAATGTAAGGAACTAGGTTAATCGCTGCATGCGACAAATCCGTGTCATTTACTTTCAAACTAAGTCGTCAAAACTCTCGCGGGATTCGAACATCAAGCAAATACGTTTCCCGCGGGGTGAAACACCAAATAGCTTGAGACCGGGTTTAAGATGGAACAGAATTCGCTAGATGTTCAACGTCATGCATTGGACTAGCGCCGATCCAATTAGGTTCCCCGTCTCGTGAGATGATAGCTAAAGCGGTAGGACCCAAATGTGTTGGCAGAAGTGGCATGGAAAGAAGTAAAATTCAGAAGCCAAGAAATAGGATACATGACAGGAGCAAAGCCCTATCCTATAAAATCTCAATCGTTGACTTGGAAAGGTGGTCAATTATTGGACAAGGTGTTCGTTTGAAAACGGCATGGCTACCTATTGGAAAGAACATGATATTATTAAAGGGCAATTTCCTATTACTTATCGATCAATATAAGCATAGTACATGTCTTATCATACATACTGTTGTATCCAGCATGGCCTGTGCCAGCCCTCTGGTTGTGCTTATCTTGCTGACTCTCCTCTCTCTCTCCGCTTCTACTTACTCCAACAAATGTCTATACACTGCGCTAGATGGTTTTTGATCATAACGCCTGTTTCAGCCATACATAATTAGTCTCATTACTTTTTTCATCAGAATGATTTCAGTATCTAGTTATGAACCTCTAGACAGCGATGATCTTGAATCAACGTCAAGTGTGCAGGAAACGAGTCGCTTTAGCAGCGTCGCCAGGTTCCAGATCGCAGCACAAGACTTTGCGGCTTTTATCACCGGCTTTCTTCTGGCTACTACTATTCTTTTGCTATGGAACCCCTCCACGCCATCATTAGAAGAGACCTACGCTCAACGCAGGGACGACATCGCTAGGATCTCCAAGTGCGGCAAGTCAGTCAAGGAAGCCAAGGCTGCTGGCTGCGTGTACGACCCTGGTCTTCTTTACTGGACCCAGCCGTACTGCAGTGCCGAAGACATCGCAGACGAGTTTATCCGCAATCCCGTGCATCAGATATACCGGGACAAGGAGAAAAATCACCCACTAAATCTTTCTTACATCTTGTCGGGCGAGTTCGGGGAAGCATATGATCGCGTCAACCACCACAAGGGGCATTGTCTTAATGCGTGGAAGGTACTCACACAAGCCGCCGCAACGTTGAGCCCGGAAACTCCAGAGGTTCTAGTACCCGGCATGGCTGTTTCCTGGAGTCATGTTGTGCACTGCAGTGAGGATGTCGTAGTCCCGAATGACAAAAGCAAGTGGAGGACCAAGCCTTATATTAAGTTTTGGCCCGGTGTTGGAGCCTGTCATTTGTTGAGAGCGCCCAAATTACCGGCTTACTTCAAGAGACACGGTGCTTGGTAGGCTGGATCTGACAACAGCTTAGGAGGCAGCAAAGATCCAATAACTCCACAATTCATCAAACATTTTTTCTCTATGTGTTCTTATTACAGATTTTACTCCAGAAGCTGGATATATTGCGCAACGATGGTGAAATAAAGGCTCCTAGGACTCATGCTCGTGTATTGAAATGTCTGGTAACTAGTGACAATAACGAAGGCTTTTAAGTCGTGGCATGACTTTTAATACACCCTGAAGGCTCCATAGAAGCTGACGCCCATGTCCTGCATCTTTGCTAAGGTAATCCGGCTCTTCTGTTGAGGCTTGCTGAGCCCATATGGGCAAAGCATCCCAAACAATTGCCTTGTAGAGTATTTGCTATTTGTGTTTCAGACATGCTCTCAACTTCCCGGTGTAACAAGTTAAAGACAAAACTTATTAGATACCACTACTATCACCAAGACGTATTATGACATCCGCCATCCTAGTTTGCGCGAAGCTTAAGCTAATTCAATTGCACATTGATTTTCACGTAGATTTGTGCAAACTACTACCAGTAGGAGCAGTCCAATGGGCAGGCTCGAGATGAATAGTGTCCCCTTCGGACTTCTACCTGGCTGTAATTTCCCGGAATGTTAGCAATATAATATCGTACATTCAACGGACGATCTGGACATAACCGGATGGACTCAGAACAGCCTGTTTGTGGAACATGCCGTTGCCTCGGAACTCCTGTACACTTACCTTATTAAGATGAATCTTTTGCAGGTTGATGGAGATTATTAAAATGGTCTAGGGGCTGGACAAGAGTTTCGATACTTCAATTAAGAATGTCTTATTTCTAGATCATCTTTTCGGACACGCCTCTAATTATTGCTTCTGAAGTCTTATAGCCTGGTCAGAACCTCCTGTTGATATTAGGCCCAATAACCTATCAGTGCCATAATTCCAGCACCAAGCAGCATGCAGAAGAACATGTAAGCAAGACCTGATCGACGTGTAGTACGATTAGGGTCGAAAAGAAAGTCTCTTGCTAATAGTTCCACCAAAGCACTGTAGATCAACAAGCCAGCTGACATAGCGTTGAGAACGCCCTGGATAATCAACGCGGTCTTTGACTTGGGTGTATAAGTGTGACGCAAACCGAGGCCAATAGCAATTGACACTGGTGTTGTCAGTCCGTAGGCTGCGCAAAGAATCCAAGGGAGCCAGGTCCGTTTACCAAAGGGAATGGCCGACATGCGGGCGCCGATACCCAAACCCTCGAAGGACTGATGGAACACGAGAACAGGGTACAGAGTAGCAAATTCTGAGCCAGTGACCCCCAAGTTCAGGCCGATGATGACGGAATGGACGATGATCCCAAACTCGAGAATCAAAAATGCCGTAATTTGTTGCCAGAATAACTGTTTGATACGCACAGAATCTTCCGTGGAGGCCAACTCGTGGTCGACTACATCTTTCGGCTCGACCGAGCGATTCAGAAACTCAGAGGACTGGATGTTGCTTTGATGGCCTGCGTCTATCATTACCTCTGCTGCATTCGTATCTTTCACATGTCCAAATCTCCTCTCAACGTAAACCTCTGCTACGAGATCAAGTGTGAAGATACCAAGTACAGCAGCAAGAACGATAGCTGCACACCATGAATAGCTACCCCAATTTCCGGACTCGCCAACACACGTTCCGGGTCCGATGCGTTTGTAAGCCGGGTCGAGCAGGTGTATGAAGGCAGTGGCGATGATGACTCCACTACCAAAGAAGCGTGCAAATGTGTAGACTGATTTAGGGATTCTCCATATTCTAACCCTCTTTGCTACGAGGGGAAAGACGGTGAATGCCGATGAGACAAACAAGATGACAAAGATGGACGAGACTCGTGCTCCTATGTGACCGCTATAGTCGTTGTCCTTTATAGCGTAATAACAAAGGACTTCCGACTTGTCGACCTTGGTCAGATCAACAACAGGGCCGATTTTTGACACCATTTTTCTAAGTTTGGCTAAAACCTTTTTTCATGCAAAGAAAGAGGCGATAAAAAGCAGCCTGTGCGAGCTGACGCTGGTGTAATAGTTGAAGGCGATGTTATGGACGAGTCGAATTATGTGCTAGGTTTGATCAAATGCTTGTTACTACATCTATTTATCTAAGCCAGTACAAGAACCTTGATGGTGTTGAGCCTCGTAAATGGACTTCTACGGCATCACTATCCGAGTGGGGCAGGAGCCGGTCCATCCGTTGTTTGAGGCTCTTTGCGGAGGATGTGCCGATATGCCGTTGGCCGTATTGACGTCTGCCAGCCACAAGTGGAGCGATTAAGGATATGTGGGTGACATTGGCTAATGATCGGAGAGCGGCAACGATAAGTTTGTGCCAAGGTAAGAAGCTAAGGACATGGTTTGTATTCGTACCCTGGAATCTTGGAAATAAGAAACTCCTAATTGGCTTAAGGGTATGTAAAAGCCAGTTCCACTAAAGACTACTCATGTCAAACAAGGAAAAGGTACGATGAGGCAGTTTGAAAGGCTGCTTTGCGTACTACGAAAATTGCGTCACTAATCTTTGCCCTTGGATTTCACCAGTTCAACGAAAGTAGGAAGACTTTTTGCGGCACCTAATGGCTGTACTTTTTACATCTCCACTCAGGCAGTTGAAAGGCGTTCGGGTAACTATTCAATCACTGAAGGCCACTCTGCCAGCCCCTCTCAATAGTCTCATTCATCACGATCAATATTGTATCCAGTCCACAGAACATTTATCTAAACATGCTTATCTATAACAGAATCCACCTTTTTCAAAAGACGTGTGAAAGGTTTGATGGATCTACTTTTCAAAGACATCAATAAGCATATTCAGATCCAGTTTAAGGGGCATATATGTCATGTTTTGTCATCATACTCGGCATGAGACTTGCTTGGCATTGCTTATTCTATGGCGGTCAGCTTTGAAAGTGGAGTTCCACCCATTCCTGAAGTAAAAAAAACTTTGCAGATTTGCAATATATCCATTTGTGTAATCTTGCCGTAAAGATACTCTCTCGGGAAAAATATTTTAGTCGGTAATAAAGTACTTCGTAAATCGTTTTAGCTACTGTTCAACGCCAAGTATCACCAGTCGATCATCCCATCCTCGGTGCAGTAGGTGCACCCTAAGGCAGCCAATTGACAATTTTCAGTGACAGGAAAGACAGCTTATGACATTCACCGACGAGCAAGGCAAAGCCAAGTCTGGTCGGTCATCTCCACTCGCCTACATACTAGATCTAACGACTGTTCGAGATATTACGGACGAACTACAATAGGTGATATTTTCTACTTCGTTCATACTTGCGAACGTGTATCGCATCTTACCGCTCATATACTACCTCATGTAAAAGAATCACTGTAGTAATTGGTTTATGAGTTTGTAATTAAATACGTATTCAAATTAAGTTTTCCACAATGTTGGCATGTTGAGCGACGTTAAGCACAAAATGGATAGCATTCAGAGGGTAAGCTGTATCTTGACCAATGAATAGTTACATTCACTAAACACGGTTGCTCTTTATCCTTGTGTAATTGCAATAAACTAAGTAGTTTTTGCAAGCCCTCAAAACTTTCAGCAACACAAACTGGTTGTAGACTCCCATAATACTGTGTAAAACTTCAAAAAGCCCACGCAAGTGCACGAATGAGTGACAGATGCCAGTTTGAATACGAGAGCTAGGACGACGTCCCAGTTTTTTAGTCACAGTCTAGGAAGCTTGTATCGAGAGCAACGTTGCCATAAACAAGAATTGCATTAACACTGGTTGCGGAATGACCAAATGTGGTCATTGAGGAAGTCGGGAACCGTCCTCGCGCTGCCACGGTTCTGCCATTGTGCACCTTGACAGTCCCGCTCCCTGTTCATAGCGTCAGTAATATAAAAAGCAAATGAGTTTAAGTAATATACTTGCCGGTAAAAGGTGGTGCATCCGGAGTCACCGCCAACAGAGCTGGTCTTGTCGCCCTTGCCGTTAAGATTCCCTATGCCCTATTAACGGTATACTTTTGAATGTGAGAATCTTCAACGTACAGCAGGTGCCATCGTTGCCACGGTTTTCGGTGCTCCATGCACCACCGTAGTTGGCGTGTTCGTACAACACGAAGGTTCTGGCCGAAGCGACAGAGGCAAGCAGGGCGGTGACGAAGACGGTAAGTTGCATGTTGGGCAGGATCAGTATTTAATAAGGGATGAAGAAAAGATATAAGTTCTCGATGTAAGATGAGGCGAACTACCTTTGATGTAGTTCAATTTGAAAGATAGGGAAATCTGTGGAGGGTCGGGGTAAGTATTTATATTAAGGGGACTCCAATCAAGATAAATGCAGTTCTCTTTCTAAATAACCAATGTCGTAGGCATTGAAACCCTCTTCGAGCCCATCACCTTCCTGATGAAAGGAGTAATTCCCTAATTGACCAACCCACGGATCAGCCACTGATATTCGCGAGTTGGAGTATGCTTCGGTGTCTGATGGAGTGCAATCCTTGATGAAGCCAATACTACCCCCGCTTCCGCCAAGAGAGGCGTAAGAAATCTATAGTCCGAGCACACCAATTCGATAATCCGAACAAACCAATTAGACACTATTATAGCCGCATTTCAGACTGCAGCCGCTTTAAGAAAAATTCGTGCAGATGCTTAACTCATGATTAGTGAGAACACAACTCCGGTAAAATCAAGAAGTCGAGTAAAGATGTGCAGTCAGACCTTCCTCCTGGGAGAATATCGGTTTCGTAGCTACCCAGAACGCCTAACAGACCCTGGTGATTGGCTAGAGTAAAATGCCGGCTGGCACTTGGAGAACCTAAATATTATGTGCAAGGAAGAGCCAACGAATATGGCATGAGATAAAGATCTCAGTTCACAAGGTTACGCCTTGTCACCTCCTGTTTAGCACTTTACCTGCATGCCTCAAACTGACAAGTTGTGGTAGTCATAACAGTGAATAATAATTTATTGCTACACGGTGCTTAACTTCTTTTGTGAAAAAATTTGACTTGTCTGTGATAACAACGTCGTATAGTCCCACTAGATGCAGCGAGTGAATTTCAAAAAGACCAATGGGGAAGAGAATTCCGGTTCTCCAGCCACGAACGGATGACGATGGTGTGCAACAAGAAGCGAACTTGCTTTTTTTCCTCCAGTAACATTTAAAACGCTTGGTATGGGAATACTGGAAGGGGAAGGTAACATAGTAGGCATTTGCGATTGGGTTTTACCGACAACTTTTTATTTCTTACTGCAGACTTAGTTACATAGGGTGTGCAATCCTTTACGATCCTTCGAAATGTTCTTCTGACAGTCTACTCACAGATGGACTCGTGCCAAGATACCTCTCGTTTGTTTTTTTATAAATACTCACACAAAGAACGTGCAATTCAGTCCAAGAACCCAATCTATATGCCTCTATACGAAGGCGTGTTTAAAATCAAACCCTCCTCAAGTAAGAAACAAGCTTGAATTGGTTGATGCATCCAGTAGCGCTAACTTTTATAGACCACTCGACTTCAACATGAAGGGCATTGCTATCGCCAGCCTTGTAATCGGCATGCTTGCCACATCTGCCACCGCCATTGTGTGTTCGGGACAGTGTGGTGCTCACTGGCAGTCCCCAACTCAGTACTGGTACTGCGAGTTTGCCTGTGGTGGTTGCGCTTGCAAGTGTGGCGAGGGAGATCCTTACAGCGCTTGCAATTGAAGTGGGCGGAATCATCATCTCTGAGGGATATTAGGACGCGTACGGAATGTCGTTTCGGTGGCTAGAGTGTATTGATTGATTCTAACCTCCAACTGGGGAAGATTTGGACTGTTGATACACGACAGTTCAAGTCAGCCGAGGTTTTCAACACGCAATAAATGGATACCGCATCATGATTCCCAGCCATCATTATATGACATTGAGCGCCGGCTTGCGCAAGCCAAAAATGAAGCTGTTGACCTGCTGCTAGGTCATATTGTGACTGAAATACCTTTCAAACCTGCGATGTGCTAACCTACTGGTCAAACAAAAGACAAGTTATAGAAAAACATACAACACCAGGTATTCGCTGGTCGTCACCGACCCAACTACTAATCCGGCCCTCACTGGCTTATCTATGGGAGAGCGGACGGGATCCCGAGTTTTCCAGTGGGTATGGTCGTATGTGCCTTTTGTGGTGAAAATAACACTTGTTAATGGTTCTTTGCAAAGGTTCTAGAGTTGAAAATAACTATGCAAGTCATCCCACTCTAATAAAAGCATTATTAAAGCTATACTTGGGTGCAAAGCCTTTTTGTGTCCATCGAAAAGTTTATTCTAGCTGCTTTGTTGATGCAGTGATCTCAACATGTCCTGTGATAGATACCCTCGATGAATAACATCATAGCGCTAGTAACATGAGGGAGTTACTAAACCTTCCTCCGCAGCCAGATCTGCTGCGTTTCCTCTTACACTATCCTCAAGCCCAATGAACCCAGCACCATAGGACTCCTTCAATAAAGCTTCGGCCCTCTTAATTGGCTCAAAGGTACTAAGGTCCTTGTCGTTGTTTGATTATGTAATTTCTCTTCTCCGGATACGAAGTGCTATTTGCTTCTTTCTGACTCACTTTGCTCTAGAACAATGAGGCATATTGACTACTCTGGAAATGCTTGTAACAGTTTGCTTTTCCCACTTCTACTGATTCAGAACGATTTATATAACAAGCGTCGTTATTCTGCGTATGTCGTTGTGCAGTATCAAGAAAGATAAGTCGAGTTCCATTGCGTGTAACCTATCGCAATGCCCTCTATTATTGCGCAAGCTGTATTAAGATTCTTATGCCTATTATTCGAAAGATATCAAGCCCTTAACAGCTTCTAGAGCATGTAGTAGACTTATAGAAATAAATAACTAATTAATCTTTATGATCTTGTTTTATTAGGATGAAGAACGATAGCTAACATGAGAATCAGGACTCGGAAGGACTGGGCACATTAAAACAGACTTCATATAACCAACTTATATCTGTAGAAATTACGTAATCGGCCGGATGGTCTAGTGGTAGGATTCTCGCTTTGGGTAAGCCCAGGGAAGTGCTGTCAAGCATGCGAGAGGTCCCGGGTTCAAACCCCGGTTCGGCCCTTTTTTGTCCTTACATATTCCCATAGGCTATCTACCATCGAAATGTATTCTTTTTTTCTTTTAGTTTCGTTTTAAACTACTCTCCTTGTTCCTACATAATAAAAGTTGCTCTTTTATTAGCATGTTTCTGACTTTCTAGTAGCTGACGAAGAAACTTCGTGTGGATACAGCCCGCCAACGCGCATTGAAATGTATCCTATAAGATCAACGATTGGCGCCATGGAAAGTAAAACAACTTTTTCTACCAGTTAAATTTGATTCAAGCACTTATAGCAAGATTCGTTATATTATTACCAGACAAGCAGAATAGTTGACAAAGGCAATTTCATACTACTGAGAACTAAATCAACTCTGTTACTCTCCTGTACTATGAATTTAGAGACGACTTGACAGGAGGAGTGTTTTACTTGACCCTGTTCATTTCATTATCGATTCAAGAATTTTCTTTTAACTCAGGCTCTCTGGTTGGCAAGCCTTAAATGTCTTGTGGCTTCGACAGAATTCGCTTTCACTTGTGAAAGTTTTCTTTCTACTGGGAATCTATTTCAAAATTGAGCCTTTATATCCAATCCTTTGGGCTGGTCAAGCCTAGTTCTTCGCTGACCTTCTCCGTTTCCTTGGCCTTTTTGTTGACACTATTCATCTCAAATCCAGCCACCTGCTTGTAAACCTTGCCGATGGCTTCCAACTCTTCCTTTGGTACCACATCATACACATTCTCGAAGCCGTTCGGGGCCCGCTCTTCACACATTTGAAGCACGTGGTCCGGTCCATTAGCCCTATTCGCCATTATAATCTTGGCTGTAGCTGGTAGCCTTTCCGACTCATAAGCCTTCAGTGCGGTCTCCACATCTCCCATGCTCTCGGTAAGCTTTTTAGCCAAACTCTCCGCATCGATAATAGCTTGGGATGCGCCATTAGAGCCGATGGGGTACATGGCATGGGCAGCATCACCAAGGAGGGTAAGACGGCCAAAGCTCCATTTTTCAACCGGATCACGGTCACTCATGGGGAACTCGAATACCTTGTCAGTCTCGTCAATCAGGTTCTTCATGTCGAGACCACCACAACGCCAGCCGTGAAACGGGCGCTCGAACACAGATTTATCGACGGCTTTCGTCCAATCTGTCTGAGGGGGTGTAAGATCTTTGTCATCTTTGTCTCTGATCCTGAGCTCGGCGATCCAGTTCACAAGACTCTTGCCTTTGTCCGCTGATCTTTGACTGATAGGATACGCGATGAACTTTTGGTCTGCATGGCCAGCCCACACCATCGAAGCCCCTGTGAGATAGGGGTCGCGTTCCAAACAGCCACGCCAGAGCATACGGCCAGAGAATCGGGGCGGTCCTTCATTCGGATAGAGGATCTTTCTTGCAGTTGAGTTGATTCCGTCGGCAGCTATCAAGATATCGCCGGTCACGGTAGGCTGTGCAGCCGGCGTGCCGTCTCTTCGCTGCGAAAACTCGGCAGTGATGCTTTCTGAGTCTTGGGTGAAGCCTGTCAGGGCGTGGTTGAGGTTGATTGAGCTTTCGCCTAGTCGTTCTTTGACTGCGCTCAGAAGAAGCATCTGAATTTCACCACGGTGAATGCTAAGCTGCGGAACCCCGTAGCCTGCTTTGATGCCTCTCGGCTCACTGAGGATCTGGTGTCCATGGCGATTGTAGAAGTTTAGCTCTTGAGTTTTGATTCCAGTCTTTTGGAGAGCTTCAAGTAATCCGAGGTTTCGAAGAATAAGCACAGCGGAGGGCTGTACATTGATTCCGACGCCGAGAGTTGTGAGCTGAGACGAGGACTCGAAAATGTGGATGTCTGTGAAACCAGCGGCGTGAAGTGATAGGGCCGTTGCTAGGCCACCGATGCCGGCGCCTGCTATGATAATCTTGGGCTGGGGGTGTCGATGTGAGGGCATCCTGTCGTGTTATGTGGAAACACACCGATTACAGAATAGTGACGATAGAAATAGTTACTTATAGAGTCATGGGTTGTCAGTTAAAGATTACTATTTGTTTTTGTATTCTGTCGCCTTACAACTACCCCTTTGCCACAGTATTCCGAAATTCGGAGACGGTGGGGATTGATGACTGCCGAAACTAGATGCCGTGCTATGGAGCAGATTTTTTTCTCGGTCCACCACGACCGCCTTGCTCACCCCGCTCACCCTAGATCGTGTGATGTTGGAAAATAGTAGGTTCTTTCTCTTGAGCAAGCAGCTTATGCCGAGACGCTTTAGTTGAATTGGAGTGGCTTGAAATGCGTGTTAGTTTAGAAGTGTTTTCGCGCCATCATACGTTTTGTCCATCTCTAGTGTAGTGATCAGTAAAACGTTAGGCATACATTTCAAGGCCTTTCTTCTCGCTAGTGTCTTGGAAGTTCAAGTCCCCTGTTAATGAGGGGTTCCCCCCAGAATAATTTACAAGAGTGGTGTTGTTGTTCTTTTACCCCTCACTCACCCGTCCCCGTATTGTACGCCCCAGGCTTGCCAGTTGTTGATACCCACTTCGTTTCCATTTTCTAATACGACTTGAGTTCTCTCATTCAAGAGCCCCTGCTCAACTTTATTATGACCTCACAATCTCAAAACCGGTTTACCTCTTTCAAGCTCCTCTCTTATACTGTAGCTGATGGATATGGATCAGTACCAGAACGGGACCTACTGAGAATCTGAGAATAGTTTTTGGTTTGTCGTCTTGCCATAGCTTCAGGTCCAGAGTGATAGCCAAGATGTTTTGCGCCAATTATAGCCCAGTGAAAGAGGGTATCTCTAGATCTTCTGAGAAAACATCAAAATACGTTTCAATGGCCGACGTTGGATGCTCCCCCCCAACAAACGTAACATCAATCAAATGTACAAGATTTCATACAGTTATAAGCCTGCTCGTTCAATGCTTGTCTTTGCGCACACTAAGGTTTGAAATCATCCGCCTTCAGTCGCTAAGTGGAGAGATCTGGGATTATGGATTATACAGACTTGCATATGGAGTAGTTCCGAGAGCATCTTGTCTCCGCTTTCGAAGAGACATTTGCAACTTCAGGCGGATGGAATTTTTCAAGCCAACCGCCCAGCAAAGTTTTGGGTTATAGTAGAAGAACAGTTGCGCCAAACCAAACAGGACATCTGCATTGCCAGCTAAGTAGTCGATGACTGTGATTTGTCCTACCGCTAGATTGTTAGGCAATGTCAAGCGTTTGGAAGCCTTTCACCACTTCTTCTTCCTTGCTTCAATCAGTGCGACATAGCGAAGTTGAGTGTTTATCACATCATCATATGATACATAGAGTAAAGGAAAAATATAATCGTCAATGTGTAACACACGATAAATATAGGTCGCCTATTGAAAGACTTTTGCCTGATACACCAGAACCAATTCACCATTAGCTGATGACGTATGAATAGACATGCCAGTACGCTTTACAACGGCAAGGTGTAAACCATCTAAAAGTGCAATGTGGGAGATGTTAATGAATTAGATATCTTGAATTCTATACAAGGAGGGATGGCAGCTTGAGCCACGTATTGATGGCGTCTAGAAGAATGCAAGGATAGGTATGAGCACATAACATGCGTCTACAACGATCGCAGCATCAACGTTGGATTTGCGTTGAACTCTATCCCCATTTCTTAAAGCACATCGATTGAGTAAGGCAAAATTCCTTGCTTTGGTGATATTCTGACAGATCAGTATTTAGCCGTACAGTACCCTCAGTGATCTAGAACGTAGCTGTCGCCAAGACTGTAACTTTTAGTGACATCTGACATACTTCAAGCCTCAGCGAGAGAAAGAAGTCGGGAGGCAAAGACAAAACAGAAAGAAACTTGACGCTGTTGAGTAATAGTTTAGTTATGGTTATCCATAACAACTGCCTGAAAAAGTCATCGCGGGCTTTAATCATGAAATAACATCGCATTGTTGGGAGTAACTGTAACTCTCGTCATTGTTGTCCCCTCGCTATATGAGGATAGTTTCGAGGCCTACGACAGTCTTTACCTTCACAGGATGTGGTCATTTCTAGTGTGTAAGGCTACCACCAACACATGTGAGAAGACACAGCAAAGCCACCGTGACATCTTCTGCCTCATCGCCGGAGAATAGTAGTGGTTACTATTAGACGCACTTGCATTACGCAACTTTCAGTGATGTACACAATTATATTTGATGCCTCCAAGTGAAGGCTTGAATAGCACTGGCCATGTTATTTCGATGTGCTCATTGGTTGAAGGCTTTCGTCTGAACGGGTGCTATTCGTACATAGATTAGCAATTCTACGATTTACGCTCAAGACCTTCAAAAAGACCTTGTAAGAAGCTTCATCAGAGGGAACGAATCGCTGGAGGCATAAGTTCGCGTGGCAGCTCGGCGTCCGATTCACCTCAGAAAATGGAATTGACAGGTGCAGGCAACTTGCTTGTACTTATGCAGAACGGCCATACCGAAAGATTGATATCCATCGATCCACCTTTAAATAGCAGCCGGTGACGAAATAACATCAGTTGAAACGCCGTTCTCCATTGTACCAGCCCTACAATACGATTGGTCCAGGGGTGCAACGTCCTTGCAGCTTGCTGAACTTCTGTTCGACGGATGAAGAGCAACAAGAGTTCTTCCCTGTCTGCATTGACACCCTGAGACGGCGTACACTCATGCGTCTGCCAGCTGACCCGGTCTCGGGTGGCGGATGATTACCATTCTGCAGCCCTGAAGTTTCTGACTCGGGCGACATCCCTGCACAGATCGCGGACTGGCAGGGACCCTGGGAAGAGCGGTAGGGCCTGAGAACTGCCAACATATGATTTTCTCTTGTACAGTTTCGTGGCACTCAGAGAAATGAACCATACTGTGTTTACCTTAGGACAGAGTAGGGGACTTGTCGCGTGTTCTGTCGTTGCCATCTGGTCTAGCCATATGGCAGAGAAACATTGGACATCCAGAACCTTGACTACCACATGTGCATGGCACATATGCGCACGTCAATGGAACCTTCTTCATTTAGCATTTTTAAGTATTGGGCTAAGGCGAGTTCCGGACTTCAATCCCTGCTAGGTTGTTGGCGTGCAACGCGACAATTTAACAGAGACGAGAGGCGCAGTTTACCTAAAACGGCGAATTTTCCAAGCTGTAACCACCTCGCGCTCGGCAAGTAAAACTTCCCAGCGAATGTTTCCTGAATGTTCGACCCTGACAAGAGAGACAGACCACAAGTTCTCCGAAAACTTCCCGTTTTCGCCAAGCGGCTTTGTGCCCGCAGGAGTGACAGAAAACAGCCAACTTTCTTTGGACTTCGAGTCATGGCTTTGCCGTCTCACCGTTCATCCCCCACTACGCGGAACGTGGCATGCACATGCATGACGCACACGACAAAAGCTAGTCCAGCCCATGAAAGACGTCCGGTAATCTGTCATGCCCAACTGAATGGGTTCCGCTTTCCTGACACACGGCATGGGAAGCCACTACACCGGCGCAGAAAATTCTTCCAGTTTTCTAGAAGGCCATCCTTCTTTTACCCCGGGTTCCCTATCTGAAACCGGGGACAGCCCTCCATTCAGACAGAACTTCTGCGTGATTATCGTCTCATCCTCCCAATCTGATCGTCGGCACCTGCGAGGCTACCGGGGAAAGGCCAGTGTAATTTGAAGTAGAGTGGAATGGTGTTTCCCATGGCCCCTAGTAGATGAACCAGGCTGAAGGCTGAACCGAGAGTGGACAATCAAATCGCCCGATGCTCATATTTCCAGCGTCAAACCCCACACGCGCGTTGTGGGTTCAAGTGTTTTACGTTCCTTTCCACTTTCACCTTCTTTGTATCTATTTACTCTTTGATACCCCGTCGCTCGCTGCCCTGTCGTTCCTTGATATCCTTTTGCCCCGTTTTGCGATTTTTCCCTACCTAAACGGCTGGCCTGTTACTCTCATTATCATCTTTAGACGTCTGGTACGTGCGTGGGCCCAAGACGACCCTTGCCCATTTGACTGGTCAAATGGGGAGGCCAGAGGACTACGGCCCAACGATCAATGCGGTGGTTTGGTCCCAGGTTGGACTTTCGCTGTTCTTCCTCTCTTTAAGAGTGTATTGCAAGTTTAAGAAACACCGTGGACTGTGGTGGGACGATCATGTGCTCATAGCATCATGGGTACGCTGGAAGAAAATGTCTCCTACTTGAAGCTTTTGAAAGCTAACAACATGCAATCAACAGCTCGCCTTGTTTGTCTCAGCGGTGCTTAGCTCTGTAAACGTCTCGCTCGGCTTCGGCAAACATGTCTTTCAGGTCAACCCCGTCAATTTCCCCGCGATGGGCCTCAACAGTCAGGTCTCGAGTACCGTTTCGATCTCGGCGGCTGTATGGAGCAAAACCTCTTTTGCAATGACCCTTCTTCGGATTGAAGGCAAAGGCTGGACAAGGAACCTCATCTGGTTTGCCATCATATCTATGAACTTGCTCATGGCACTGAACGCAATGGCTGGCTGGGTTCAATGTAGTCCGGTTGAGAAGAACTGGCACCCCGACCTCCCAGGAAGGTGTTGGGATCCCAAGATTGCGACTTATTATGGTGTTTTCGCTGCTGGTGAGTTTTTTTAACTCTATATAATCCCCAGTCGATTGGTTCTGACCGATTATCCACAGCCTATTCCGCATTCATGGACATCCTTCTTGCGATGCTGCCATGGAAGTTGATCTGGGGACTGCAGATGAAGTTGAAAGAGAAGATCGGCGTTGGCGTTGCTATGAGCATGGGGCTTTTGTGGGTATAATCTATCTGTGTTTTTAAGGCGACGGCTAACCTTATTTTCCAGTGCTGGCGCAACTGCTATCGTCAAGTGCACAACCATTCCCACCCTGCTTTCTGGCGACTTCACCTGTACGTCTGTTGTTATTAGCCCACCCAAGAACAAAATGACTAACGTGAATGATAGACGATGGTAGTGAGCTTGTCATTTGGGGAACGGCGGAGTCTGGCGTCACCATTGTCGCTGCTTCTATCCCCGTCCTTCGCGTCCTAGTGCGAGAGGTTGCAAGCACTGCTCGGAAATACTACGGCGGCTCTTCAGGCACCCAAACCGACAGGTCTCGTTTCGGTGTCACCCGTTCCAACACCGTAACGGTAACGACAACAACACGAAAGGGTTCGGTTAAGAAGAAGGACAAGCTAGCGGATGACCGAAGCGACAAGAGCATTCTAGGAGACGACGAGGAACCAGAATTTGGCAAGATTATCCGGACCAATGAGGTTGTTGTGCAGTATGACACGCGGAGTGATTATGAGGGGCATAATGGGAGTTATGAGATGGACCGCATGAACCGTATGGTGTAATAAAATCCCCATCGAAAGTTGTCCGTCTCGAAGGAACCGCCTGGCAAGATAATCTGGTTCCACCTCATCACGATCGATTTCGGGCGATTTTTCCTTCAATGCGCTCCTAGTACAATGGACAGTGAATCACATGGCTAACAATAAAGTAGTAGATGTTTTGGCCGAGTCTACACGCACTTGGGCCTTGTTCTATTGTTGTGTTGATTCTGTTGATTCTGACCTCTACACATTTGATTCCTGCCATGCTAATATCCTTCGACTTATCAAATTCGCTATGCAGACTTTAATGTCCATTTGGCTAACCTTAGATTATGGAATCGGACAACGACCATCAGGATCACGATGCTCTTGCAGATACTTCATAGCTACCAATTAAACATCAAAAAACAATCGGAAGGCGGAGATAATGATTCTATTACAACAACAGGCTGTAAAAGCCCATACAACACTCTATAGGGGATTATTTGATAGAAACTGTTTGTCGTCTCCTCAAAATGATTTTGGTTTTAGGAGGTTTTACCCGTTTTCGACGGGCAACGCCGTGTTGATCATCAACCCCCCTCCGTGTTTGACGGTTTCACCATGAAACCGCGCTGATTGATGATCGCTTGTACGAACAACTCTCCGAGTCATTTTCCAGCGATGACTTTTATACGGCAATAGACACACTGTTTGGAGCGTTCAGTGAGCCGGCCTTGCAGTATACCGTGGCTGTTCTTAACCCATGATGTCGGTTGCCCCTGGCTGACACTGGACAAATTTGCTGCGGTTGAGGTGGGCCATGAGTTGAATCATTTGCGATAACCCATCGACTGCCACAAGATAACAGGTACAGATCGATCCATTTTCAAGCCACTCCTTCTCCAAATATTGACCACACAGTTTTCATCGTTCGACAAAAGTCGCACTATCAGCGTATGCTTGGATAGTATCCCCATGATGTATACCTGTTGTCCAATGGCAGTAGCTGGGATAGGCTTGGATAAGACGACTCGACTACTGGTGCTTAGATGGTTCCTAGTATCTAAGGTCCAGCTATTGGTACAAAGCCTAAGTTTGCTTATCCATACAAAGAATATCGGGATGGCCGGGTATCTGCCTCCCCTTATGGCCATAGAACCTCTGGAAACTGCTATATTCTGATAAATTCTGGCTTTCTTGGCTCTTGTTCCTAGTTGCACGCCAAGACCTCCCTACAGGCAAGATTAGGCTGCTTTGCGGCGTAGCTGCGCTAACCACACAATGTTGTGTGTTATGGACAAGTACTTGTTTTTACCGTTTGTAGGCAGGACTAGGGATAAATTGGAGTATTTCCGCAATAATGAACAAATCGAGCATTGATATGTCGCCTGCATATGCCATGCCAGGACGTGGTAAGCAGCGACTAGGTTGGCAGTTTGATATCACCAAAGCTGAGCTAGGAACCAAACACAACCAATGTTAACAAGTTTGAATCCATTAATAAGAACCTCTATCCTCATAGTTATTATAGGAGAAAAGACTGATTCAGTTGGTGAAATTAGTTTTGGGGCCCGTTTCATCCGTCTATTCGGAAGCCACATGAAAGAGTAAGAATTAGAAACTAACCACTAATACAGACCAGACATCTTCTCCAGCCACAAGCGTTATTTATTCATGATACCATTAACGGAGTCTTGGCAGGCTGTGTTGGAGAAGACGGCCGCAAAGCTCCACTGCTCTTGGCGTCGGGCACAGCAGCGGCGCTGAGATCAGGGTAGTAAGGTACAACTAACCTACTTTGGGTATTTGGGAGAAAATGTCTCGCATCTTACGGCCGTACCGAACAGTCCAAGGGGAAAATTGGAAGTAAAATCGAGGGCACCTGTAGATCTGAATATGTATTGTAAAACTTTTAATTTACTACTATATTGAGGATGATGAAATCGTGACAAACGATAAATAGACCCTGTCATATTCATCCCAAACCTTAACAATGTCTCTTGACCTTGTCGCCCCTAATGAATGAGTTGAGGCAAGTGATAAGTTAGAAATATCTTGGTGCATTAAAAACTGGGCCTTAGTATTACTGGTCCGGCTGCCTGCCGCTTGACTCGAAGTGTACTTGTTCTTGCTTGCGAGCATTGCCTCTTTGAACCCTGTCACACTTTACCAGTTTTGGCAAGAACAGCACAGTCAGTGAATTCGATACTCTCAACTCTGGCCCAAGACCCTCGCGACCTGTTTTCTCTGTTCGTTATAAGTTACGCAGCCGAGAACATAGTACGAACTAGCGCTGACTGAAAAAGACTTCCAAGATCGTGATAACACCGCCATTATGGGGCCAAGCCCGTTATACACGATGCATCATCGCCATGCTTGTCAGCTTTGCCCAGTAAGAGTGGAGCCAATACCGTGATCAATCTTGACGTTGAGAGCTTAGTCTAGTTATTACACAGGTGATACAGCACGTAGTTAGTTCGTGAAAGTGATTGAAGAAGTTGCTGGCTTGATGATTTCAGAAAAGTATAAGTAGGCACCCAGTCTGCAATGGAACTCGTTGTTCCCTCTCGACACTCCAGCACAATTCAACAGCAAGCATCACACATACGCACCCTCAAATCTCCATTGAATTATCAACATGAAGGCCGCTCTTCCTATCATCGCACTCTGCGCTTCATTTGTATGTCTCATCCTGCTGCCACCTTCTGCCTCCTTAGCTAAGTGTACAGGTCGCCGCTGTCGCTGTGCCCACTGCACACAACACCGATGGACTGTCTATCCGAACTGCCGAAGAGATAGAGGACATGCCCATTGTTGACCTCCAGGTCATCGACGAGCGTTTCGGAGACCAAGTCTTCAGTGGCACGTACCAGAGTGCCGTTGCCCAGATGAAGGCGCTCAAGCCAGAGCTCTTTGCCGACGAGACTGAAGATGTCTCGGTCGAACTCGGCCTGGAGAAACGTCAGGGAGCTCCGGTAGGTATAATCCGTGTTTCCTGCGAGATATGAGTACTGATAGTCATCGCTTCGTGGTTTAGGTCAGCTGTAACTGGGGCGAGCGCATTGGCAGTTGGAATCAGTGCATCGATGGCATGGTGTCTCTGGGAAGAGCCGGAGACAAGTGGTGTGTCGTTCAGCCGAATGCGTGCGCTCGCGTTAGTTGCTCCTACGGCTGCGGCATGTTCCTTTGCAACAAGGTAGGTTAAAATCATATATTGGATGATGATCTGTAGCTAACCTGTTTTCCTATCAAAGCTTAATGCTATTTGGAGAGTGCATTGCAGAAGTATTCCTTCCGACATCAACGCCATCGCCACCAAGTGCCAAGATGTTTTTGGCCGGGTTTTGGTCGTAGGGACTTCAACACCCACTTCATCGGACTTGGACAGCAGAGCTGTTAGTTGAACATGCGCAGGCCTAAAATTATTGGTTGAGAACTTAGCACGAGAACGGATAAGCACCAAGTAGGGTTTTTCATCCGTCAAACGGTTTTCCCTCAGTAGTAAATCTGATTGTTATGAACAATTAACCATGTCGTGCCTTGACACTCAAAGTATACTTACCTTGATTTCTCACACGATTTTGCCGGATGATGCTGAATAAATTATGGCATTGAAGACATAATCGCGTCATGTCTTCAATGAGAAATATTTACCTGCTCGTGATAAAAGGCGCGTTGAAATTGACACAGGGGCCGCGGCGATAGCTCTCTTACTCGTCACGTCGATAACCCTTCTTGAATAATACCGATGTCAGTAGGTAGCTGTGACTCAATTTTGAAGGGCATCTGATTACATGACTGGGTTTAAACTGGACTGAGGAATTATAACTCTGCTTCCATTATTGGTTCCTTTTCTGATGAACTCATTTTCATCAGCTATTCCGCTGCTTTGAACAAAGAGCATGGTGAGTATGAATACACAAGACAGGAAGCGGTGATGTTATCAACAGCAGAGCATTCGGAAACTGTTTCGCTTAAGGCAGTCTGATAATGTGTATTTCTCCAATAGGCTTGACTGGGGCAGAGTTACCCATATCTATATTCATGCTCTGAAAGCCTGTTGCCGAAGACAGCTCAGAGCAGCGAAGCACTTGGGAAACGTGGCCGCGCATATTAGAGCTCAATAGACTTCAGATTCTTTCCAATAAGGGTCCTAGCGGTGGCACGAAATGACTTGAAAACTGTATTGATAGTTGGAGATTGTTTAAATTCCGCTCTGAGTAATTATCGAGGTTGATCGAAGCTGGAGAAATGTCAACTCCACCCCCTTCAGCGAGAATGTTCATGTATAACAGTCAAGCCTCTCTGATACGAGGTATAAAGGCGATACGGTCTAAGCCATCTCTTATAAGTCTTTTAATGAGGAATAAGCACCTCAGATACCCAACAATAATCTGCCGAGACTCCCTCCTGTACACTATGAACCACAAACCGACAAAGAAGTTCAGTGCTACTGTGGCTGATCACAAAAGATGTTCAGCATGTGTAAAAGATAAGGAAAGAACAACGGTATTGCGATAACAGTCTATAGAACCAAGCGATATCCATTTAGGAGATGAGTTGACTGTAACTGGTGTTTGTATCGTCGGACTGGCTTTGCCTTCTAGGCTTGTGGGTCAAAAAGATCAACCCAACGCGCACGGCGGAATGGAAAAACCTGCAAAAAACATACAACACCAGGTATTCGCTGGTCGTCACCGACCCAACTACTAATCCGGCCCTCATTGGCTTATCTATGGGAGAGCGGACGGGATCCCGAGTTTTCCAATGGGTATGGTCGTATGTGACGAAACGATGCGACAAAAGGATATTTATCCTACACACTCACAGACTCCAGTTTCAACAGGTAACTTAACAAGTTGCGCAGCTTTCTTTATCATGAATGGAAAAGGCTCATATATTTGATTGCATCTGCTTTTTTGCATTTTTCCTAGTGTACACTGAATCTTGAACTTTGAACGCAGAGAGCTTTCTAGGCTTCAATCGTGGCTAAACGAATTAACAGCCAGCTTCACTGCGACAGGTATTGTGATGTACAACCGGTAACTGCGTCTTAAAATCCACTAGGTCGGGATAGAGCGTGGTTTCTCGTTTTCCTTTTCACAATGCTGTGTAACGAAGAATCTCTATTATTCCAATTGTGCATTTGTGTTGCTGTTAATGGTTGCAAGTCTGTAGTCCCAACCCACTTCTGCCCGTCATGGAAAGGATGCAGCTTGCAATTAGGCGCAAGCTTCCATGCAATCCTAAGGTATCTGACAAGTTAAATGATTGTTTTATGTCCCAAATGACGTGGAGAAGGTTTTCTGAATGAGGAATCGCGAGAAAATTGACATTAACCGGCGTTTTCGGAAACCAAATCCCGACCCGATTTTAGTCATCCCAACGCACACTCTCGATTTATAAGACTGGGCACGCTCAACTCGAACTTCGGGAATTTTGAAAACAACATTGGAACGAAATTGATTGAAACCTCGAAAAATATGGCCCACGCACTAATTCTAGGAGCCTCAGGGATTTCGGGCTGGTCACTTCTAAATCAGGCCCGAAACTACCCCAGTGCCACTACTTTCACCCGCATCACCGGCACCACCAACCGCCCTCTTTCGTTGGAACAGGCCCAGATTCCCGCGGACCCACGTCTTCTTATTGCTTCTGGAATTGATTTTACCAAGTCACTGGAGGAGGTGGTGCATTCACTCAAGGATAAAATCCCCGACGTTCATACAGTTACACATGCATTCTTCACAGGTGAGAAGCAATCTTATCACGGGGATTATGACGAAGATGTTGAAATCGGAGCAGCCTACATCCAGACGAACGATTTCCAAAGTTTAAGGGAGAAAAACACACACTTGTTAGACATCGCTATCACAGCCATTGACCAGGTCTCTCCCAACTTGAAGGCTGTTATCCTACAGACAGGCGGTAAAGGGTACATGTTTGTGTGCCAGTCTTCCGCAGCACGTTTCTGACGGTTTTCACACATAGGTACGGTCTTGAATTTCCTAAAGAGCTCGACATCAAGGTCCCCCTGCGAGAGGACTTGCCCCGCATTCCGGAGCCCTGGGCCAGCAACATCTTCTACTACACCCAGTACGACCGATTGAAACAACTGTCGGAAGGCAAGTCATGGACCTTCTCTGAGATACGACCAGATGGAATCGTGGGATTTACTCCTACCATCAACCCGATGAACATGGCTCAGGGCATCGGCATTTACCTTACCATCTATCGAGCCGTTAACGGCGCTGGCGCTACCGTTCCCTTTCCTGGCCGTGACCACGGATACTATTCGAGACATTCGGACACTTTCCAGGACATTTTGTCCAGAATGGAAATCTTTGCTGCCGTTAACATCGACAAATGCGGCCACGGAGGCGTCTTCAACGTTGCGAACGGGAAGGCAGTTTCGTGGTCGCAGGTGTGGCCGGGGTTGTGCTCTCATTTCGGGCTTGTAGGCGAGGCCCCCGTGGCCAACTCGATGAAAATGGAGGACTTTGTCAAGGAGCACAAGGACGAGTGGTTGGCGCTTGCCAGGAAACACGGCGTCAATGAGAAGCTCGTTGACCAGTATGGATGGGGTTTTCTTCACTTCATGTTGGTTGATTTTGATTTTGACAGGCATTACGATCTCTCGAGGTCCCGTGAGGTGGGATTTCTTGAGGAGATTGATACTGTGAAGAGCTATGTCTTGTCTTGGGAGCGGATGAGGGCTGCCAAGCAGCTTCCGCCATTGTAAATGATAGTGCTGGACAGATACGACAGAGAAATGCTTTTGCTTGCTGTTCCTAAAAATCATCATGCGTGAACATGATGGTTTCATATATCAGTGTTTGTCACGATTATGCGCAACAAAAACATTCTCAAAAATTGCGTTTCTAAGTAGATTTTTAAGATACGTGTTATAAGGCTGGAATATATATATTTGATTTAGTATGTTCAGTGAAAATCAATGTTAAAGGGATACGGTTCTGAATCCTTAGGGTAACGTGACAAGAGTTTTCTTCCATCCTAATACATATTGCAGTCTGTAATGCTTAAAAGCATCTAATTATTCGACATGGAAATAGTATTACAACAGAACTTTATCTGTCCCTACTCCACGTTATCCATGTTATTCATCCATGATTGTTTATGCAACTTTCACAGAAAGGTGTGATACTTCCTGCAAAACCACCATCAGTCATGCTCAGCTTGAAGTTCGTTTTCCCTCGTTTTAACAGAATACGTTCTCAACCTTGTCAGCAAGGATTCGCAATCCCAATCTGGATCCATCAAGAGCTTCACTTCGCCTCCATGCAGTTCCACAAGCTCAATTATATTCATATTCCCTATATCCAGATTGGTCCAACTCGATTTCCATGATGGACCCCGTTCCCTACCCCACGCTACCCCCCACGACACCATCTCTCCCACAAGACCCTCTAACTCATCGTCCATGTTTGACCAATCTACGGCTGGCAACTCAATCCCATTGTCACTGGCAAGTTTGAAGAGCAGCTCACCGGCCTCCTTGACTAGCTCACTCGTGCCAAAATCTCGGTCAACTAGAATGGTGCTACCTTCATCGACGCTCTTACGGTCGGCAAAGTAGTAAAAGGCATTGTACTCGCGTTCTCTTTCTGCTTCTCTCTTTTTATAGAGATGCAGCATGTCTTTTTCAAGGGTGCCGTCGGTTTTAGAGGTCCACTCGACAAGTTGAGGGTGAAGCCACGAGTCGTCAAAGCCGTCCACTGGCTCCGAAATGGCTTTTAGGTAATTCGCTTCTTCGGAAGGGGTCAGCTTAGTGAGCAGGTAAATTTTAACGTATTCCTGAGGAATCTCCTCGTTTTCTGTGTCGGCCATTTTAAAGAGCCGCTGATGATTGTGATGTTGGCCAATGTCAAGAATATCAAGAATGCTTGAGGTTGCCAAGACGCCTGTCGTGACAAGTGAGTATGGGCTGATTGACGAAGCACAACAAATAGACCAGAATGACAAGGGTTTCGGCTGCTTTGTAATTATGACGACATTGATGCTAGTACCAAGTAAGCAGATGAGACTCTCGTGTTAGGCAGGCCAAGTATTGGGTAGCCTTTCGCATACGACAGCTGACATACCTGCTGCACTATGAGGGCTATTTATTGGTCAAACTAGAGCAATCCATCGATCGAATCCTTTTCGGGTAGATAACTGCAAGTCCCATGCCGCCTCATCCTACCTTACGCCTGGGATTGTTGCAGCTAACCCTTCGTGCCATTGATCTGCCAGGTTTTTCCATTTTCATATTGAGACCGAGGCATCACATTTGAAAAGATAGAATAGCAAACCGTGTTCCAGAGACCCAGCCATTTGTGAAGCGAACTAATAGATGGGGCAAGAAACTAATGGCCGGAAGCTTTGATACAGGTTGAAGAGCCTCGAAGTATGGTTACCTGAAATGGGCTCAGGCAAGCGATCTAATTAATTGTATGGAACATGAAAAAAGTATGCACTTTGCTCGAATAACCACTTTAAAAGCTGTTGGAAACTTGGCCTCGACTGGAAAATGGTCATTGAACATTCAAACAACGACCAATAACCGTTGCAGACAGTCCTTAGTTCCAGGGCACTCACAGCGCATATTCATGGGTACTCGAGATTTTTTCTCTTTCGTCTAATATAAGAACACTCAAAGAAATTCGATTGCCTATAGAAACTTGGGATATGATACCCCGTATTTGTTTTAACCCTGAACTCCGTTTGACCCTACGTGCGAGGGCATCATGCTGCAATAGCTGCCTAACCAACCCCAACGCCAATGCCATGAAATGCCCCAGTTCCATCATAAATCAACAATCCCTCCAAATGACCTTAGAAAGCTTAGCAGACATCAAGGGTAGGGCACGCGGTATCGACAATTCTCAGCGCCTGATTCGGTCTCAGTACGCGCTGAAACATTGCCGCACCCCTCTTCTCGTTCCTCTTGACCTTCGCAGTCGCCTGCACCTCATTCTTATTCTCCTCTTCGCCGTCTTGCTCCTCCTCAACCGGATCGACAAAAGCAAGCTTGCTCCGCGTCCAAGCAGCAGCGACTCTGGCCGTCTCCTGGATTGCCCTCTCGCCGAGCGTGAAGGGAGAGTGGAAGAGATAGTCCCCAGGTTTCTCGCAGGCAGAGTAATCTCCTGGCGCTTCAGGCGTCTCCCCGGTCTTGGCCCAAATACAGGGGATCCAAGCCTCGGCGTAGTAAACCTGGCCATCCTCCGTCCTGTTTCCGCGACCGGTGGAGTCCGTGAGCCTGTGTTGTCTCATCTGCCTTTCAATAATCGCCTCTCTCACAAACGTCGCGGAATCCACCTGGGCTCCAACACGCCTAGGGAAAGGGACCCTTATCGCCGCCGTTACGGTTGGTGCCTCCGAGTCCTTGGCATCGCGACGGCGACGGGACGCTACTCGCCGCTTAGAGGGAACATATCCAAACTGGCCCTTTTCCTCGCCCTCCTTAGGCTCCGGGTCTGGTGTACGCATCCACTCGTCCATGCGCCCCTTGATCTCCGAGTTCCATCGGTCAGTGAGATGCGCCGCATTGGTCATTTGCTCAGCCTTGGTGTGCGGGCTCGGGGGGCTTTGTCTTTGTGCGTGCCATCCTGGTGTCAAAGAGATGTCGAAAAGCTCCGGGATGATGACCCTAAAGTTTTCCACCTCGCGCTCGTCGACCGCATCTCCTGATTTGTCGGCCTTGTTCAACTTCTGGATGAGTTCGGCGTTCTGGTAGGCCCAAAAGTCGGAGAACGCGGCCGATTCCGTGTACAGAGACGCTTGATAAACCCTCTCTATCTGCACAAACAGTTCGCGAACGGCAAGATCGATGATGCCCTGACCCAGTTCTCGAGGAAGCGTCGCGAGCGTCCAGACATCCCAGGTGCCGAAACTGAAGACCCAAACGGTCTCTTTCGGGACGTCTTTGGGCGGGGGCTGCGCGAGGAACTGATCGACTTGGGCGGTTACATCGGCAATTGCCTCGGCGAGGGGAAACTGCTCTAGAATGAAATCGTAGTTATATCCTGGCGCCTTTTCTTGATCGAGCTCGCGGGTGACTTTGTCGATAGTCGCATTGTAATGCCTGTGCGAGGTAAGGGCCTGGGTTGGGAGGCTGATCTGGGGGATGAGGGTGTGGTGTGATGAGCAAGAGAGCTAAACTTTGTCAGTAATGCGAACATTGAGAGTCAGAGAAAAGCAAAACGCACTTCTTCGCAGAGCCACTCAGTCCATCCCTTATCCTTGCCATTTGAAGGCGTCGCAATGTCGGGGGAACCGAAAGCGACCAGTCTCACACCTCCAGGACGACCGTTGCCGACCGGCTCATCGCTCTTGCCGAACGGTGACCATGACCATCTTGACCCAGATGTCAGGAGATCTGACGACGGCGAGGTGAAGAATTTGCCGAGCAGGATGAGGGCAAAGAAGGCAAGGATAAGCTGGATGACCAACCGCGGGCCGCCTCGCAGCACACGTGTTGACAGAAAGCCGAGCAGGGTCTTGAAAGTCAGTTCGCAATGGTCAAAAGGTTTTCCGTTGCCACAGGCCATCGGTGAAGATGACCGCCTCTCGTGGCGGGGGAGTTCCTTGGACATGTTGTGGTTGTGTCTCGGTTGGCTTGGTGTTTTAGTACTCTTTTCTAATGTAGGAGTTCATCCGCTGCGATGCGTCGACAAGCCGACCGGGAAGGATGTTAGTATTTGTTATTTGCTGTGCTTTCTTCCCTCCTCTTGTAGATGTCTTCGACCAAATAGTAGACCAAATACACTTTGTGTATTCGTGGGTATTCGTAGTATGAGTGGCACTTCTGCTTCCAAAACAGGAAACCGATCGTGTGCAGATGCTGCAACGTTGGTGGTGACGCCGTGCCAAGCCGGCAGTCAATAGACCAGAAAGTCAATTGATGCCAAGAGATGTGAATTGGATGGGAATTTAAAAATGCGATTGGGGGTGTCTTAACTTTGCTGGTTTTCAAAAGAGCAAAAGTCAAAACGAAACAAAAGAAACGGGAAACCAGGACAAGTGATCGTCACAGGTGATAAAGGGTTCTGGAGAAGGTGGGAAAGGAGACAAAGCAAAGACATGGGAGATGATGAAGATGGGCAGATGGTGACTTCAAAAAGGCTTCTAGACCCTCTTCATTCAACGGACATCAGACCAGGGGATGTGACCCAGCAGCAACATTCTCTTACTAGGCGCAACCAGCTGGCAATGCGCACTAGCAAAGGTAAGAGTACATACACACTGGTTAGCACTCCATAGAGGCAAAACTGCAAAGACAGGGCCCAAGAGGCATTCACCGTCATCCCAGGCGCGTACACGCAATGATTGGAGGGGGAGGGGCGGAAAAGGCTTCAACCCGCGGCATCTGGTGGCCCCCTCGACATCCATAAACCTGGGATGAACCGGGGACGAGGAGGCCCCGTTGCTGAGTGGTGGACGACCTGTCGTTGTGCCATCCTTGCTTTGATGTGCAGTCGTCGTCAGCTCAAGTGGAGACCATCATCTGAACCGGTTGAGAGCCAACGTCTGTGTGGCTGCGGTCCTAAAGCCCTGCGACGGCGGTAAGCCATCCGGTGTGTGGGTGGATGGAGAGGAGAGAGACTCAGGGGCTTGCAAACATACATGCTTCCAGGAGGCTGGAGAATGTAATGGTGGTTGTAGCAAGTTACTTGCTTGTGTTTCGATCCCGTCGTAGCCGTGTCATATTTCCTGGGCGTTCCGCTGTCCCTGAAAAAGTACTTGTTGTCTTCAACCCCCTTCGAAATGCTTCTGAGCTGTACTTCTTCTTACTACTTTGAAGTCCTGGGAATGAAAAGACGCTTATCGCCATTGACAACGTCCAACTCGACAAGAACTGGGTTGATGCAGGCGAGAGGTGGACTTGGAGAATCCTGCTCACATCGATTCTCAACGGGTCATGACTTTGAGGATTCTCCACATCCCGCAAGCCCTGTCCGGTTCCGCTGCGGAGACTCCATTTCCCGCCCTAAAGTCCATGAGCCCAGCTTCTGGCAAAGCATCACGCGAGTGATTTCGCAGTTGAGTAAAGGCCGAGAGCAAATGACTGAAATCTTTGCATGGATTACGGCGTGAATATGCACCTTCAGGGTTCACTTGCAGACGTTTAAGAAGAAGCGTAAAATTGGTCCTCTAATTTCCTCCCCCAGAAAAGTCTTGACAAGCTTGGCTGTAACACATAATGGTTACATGCAGTAACTGATCGACGCGAACAGTCGCTCCGAGTTAACCGGACAGCCGCTACCAAGAGTTCTTTCAACTCCTACCTCTGGGCTGCTTGTCATGAACCAAGCCCCAAGGCCAGAAACGGTGTTTCTTTGTAGGCCAGCCCAAGCCCGCCACGACGAAGAGTGCGCCATCGATGCGTGTCTGTGCCGTTTGCCGGGTCTAGAGCTACGGGGCGAGCCCGAGCAGCCCAAAACAAAAATGGCTCCAAATTCTCCATGTACCTAATGTATAGACCCCTGTACCAACCCCCGAGAGCGCCGCCCCTCCAAAGTCTCAGCACACGTCATTCTAGCTGTCTCCAAGTAAATTCCTGTCCCCATTCTGCTTTAATGCCCCTAGGCCCGAAGAAATACTCGACGGAGCCAACACGTTCATCAAGGGTGTTCCACAGTAGTTTTCACTTTGAAACAAACTTCGATCTAGAGAGATTGAAGAATAAGCCCTTTTTTCCACGTCAGCTTTTGTCCTCCAATCGTCCGGCCATCCATCCTTTCCCTCGCCTGTGTCCCTCCGAGGTATGCCAATTCGGTCGTGCCGTCCGGGGCCGCAGCCCGCTCGGTCATGCGCCGTTGCCGTGGTCCGCCCACTTCCCGGCTTAAATTGGTGGCTTCGCCGTCGTCGTCACTCTTTTCCCACAGACCTCATCGTTCTCTTCAACTCCGCCACCTTAAATCAGTCAAGACTAATCTGATATTTGCGTGCCGACAGTGACAGAAAGAGGCTCAGCTGCACTTGTTGCCTATGTTTATTCGTACACTACAAGATTACTATCCACATACAAAGCTTTCCCGGAAGAAACCCAGCCCAACTACGCGTCGCCTTAATATGAGGGGAGTATCCTAAATCACGCCTTGCTTACCCCGACCTTCTCCGTTCCTAGTGCAACTATACGTCCCGAGTCTCTGCCAGTGGTACACTCCCGTTCCGCTCATGATCCAGAAACCCTCCAGTCATGTGCACATCGTCCACACGCGTTCCCATTTTAGAACGCCCCTTCCAGATATGCCCCCGTTACGGCCAACCCAAGCGCCATCGTGAAGGGGTACTTTTGCGGGAAATCCGGACCGCCGAATTCAGGGTCCCGGCCGGATGTGCCTGGGTACAGAAGAGACGCCCATCCGGCGACCCAGTAGATGGACCCCAAGAACCCTGCGATCCGGAAGGATTCTTTGGCCAAAGCAGGCGTCGCGTGCGTCCGCCACGTGAAGAAGAGCGTCGCGACTCCCAGGATGAAGGAGAGTGACATAGTTTGTGCATTGTGGAATCTGCAGACCGGTCAGCTCGCCGTCGCGACCCCTACCGGGCCAATGGCATTCGACATGTGATCTAGACTCACTTAGCGTGGGGAGGCCATCGCGGGTTGTGGATGTGCGTCTCATTCCAATCGGCGATAAACGCACCGCAGAGGAGGAAGATACCGTCGAGCGTCAAGCAAACGCGGCCGAACATCTTGGAGACGTGTTCACGCGAAGACGTGGAGTCTGGTTCACTTTAAAAATGCAGGCCTAAAACGAGTTGCTATATCATGTGAGAGACATGCCACTACAAGAAGTTTGGAACGAGAGGGCCGCAAGCTCTTTAAACCCACCATCAACGTCATCTGTCACCCACATCCAATCTTTCTCACGGCCGTGTCTCACTACAATCACCGCCAAAGCGCGCGCTTTGCTTCGCGCTCCGATGAACGCGAGCCTTCATACATACGAGTCACCTACTCTGGCGTGGGGTGTGCCAATGGCTGCTTTTTTCCCCTCACCGCCGGACTTTGGGGATCTCCGGTCGTAGCGGGCTCCGAAATCGATGTGACTGATGCACGTTTATGTGTTACGGTTAGTTCCGGTGCGACTTCGGATGGACCATGTTACAAATACGCGCGCGCAGGCTGAGAAATATCATTCTGGCGAATACGATGTTCCCCTTTTGCTTCAGTATTATGGCGCATGGCGGCTCAATTATCATGATCTTCCGTTAGATGAAGACTATCAAAAGATATTTTCATGGAAACGCGCATTATGCTATTCTCTAAGTCCATGTCCTAGGTCTTTAGAGTGTAAGATACAAACGGCAAAAACCATGAGAGACAGGGCAGGGGCTGAGCATGAAAAACCTGGTCGAATCGAGCCGATGGCAATCATTTGGATTGTAGCTGGCCGGATAGCTCCGCCTGATGAGTTTCCGCCCCATGTCATAGCCAGCATATTAGAATGAGTAATGCGTGGCCAGTAGCCTCTCAAACATTTCTTGCTGTCGAAAAGTTCCGTTTCATCAGTCTTTGGGATGGGATTGAAAACCCGATGTCGGGAGTAGAGGCTGATGCAGGACGCAGGAACCGGAGCCGCTCCGGACCGGTAGACCCCTTCCTGGGCACGGCATGGGCCTTGATCATCTTCCGCCCCGGTAAAATAGCTAAAACAGCTAGCCCGATCTTGATGTTCATATTCATCAATGCAACAGCAATTGTATATTCACAAGCTTTCCGCATGTTGTTGACATCTGTGATGGAACTTTCCCCAATAGTTGTCGGACATGCAAAGCCTTGCACAGTTCAGAGTTTTATTAGAACGGTCGGACTAGTCTGGGCCAAAGAACTTTGCTCAACACCCCATGCTTCGCTCCCGCTCTTCCGCGCTAAAACATGAAGAATACGTATGTTTATTCGATGTACAGAACGAAATATGGAAATCCAACCCGAGAGCAGCCCGTCCTCGAGCCGGCACATCCTGGCATGGCCAATGATTATTTTCTTCTTCCGTTGGCGCTTGGAGAGTACAGGACTGAGGAGCTTCAGAAAGGTGACTCTCGGACTTGGATTGGGGAAATGGTCGTGCGGCAACTGATCATTATGACGCACCTCAATCTCAAACATCACCAGAGAGCTCATCCTTACAACTGGGCTCAAGCTCCAGGACCTTAATCGAGCTTGTTCTCACCTCGGTCATTCTCTCACCTACTACAACATCTCGCATTATCTTACCATTGCCATTGAAAGGTTGAGCTGAGCTTCAATCATTCCAATTCAACCGAGTATCGCAGATCATCACCATCACCACGATGTCGACAAGAAAAGTACTTATCTTGGGCGCGACCGGAAAGCAAGGCGCCGCTGTCATCGACGCCCTCCTTTCTCTCCCCAAACGCACCACCTCTCTCGAACTTCTCGCTCTCACCCGTAATCCCGCGTCTGCAAAGATCCAATCTCTTACCGAAGCCGCGAAACCAAAGGGTGTGACCATCACCCCCGTTGAGGGCGACATCAAAGCTTCTCCGAGCCCCGTGTTCCGCGCGCATCCGAGTATCGATACATCATTCATCGTAACCACCCCAGGAAACGAGGATGTGGCAGGAAAAGCTTGGGTTGACGCGTCCATCGACGCTGGAGCCTCTCAAATCGTGCTGACGTCCGTTGACCGCGGCGGCGAGGACAAGTCCTGGACGAACCCTACCAACATCCCTCATTTCTACCAAAAGCACGAGATCGAGCTGCACCTTCGCGACCGCGCAGACGAATTGGAGAAGAACGGGAGAAAGCTGAAGTGGACCATCCTCCGGCCAACGGCTTTCATGGATAATACCAACCCGGGGACCTTCGGGAAGGTGTTTGCGGCGATGTGGTCCACTCTCCCCGCCGATCGACCCCTGCAGTTTGTGTCCGTCAGGGACATTGGCCTATTCGCCGCCGGCGCCATCGCGGAGCCGGAGAAGTGGGACCGGAGGGCAGTTTCGCTTGCTGGGGATGATATCACATATGCAAAGGCGAGGGAGGTGTTTAAGAATGTCGTCGGGAGCGAGATGCCTCAGACATACACCATTTTTGGACAGGGCATGATGTGGGCGATTTCGGATGTCGGCAGGATGTTTGATTTCTTCAAGAGAGAGGGTTACGGAGCTGACATTCAGATGCTCAGGAGAGAGCAGCCCAAGTTGCAGGATTTTGAAACTTGGTTGAAGGAAAGCAGTGGATGGAGTAAGGAAAAGAGCGAGATTTGAGGTAAATCGCCTTTCATTTCTCCCTTGCTTTCCTCTGGTTTTACCTGACCTGTGTCTTACTAGCTCATGCGGCACTGATGCCGCAGGTGATGGCATTGAATTGAACTTATTCTCAGTGTGACTATCGATTTTCCGCAGTCCTCAAGATGGTATCTCGTACATGTATGAACAAATCCGTTCTGTAATTTCCTTGACAACGCCGGCTGTTTTGTCAATCTGAAATAATTGTGTACATCACCATAACACAGCCTCGTTGAAAGAGGCAGACGGCGTCGCCTAAGAAATAAACGAGCAAATCATCTTTAAGCCAGCATCACACGGCAGAACGGCCGGGGCCATGTGACGAGATAAGCCGCCCACATTGGATTTTATCCAAGGCACACGTCATTACTCCTTGCTGTGCCGCTCGACGAGCCAGACTTATTTCATCCTGTTTACCTTGGACTTTTGCAAAAATTGAATCCTTCAATCACTGACTGCCGTCATCGAGACCTACATCATCGCCCAGAACTGCTATACCGAGTATTTAATTCCTCGTTGGTTCTGCGACTCGGGCCAGAATGGGCTCGCCAAGCCGATTTGAACCCCCCCCCCCCTCTGCAGGCACTGCCGCTCAATTAAGAAATGGTTTGACGCCCGACGACATGGTCATGTCGCCCGGTTTGTGCTTACCTAGGTGCATGAAATAAGGCCGCATAGGTGCTTGGATCTGCGAGCCGGGTAAAGAAGGTTAATTACCTTGTTTTTTATACATCTCCTGATTGTCGGTATGTAGGTAGTTAAAGCAAAACATTCCTCCATCATTCTCTTCAACTTTGCAAGTCTGCAAGTGAGGTGAAGCAAACTCAATAAAACGAAAAAAATCCAGTACACCAGAGGGCCAACCAAACAAACCGCCATCATGCCTACCGTCACAGAAACCTCCCAGATTGGCTTTTCCAACATCGGGCCTCTGACGACCGTCTTCACCCCGCCCGCTGCCTGCGCAACCGCCGCGCCTGACCTATGGCTCGCCATGTCCGATGAGGAAATGACTAGTCGCGTGAGGCCCTTTTTCAAGAAAGAATGTGAACCGAAACTTCTTGACGAGTGCTATGCCTCTGGCTTGGTGGATGGCGCGGCATATTCGTCGGCCGTATCGGTCGGTTACCCCGGCTTAGGCGTTATCGGCTACTTCTCTCCCGCGAGCGCTTGTCCGCATGCCCACACAACCGTCGGCGTGGCCTCCAAAGGCGAGGATGGGAAGGTCAGTTCGTCGGGCATTTTTGTGCCGCCTGTGGTCACCGAGGGCTCGCAGTCAGACCTTTGGCTGCAAAACCCGCCGTTGAATGTGATGATGGAGGTTTTGGATAAGAATGAAACTGCCATCATTTGCTGTCCTCAGTAAGTTTTTGTTCGACCAGTCACATAATGAGTAATATCTAATAAATACACAGGGACTATACGGTAGGATTCAACGGCGGCTGCTTCTCTCGCGTTGCGGATTCTGTTTATGGGGAGAAGACAGCATGTAACCGGGTGAGAGATGGGGGTTACACTCGCGTCACTGCCACCTTCACCTACAATGACACTGTCGTCACGGGTGTTGTCGTTTCCGTCGTGGCGACTAGTCAGGCCATAATCACCAGGACCTCGACGTTGACCGATTCCTATATTTCGGAGAGCTTTTATGCTGTCGCTTCTCAGCCGGCGTACACCCTGATCCACGGAGGAGCTGTACAGGAGACGACTGGTACTAGCGGCACAGCGGCTCCTACGCAGACGGGGGCTAGTGGGGCTAATGGTTTCTGGATGACGACTTCTGGAGGCGGTGTTGGTGTTCTGGCGACTGTCTGGGCGTTTGCCGCACTTGCTGGTGTTGCACTTGTCTTACCTTTGTAAAGCTCCTAAGGGTGGATTTAAATGTATAATTTACTGTGGGACGATTTATCGGACTATGTTTACGTATGCGGTCTTCCATTTGGACCATTCATAGTTGCCAATCGTGAAAACGCTTCGCATCAAACGCAGTACTTGTTAGTCAGTACGGGCGCGCATAAAATACTGTCGTGTCAGGTCCAACTGTTGATAATCTACGACAATGCAATTTAGGAGAGTTTGTCAATGTTTTGGAATATTAACCATTGACGGATGGTGTGTGAAGAGACCACGAGCTGGTACATGCGTCAGTGTACTATTAAGCTTGCGGCACTGAGTCTTAATCTACAAAATCTACGTCAACTTACAAGCACTAGAAAGGCTTCAACAATTCAATAGGGACTCAAATCATGGGCTACCGAAAGCAACGTTGTTATCTGAATAACATCGAAAGTGCCGGAACGCAGGACTGTTGGGAATGGCCTTAATCTCAGGATCGCTCAAAAAGTGGGTGACAAAAAGGTCACGCTATGTAAAGTTGATAAAATGTTCGTTCTAGTGTGAACAGATGATAAATAAACCTGATAGATATTGAGACTGCTCTGCATTTCCTTACATGACGATACGGCATACCACGCAAATGAAATCAATGTTCCTAGCAGCTATTGTCTGTCCTCAGTACATGGTTGATTCTCACTTGAAAGCATTCATAGCCTGCTCGCGGAAATGATCAGTGACCGCATTAATTCACACTGCACACACGAGAGTCTAAGGGTAAAAATAGCCGACGTAACTAAGGGGACTTTTTGTGAGAGCGCTAATGATCATGCAGAGATGGCATATATACTTGACAAGATGATGCCACGGACAGTTCACGGATATTTCACGGATAAGAAGCCTCTTATTCTTTACTAAGCAGGTTTAATCATCAATATAACACCAAGGTCATTCTAAAACGCCTTTCTATGCTAGTGCAATCCCGAGTGGAGCTTCAGCATTCAGGCCGCCATATTAACCTACGGGGTATGCCCCCTTTGCTGGCGTGTTTCCCGCAGTACTGAGTGGCTCGTTGATTTTTTTACTTTCTCTCTTTTTTACTCGAGAATTTCTATTATGTTGTTGTTGAGGAAATGGGTGAGGTCTCCAAATGAGACATCTTTACACAACCAAACTCAACCGGAAGCCTTTCTATTGATTGTCTTTTATTTATTTTCCAGACAAAGAGCTGCCACGAAGAGAAACAAATAAAAATGGCCCTAGAGACACTACATATCTTTTTCCATAACTGTTCATTTCTCAATTGCGAAATAAAGTAAGGACAGAGTTAATGCAGGGCTTGATACCTTTTTGCCTGCCTATTCCCATAACAAAGCTCTTGTGATTAGCAGTGATATCCGATTCAATAAGAGTAAATTTCTCTTAAAAAAACACATTAGAGAAGCATTGGAAACCCTCTCAGCCTCACTGGCAAGATTGAACACCAGGAAGAAAATCTACTCAGGAAGTATCTCACAGAGAGGAACAGGAGCATCATGGGATGTCTTCTTAGAGATTGCCCTCTCAAGTTGTAAGCCTACAGTAAGCCTGTGTTTTAGGTATTTAACAACGAGGGCTGTTAAACTGCCTAGGGAACTGAGTACTGGCACGTTACATTTGGATCTCGTGCATTTTCATGAACTGGGATTTCTAAAATCATTCGTATTGATTTGCGGAGAACGGAACACCGTGCAAAAGGCAGTATTACATCACGCATCGGATTATTATTACCTTTCCCTCAATATCTCATGTTTTCATATGTTTATTATTCAGGCTGGCGCAGCAACAACGTGTCTTGGTCCTCAGGCTCTGGTATACTTTAGTACGCATCCCCTGTGGCGCAAATGTTCCATCACACAACTTCATCATTTGTACTGATCGCCCTGATTTGTGAAATAATGGTTATATACTGTTTGAGTTGAGCAACGGTGCTTTACTACAAGTCCGCCTCGACACTAGGGAACTTGACAGGCTATGACGATGGTCAACGAAATCAAACACATGTTTCGTCTCTCTTCGGATCTACAATAAATGGCTGCCCCATCCGCTAGAACACTCTGTCAGACCTTACGTGTAATCTGGACTTTGGAAAACATAAAAGTGACGGAGCTATCCTGGAATATCAGTCCTGTGTCGATTCAACAGGAGCGTTGCCAACCGTTTTCTGGCACTCTCTTGTACACTTGGGGAAAACAATCATCAGATTTTCCGGTGTATGGTAAGTTATTTCACAGTTGCGAAAAAATCTTCCCTGGCATAGGGCGTAGAAGAGAATAATCATCTCTCACAGAATCCACAATGCTACCCGGACATGGATGGATATCTGCTCGCGTGAGCATGGCGACTGTCAAGAACACAACTAATTGGGTTCATATCCTTCGCGGGTTCTGGAATTGACAAACTCTGGCGTCCGTCTTCCTGTGACAGACGAAGAGCCTCTAAGCGGATCGTACAATGAGTTGAGTTACTGTTATGGACCTCCACCATACGAATTTCTTCGACTTTGAGATGTAAATTTTACACAACTCAAACCGGGAATCCTAAGTGTCGAGATTCCTATTGTATGACAGGAAAGACATTAGTCTTACGAGGAACCTAGAAATCAGATACATTTGGATCGACTATCTTCGTATCATCCGGCTGGGGTCAGACCATATCCAAGACCGGACGGAGTAGTTTTCCCGAAGGCAAAATTTGTGTGTCAACTGCGCTCTTTGTCTTGCACTGTGAGGGAGATATCCAGGAGAAAGCAACTTCAATAGTCTGGGTGCCACATGTATTCCATCTTTCGAGATAAGTCCAGAACGCCTCCATGGTGTGGTGAGATTTTCTTCTCGCAACAGTCTTGTCGTTGTCGGTGTATACTACCACGACAACTAACAGACCTCCCTTCAGTACCCAGGGCGTTTGTCTAACAGGAAAGACGACTTCATGTGGTGTTACGTTTGGTGTTGGGGAAACCTTTTTTCATTTTCGGATAAGACGCGATCTGGCATTAAAATTGCCTGACTAAGATTAAATTTTACGTATCATTAAATATATTGCTCTTGTCGACTTGCTGAAATAAGATAAAATAAACATCAAAGTGAGGGCATTAAATTTTGCAACGACTTATATCACAGCTTTATTCCTCACGCCCTACTTCTAAGATTGCTACATCGATGTAGTCGTAATTCCCACCACGCTAGCTCTGTCGAGTGCCGTACTGCTTTATTATATGACTTTCTATCGCATCAATTGTGTAGCTTTAATACCAGCCCCGTCTCGAAGAAGTGCTTGATGCCCTAGTCAGCCATCTTGAGCTGACATCAATGGCCTAGTAGCTATCCCCATATCATATATGCCCCTCCTCTACAGACGAAATCTTCTTCACAGTGGTGGCTTTACCGTCGACATCTCCTGCTACCTGTAGAGCTTTAGCACCCCTGATCTTGCCATTTCCAGCAGTCGTCTGGGTGGCGTGGTCGTCGTGGCCTAAAAGGTTTTGTTCTGTTTGTTCTCTGAAAGTCACTCCAGGGGTCATGAAGCGAGCAGCAGTTATACGGCTTTGCAGGAAACACCTCTGTAAACATTGGCTTACACAACTTCTAAGCTACTATCACAGCCGGCAGTTTGACCGCTTTCTCGCCGACATATGAGGCCTTCAAAGGGCTCAAGCACCAAATGTGTCATCAAAACCTGGTCTGGAAGTATGAAGCTGGAAATAGATTTGACAACGGACCACCCCCGGCCGTGTGTCTGAGGCATTTCCCATTCCACGCGTTCCATACCGAAATTGAGCACGACCAAATAAATGTCTCTGCCGTGCGTGCGCGTATAAGCAAATACAGACGAATGATGTTCATCGACAAGCTGGTACACGCCATAGATCTGCCAGGCCAATGTCTGGATTAGTGGGGTTGTCAAAGAACTCCCGAGTCAAAGGTTTTTGAAGCTTTCGATCACTGATGAATGAAGGAAGCACTTACGAGCCCTGGATGCTGCTGACGGAAACGTATCATGTCGTGATAAAACCTCCAAACCGACGCCGGATTTCGACGTTGGGCTTCGGCGCAGAACGTAGTGAAGTTCGGGTGTGCAGGGAGCCATGGCTTGGCATTGTGATCAGTGAAGCCTCCAGAGGTCTTACGGTTGCTATCCCACTATAGGCAAAGCTTAGCGTCAGCAGCAGAACCAACATTAATGGCGGGGGTTTAGTTACCACCATGGGGGTGCGAGCAGCATCCCTGCCCTTGGTCATGATTGCCTTCTTCACCATCTCCAGTTTATGGGTATCGTCTCCCTGCGCGAGAGCCGCGTGAGCTGCGTTCCAATAGATGCGGGTTTCAATGTCTCGTATTGTCTCTTCGGAAAACTCCTCAGGGTTTGTCAATCCCAGCTCCTGTCCTTGATAGATAATGATTGTTCCTCGTAAGGTGAAAAGCCACATGGCGAGGAGTTTGGCAGCGTGCTCCATTCTCATTTGTCCCACCTTGCAAAATCGGTTTAGCCCCCGTGGTTGGTCGTGGTTCTCGAACCACAAGGTGTCCCAGCCACCAGCCTCGGCCATGCACGTCTGCCATTTGCTCACGGCAGCCTTGAGTTCTGGCAATTTCCAGTCTCTCAGCGTCCATTTGTCTCCGTTGACACAGTCAAGCTCGACATGCTCAAAATGCAAGATTAAGTCGAGCTCTTTTGCTTCATGCGAGATGAAATCTCGCCCAAGCTCTGGCGTGATGCCGCACGACATCTCACCAAGAGACAGCGCATCATAGTGAGCAAAGACTTCTTGCTGCATCTCTTGTAGATACTTGTGGACTCTAGGCCTGTAGTACGTCACGCTATCAGCTGTGGTGTCTTTAAAAGTGACCTAAGTGAGCATAACTCGGACAAAAAGGGAAGAGGAAAAGCACGGGAAGACGAACCCATTGGCGAACATCTCGTTTGTCTTCTGCTCAAACCTGCCTGGTGTAGAAGTCGGGGCATCAGGCCACCCAGAAACAGTTGGCTGGCCAGGCCGCGCGGCACACAGGTCTTCGTTATGCACTTTGGACATGCAGTTGATTGCGTCTAACCGAAAGCCGTCAACTCCTTTGTCCAACCAGAACCGAAGTACCTTCCATAATTCTCTCCGGACGTCAGCGTTATACCAATTGAGATCCGGCTGCTCCCTGCCGAACACGTGCAGATAGTATTTGCGTATCTCAGGTACCCATTCCCACATGCAGCCCTCGAAGACGCTCTCCCAATTGCTTGGTGGTCGCTTGTTTCCGCTCTCGTCGACGATAGGGTTGCCCCAGATGTAGAAGTCTTTGAAACCGTTGGCCTCACCCTTTTCAGCAGCGATCGACTTTTTGAACCAGGCGTGTTTGCTAGAGGTATGGTTCAGGGCAATGTCCAAAATAACTCGCAAACCTCTTCCGTGCGCCTGTTTAAGCAAGTTGTTGAAATCCTCCATGTCGCCAAACATGGGATTGATTTTGTAATAGTCGGAAATATCATACCTAGGAGACGGCTTTGGTCAATGCTTTATTTGGCGAGAGAACCTCTAACAGTGCTGACTTACCCCATATCATATAAAGGAGAATCAAAGATGGGGGACAACCAGATAACGTCAACGCCGAGATCAACTTTGTATTCCAGTTTTTCGATTATCCCTCGCAAATCGCCGTACCCATCGCCGTTGGTGTCCTTGAAGCTGGGAACATAAATTTGGTAGACCACCGCATCCTTCCACCACTGAGACTTTTGATTGACGGGAGTTGCGTTCGGCGGGCGAGGCGCTCTGTGGGTCAGAGCCACCTTCCGGTCGATAGACAGTGTACTGCGCAATCCCCTGGCTCCAATGCCAGCACGTCTCATGTACATGTTGTTCATGTTGAGCGTATCTTCTGTTGAAACGTAGGTGGTGAAAAAAATAATAAATAAATGTTAGCTCTCTAGAGATGCTTGTCCCAAAATGCAAGACTACTTTAGTTGAAGAAAGTGGCCTTATGTTGGCGTAGTTGTAACCTACAATATTTATACTATCATATTGTCCAAGCTACCCCATCCGAGTATATACCAAACATAATGATAGAAATTATGCATCATCAGACAATTCAGAAACTATCACTTCGCTATGCGGAGAGCCTCCGCAAGCTCAATCTGTTGCTTCCCCCCTTGACGAGCTTGATGCGTGCATGAAATGTTGACAGGATGACGTGATCTACGATCACGATCAAACAAATTTCGTTTTTAATTTATTCCAGACTGACCCAAATCGTATCTTCCAGTTTCTTGCAATTACTGCTTTCGTAAATAATACTAGGTGGAAGTCGTGACGTCTGTGGGCACGATACCACTAGTACGAGCAGGTTAGGGCAATTAACTGTGGCACAAAGTAGAAGCTTCATTCATGAAAAATTCTTCGTTAGTGTTCCTTGTTGTACATCACACACTTACGGTATACCATGGCCAACTATATCGTGACACTATCACCCACTCGCATAGGCATGTCCTCGTGTGGTCTTGGGTAATCCAAGCCCTCACGCATACTTCGTATAATACAGAATAACTCATGCATTCATGCAGTGACCACAGCAGCTACACTGATTTGCTATAATAACCATTACCTAGTATTCGAAAGATTCGTAATACTGTTGCCGCGATGCATGATAACGAGACCGATGGCCTTTGGCATAATGTGTACTTATTATTATGTTTTCAGCAGTTTAGAGCACCTGACTATGGAATCAATCAATGGTTTTAATAATGATAACGGCTCCATTATCATATTCCTCCATTCTACGCTGTATAGTAACCTATTATTTAGACCAGAACAGTTACTTTCACCTTCTGACAAAAGCTGCAAAGCTCTTGGGAATTTTATCTGCATCCTGAGTGCTATCTAGGTATGTCTAAACTGGCTTTCCCCTTTCTGGTAGTACTTGCGGCTCAATAATACGGACTGTGTCGCTTTATTTGTAAAATGATTCTGAAATGACGAAGGTTTTCTCGGAGCCCTTCGAGCCGTTGCGCTACCCTCTCGCAAAAATTAATCAAACCTCCTAAAAGTTTACATATTCATGATAAGTTATTAATCATAGTATTCAAATTTTAGCGTTCTAACACAAACCAACTCAGCTTCCGGGATGCATCGGGACCGTCCAATGGTAAATAACTGTTTTATTTCACAGACTAGACATGTACCGCCCCTTGGATCGACTTGGCTGATCATATCATGAGGTCAAGAGTAAAAACATGTTAAACCTATTGAATGAAGTGATCAATGAGTACGTCCCAGATAGAAATCAATTACAATCTATCCACCCATGGGAACCTAGGTATAGAAAATGTTGCATCAATTACTCGATTAGGTTATTACTCTCCGGTTCGCATACTATGACGTTTTAGGTCGCTCATGTTCCCCAGCGGCAAGCCCGGTCAGCATTTTGGAGCTCGCTGCCGTACGTGGTTAAATAGCTGGCCTTTCAGCCAGCAATATGGAGGGTGGTCAAACAAGTTAGCAGCTTCCTTTTAAATACTCGTTCACCAGCTTAGGTACGATACTCCACTTCCTATGAGAAGAGGCATCTCTATCGCAGGAAAGGTTATCGGAAAGCTTCAAATCCCAGCCCGTCCTTTCTACGACCACTTTAACAAAACTGCAGGAAGTCAGCCACGAAGGTATGTCTGACCATCGCCCCTTAAGGTGCTGGCACATTTTCTGACTTTGAGCGCTCTTGATGGACCCACAGCCATTGCCGAACATCTGTCCTCGCAATGAATGGAGCTTGCTTGAAGTCAGAGAGACGATGGTGGAAAGAGGTTGTCATATATCAAGTCTGAAGTTGACACTTTTTATCGGTGAAGATCTGTGCTGACAACATAGACAGATATACCCTGCCTCGTTCAAAGATAGCGATGGCGACGGAGTTGGAAACATTGATGGAATTACGTCCAAGCTGGATTACTTGTTGGAACTCGGCGGTGAGAAAGATACAAACCAGTTCTTTTCAAATTCTATTTTTCTAATGAATTTTCTTTTTCCCTAGTGAATGTGCTGTGGCTTTCTCCGAGTAAGTACTGTATAACGACATTCCTCTCATGACGCTATCATTCTAATGCCAGAAATCCAGTTTACAAAAGCCCGCAAAAGGATATGGGATATGACATTGTGCGTCACCCAGTTGTCAAATTGGTTGATGAAACACATGCTAACTGCACTGGCTTCAGTCGAACTATTATGAAATACACCCACCTTTCGGTACAATGGACGACGTTCACCGCTTGATTAGTGAGCTGAAGAAACGCGATATGAAGCTGGTCATGGACCTCGTTGTCAATCATACTTCTACTGAGGTAAGTAACTACGTCTTAACCGTGTTGCAGTTGATCAAGCTGATTGGAGAAATTTTGTACTCTGCATAGCATCCGTGGTTCACTGATTCAGCGCTTTCGAAGGAAAGCATGAGACGAGACTGGTATGTCTGGCGACAGCCCAAATACGATGAAGAAGGCAATCGACAGCCACCAAACAACTGGGCCTGTCTCCTCGACGATTCGCAATCGGCCTGGAATTACCACCCTGGAACAGATGAGTACTATCTCTCTCTGTTTAGCCCGCACCAGGCGGACCTAAACTGGGAGAACCCAAGCGTTCGATGTGAGGTACACAACATTGCAAAATTCTGGCTCGAAAAGGGAATTTCAGGCTTCCGGATGGATGTCATCAACTTGATCTCCAAGGACCAGACATATCCCGACGCGGAAATTGTGTATCCAAACAAAAAGTACCAACCTGGCGACAAATACTTCGCCAACGGAGCACGGCTTTCTGAGTATCTCCAGGAACTGAAACGTGTCGTGCTCTCCAAGTATGACGTGCTCACTGTGGGAGAGATGCCATTCTTGGAGGATGAAGAACAGCGACTCCAGATGGTGAAGGCGGAAGAAGGTTGCCTCAACATGATTTTCACTTTCGAGACAATTGGGCTCGATATCGTCCCCGAGCAGGGACGTTTTAGCTTTAGACCGTGGGCTGTTGGCGAACTGGCAAAGGTCGTTGATAGGTCACAGTCTATGAACACGCATCTGGGATGGGAGTCGCTGTTCTGCGAGAACCACGACCAACCTCGTTCTGTGTCGCGGTGGTGCGACGACTCGGATGAGCACCGCGTCGCCGGTTCCAAACTCCTCTGTATGATGCAAATCACCCTCACAGGTACCTTGTACATATACCAGGGCGAAGAGCTTGGTATGCGCAACATACCCGCCGAATGGGGCCCCGAGGAGTATAAGGATGTTGAGTCCATCAGCTACTGGAGCCTGTCAGTGTCGTCAATCTCAAGCCTCCGAAAGAACCTGAAACTAATCATGCCCTTGTCTATAGCGTATGCTCAATGTGGCCTTATGGATCTCCCGAACGGAAGAGGGCGAAGGATCTTCTGAGGCGCAAAGCGCGTGACAACGCCAGGACCCCATTCCAATGGGACTCCACATCGAATGGCGGCTTTTGTCCTCCCGGCGTCAAGCCTTGGATGCGCGTTAACGATGATTATCCTACGGTCAACGCGGCTGCCCAGGTAGCAGCGGGAAGGGCAAACGAACGGACCATGATTGTGCCTCCGTACCGGTTCTGGCAACGAGCTCTTGAGATTCGCAAGCGATATGCCGACTTGTTTATCTACGGCGAATTTGAGCTCATCTAAGACACGCACCCGACCGTATTTGCGTTTAAGAAGAGTTGCAGTCGCGAGTCAGGCATGTCTATCACAGTCTTGAATTTTAGTGCTGAGGAGGCTGAGTTCAAAGTCCCCACGGATTATGAGGTCTGGTCTTGGGTGCTGGGTAGCTATGATTCGTTGTCAACTGAGAAGCCTTCGGAGGGAACCGTTCGTTTATTGCCCTGGGAAGGCTTGGTTGGCTTGTGCAAGGTTGGGCGCGGGTGAAATTAGCATTAACCAGAGTAAAGACCCATCCAAGATCGTACATCAGCTGCTATGAAGCCAAAGTATTAATCGATACATGAGGTTTTATAATTAGTCGTCCTTGAAGCTAAAAAAACATATCCGCAGCTTTACTACCTCAGGGTCAAACATCTTAAAGTCACTGTGATATCTATTATCTGTCACATTTATATCGTGATCGCCGTGGAGATATGGACCAAAACTCTGGAGGTGGTGCTCCCCTCTCTGATCAGATCGACTAAGTATCCAACTACATTCGCAGTCCCACTGCTACGAGCTATGTCACGGTTGACGTGGCTCAGGCTGTGCCGGCCGTGGATTGGTAGCTTTTGCGCCCTCAACCTTGTTGGAAATCAGGCCGCTGAGTTTTAAGTCTTAAAGAAAACGAGCATGGATGTATTACTGTCGATCTAAGATATAATTTAGAAGGCAAATTTATTGTAAAACCTATTCAGACATTCCTTTTACGTTGGCAGCCATCGCGTCTCTTTCTCCAGGGTCGCCCACAATCAGCACGTTTTCTGAATCCGCCTTTTGAAAAGCCACAAAACTGTAAGATTTATACCCCAAGGACCTTCCAGGCACACATTCTTGATAAGCAACTAACCTAACTGCCATTCACCTTGGCACCAAAATGCCCTCTTAGGGGCCGATCTACCTTATATAGTAATAATCGTCGTCCCTTGGATTGGTAGGAAGGTGAAATTTTGCTAAATATGATGTTGGATATCTAGATGTACCAATGCCGATAGGATCTTGATATGGCCCCCCACGCTAGTAACTAAATCAAGCTACCGAGCTCCGGGTACTCAAGGAGTTGAACCGAGTGTGGGTATATTGATATGAAATTTAGGATGCGATGTGAAGGTATATCCGTTGTGGATACCTATCCATGCATCGCCATCACGTCAGCAGCCAGCGGCCGGACCCTGTTCCGTCCACGCTGCAAGACGAGGGCCAATTGCTGCGTGAGAGAAGGCTACTCGTGATTTTTACCATAATAGGGATTTTAGCGCGTCCTCAGCCCCGCGTAGGGCAGACAAGACCCCCCAATCTCAACCCCGCGCCTCTCGAACAAGGTAGGGTAGACCAATAGCAGATCGGGGTGATGTTCTCTGGGCAAACCCGCTCGTATCACGACGGAACTAATGCCCGGCAAGACTAGTGCGGAAAAAGCAATTCTGGTAAACCGGTTCCTCAACGGTCCTGTGTCCAAAACCTTGCAGCTTCACGCATTCCTTTCACCCTTACATCACTGGCGTAATAATTCGTATTAATTGCCTCATCTATTATCATATCACTGGGTAAGGTAGTGAACAACATTCTTGAATCAAATGAAGGAGAAAGATGTTGCCAGTGATTTCCTGAAAATGCTAATAAAGCCTCATCATCGTCATGAGGGCTTAGTGCTTGCGAGTTATCTCTATTAATGTCTTAGATGTGAAACCCAAAGCACTGTTGGCCTTGTTTTTCCGTCCTAGTCCTTTTTTCCGAATCCACACACCTTACTATGTCGCAAGCCACTCGGCAGTATGTCCAGGATCCTGCAGAGTGCGGCTATCCAATGTACTTCTTCGACACCAGTAACAACGCAACGTTCTGGCACACCGATGATTTCCTCACAACTGGCTATTATGAGCATCTCGCACTGGACTTTGATCTTCTACAGGACATCAATCAAGACACGTTTATTGATGAAGTAGGTCATCAGTCTATACCTCAGTATGAAACAAGACAATAGGAAAGATCTCTCATTAATAACACATACACCAGAATGTTGGTGGGGTATTTAGCAGGAAGTTTGGCGACAGTCCGACAGATGCGGGGAAAAGCCATGACATTGTTGACGCCGAGTCTCCGCTGGACTCGCAGGAGTTTTTAGCTCCACGACAAGAAGAACCAGGTATACAACAGCAAGCAGAAACAAACTGTGGCGGTCTTCTAACCGTCTCCAATGATTGTTTTAGTCGAATCCTCCTTTTTTCCGATATTTTCGAGCTACAATGCTCTGACCCAACAACCATTTCAACAACAATGTGATACGAACATGTCACCACATATCAGCCCTACTACAGAGGTAGGGATTCTGTCGCCAGTCTCTTCGACAACGTCGAATACACTACGTAGTCATACCGAGACCGAGAGAAACCGTGCTAGAAACCGCGCCGCTGCGTCCCGGTATAGACGGAGGTCTCAGTGTCAAATGGACGAGCTACAAGAGCTGGAGAAGTCGCTGGGGGAAAAAAACGCAAAGCTACAAGAGGAGCTACGTATTCTAAAGGAGGAAGTCCTACAATTGAAAGGAGAAATACTTAGGCATAGTGATTGCAACTGTGATTTGATCAACGGGTTCTTGTCCAAATCCGTTCTTGAATTCACAAAGCAACAGAAGACATCCTAACGTTCCGTTTCTCAAATGCATTCATCATTGTACAAATTAGGGAGTAAACATCCAGTCCATCAATCTGGCTTGACCCATAATAACCGTAATCTGACACAAGACGAAACACCTAGCCATGTATCGAGACAGCAGAGCAGTTTAAACATAGATGAGATTCAACTTGTTATAACCTAATTTCAATTTCCAGCACGTATGATGCACTCTCGAGTTAGTTTGTTCGCTTGGGTTTCTTCTGCCCAAGTATTCCCTTGTAGTACTACAGAATTTCATTATAGTTGTAACTCGGACTCAGGCTTCGATTGACAAGGTGATGGCTTCAAATCGTCTCAATGACCTTGCCCTGATGGGAAAGTGACCCGTAGTTGGGAATGATCTCTTTCTGGGTGCTGGCTTAAGGAAGGTTCACAGTCAGATGAACTACTGGGCTTTACACAAATTTGGCAGGGAACAAAGAGCGCCGTTGCAAGGAATTTCGTGCCACTGGCTCTCGACACAAACATCGTTGAAACGTAACTGTTACTACATTTCGGCTTGCATACATACGGGTGTAGACAAGGCAATCGGCCACGAGGGTAGCGCTGCAACCCGCCAGGATGTCACATCATACTCAGTAGAGCCGGGCAAGAAGTAGATGATGAAAACTCTGTGCTGAATGACTATGAACGACGTCAGAATTCCTTGGGGGCCAAGCATCATCAAACACACGGATGTCATCATCAGAGTGATCCCATCGACATTGAGCGGCCCGGACCTGCAGTTGCTACACGCAAAAATCCTCCAAAACCAGAAAGGATGTCTTAGGCTATGAGTCTATCCCATCAACCGCGAATGGACCCCATTTTCGCCAAGCCTTTAGATTCCCACTTTTAGAGCCACTTTTACCCCTCACAACTATCGGTACAATAGTAATACGACATTTATCTCAATATGCCGTTCAGTGCCGTCACCATACAAACTGACACTACGATGAATGTGACGATATCGTTAAGCGATTCTGACGCTTCTAACGCCTCTGGTGCCACTAAGGCTTCCGTGAAAAGTACGATATATGTTGAGATCCTTCCGGAAGACCTCGATACCGCTTGCAACGCCGACTGTACGCCGGAGCGGTGTGATAGTAGTACGGTCCGGCCCCGTGAGCCCCCGGCTGTTGAGCGTGGCCCTCCGGGCTCATTCGTTCCGTTTGACGTACCGGCCCGGGCCCGAGAGATACGGGGCTTGCCAGCGGCACCGTTAGACCTCTTCTTCCGCTACGTCCCCCGGGACCTTGTTGAGAAGTGGGTTAGCTGGACGAACGCGGCACCGGTATAGGGTCCCTAGCCTAAACGGTCACGAATAAATTCGTGGGAGAAGACTTCTATAGACGAGGTTTACCTCTTCTTAGGAATTTTGATTTATATAGGAATTCATAGTGAATCCCAATTAGAGGGATATTGGGAAGCTGGGGATAACAAGGAACGTCCCATCTACCCATTTACCCGGTTTATGCCTCGGGACCGCTTTGAACTTCTACTCCAACGTATCCGGATTTTCAACACTTCGGAGTTCCAGCCTCGCCGCCAGTCCCGGGTGTTACGACCCGACAGTTAACAGACCACTGACGACGACCCCGCAGGGGCTCAGCGGTTATAGATTGATGATTGATTGATTCCTACACGGTTATGAAGCCGCTCTTATGCTAGCAGCTATGCCCGGAAAGCGGGGTTTGGCAGACAGCCGAAGCATCGACGATAAACCGCGACGCCCCACTTCGCCCTGTTGTTGGATCAGGACCAGCTGTCCCCAAGCTCCCACTATGCTATCTATTCTTGTGTGTTTATGCCCTCTGTTGAAGATTGTTGTCCTCCTGCCTGCTCTCTCGCTTGGTGTTGCCTTCTAGAATCCTTCTTTCGCGTCCTCCTACTTCGGTTCTGTTGGTGCTAGGCACCATGTCTGGTTCTGTATACCTATAGTCTCCCCCCAGCCCTCAGCTTCGTCTCTTTATCTTGTCCGCATCCTCTCAGACTCGCATGTGCTATATCTCAGTTGAATCTGTAAATCTTTTTGTTGCCTCATGCTGGGTTCCTATGTGGCTCTATGTTTCCATCTTTCGACCACCACCTCCATCCACCGCCTGGAGTCGGACTCAATCCGCAAAACACAATGCTCCAACCGCTTCGATTCGTCCGATTACTAAGTATGAGAGCTCGTACACAGATTCCGCAGACATTGTCATACGTTGAAGGGGCGACAATCCTTCTTCGCGGAGGGGGCGACAGGGGACCAATCTGTCTGCAAACTGTAGTATTTTGTGGCATCGATCGTAGCATGCCTGGTGTCTGGTGCTTTCTCTATGCAGGAGGTGATACCGTTCTGTCGGGCTTGTCGTCGTTGTTGTCGCGGGACGTTGCAAACTTTGTCGGGGGTGATAGGCGACCCATAACCTATCGGTGGCTGTGGTGTTGATGTTTGTTTGGGCTTGGTCGTTGTGCTCACGTGATAGCCCGTGACTCAACCGCGGTGGTGTCGATGGTGTTGTCTATTGACGTGTCATACTTTGTGGCTTGCTCTCGAATTTTTCGTGGTCAGAGCCCGCCCGCGGCCACGAGCAGGCTCTTTGGGAGCAGAATCAATGCCGAGGATGACATTATGCCCAAAGTGACCTCTGAGAGCGCGAGCGGGCGTGGTTTGATCAATTTGATGCTGTTTTCAAAAATTTCGTTCTCGCTGTTGTTGATGTTTGCTCAGCGGTTATAGGGACGGCCGTCAGCCGTTACGTCGTAACAACCCCCACGGAACGGAAGAACTAGGATACAGGTCACGTGACGATAAGCAGGACCGACGGACGATAAGCGGTCCTGGGACAGGACCGACGGTGCCAAGGGCGGTCCGAAAAACATCAACAACAGCGAGAACGAAATTTTTGAAAATCGGAGCAAAAACGGCCCCAAATACGCGTGCTCGCGGCCACAGAGCCCCCTTCGATGCAATGCCATCCTCGGCCTTGATTCTACGTCCCAAAGGGGCCCAAGATGGCCGCAGAGCACGCCCCGACTACAATGAAAAACTTGAGAGCAAGCCGCAAAATACGACATATCAATAGACAACACTGTTACCACCACCACAGGCGAGCCACAAGCCGCTACACGAAGCACTAAGACTGCGCCCAAACAATCAACTTCAACACAACAGCCGCCGACAGGTTTTGGGTCACCTGTCACCCCCGACAAAGTTTGCAACGTCCCACAACGACGAAGATGAGTCCGACAGAACAGTATCACCTTCCGCACGGAGAAAGCACCAGGCATTAGGCATGCTACGATCGATGCCACACAATACTACAGACCACAGACAGACTGGTCCCCTGTCGCCCCTTTTGCGAAGAAGGATTGGTGTCCCTTCAACGCGCGACAATGTCTGCGGAATCTGTGCGGGAGCTCTCATACCCAGTAATCGAACATGTCGGAGTCAGTGGAGCATTATGCTTCGTGGAAGACCCTTGGGCCAATGTGGTGGAGGGCAATAGTGGTCAACAGGCAAGAAACAAGAGGCCACATAGGAACCCGGCAGGAGGCAACAAAGAATTTACAGATGCAACTGAGAAAACGGCATATACAAGTCCGGGAGGATACGGACAAAACAAAGAGACAAAGCTGAGCGCTGGGGGGAGACTGTAGGTACAAAGAACCAGATACGGTGCTACCAGCACCAACTGAACCGAAGCAGGAGGACGCAAAACAAGCATTCTAGAGAGCAACACAAAAGCGAGAAAGCAGACAGGAGAGCAACACACTTCTTCAACAGAGGGCACAAACACACAGAATAGAGAACATAGTGGGGAGCTTGGGGATAGCTGGCCCTGATGCAACATCAGGGCGAAGTGGGGCGTCGCTGTTCATTGTCGACGCTTCGGCTACCTGCCAAACCCCGCTTTCCGGGCATAGCTGCTGGCATAAGAGCGGCTTCATAACCGAGTAGGAATAAATCAATCAATTAATCAATCGACCGACGGTGCCAAGGGCGGTCCATGGCGATGGACCGACGTCCTGGGTGTCGGTCCCCCAGGATCAGGAAGTGTTCAGCATGGAACCAGACTTGTATATAGTTGGGACTCGAGTCCTCTCGAGTCCTACCTTTCCTAGTTCTTCAGCAATCAACTTCGTAATTACCCTAACCGGTACTTTCAGCTATACCTAAGTGACGACTACTCTACGACTCTTGTTGAGGCCTTGACTGATCACCAAGACCTTTGAAGATCTACGATCTATTCGACCAGGACCACGGAACGACTGTTACTACTCTCAATCCCTGGCTTACTGTTAACACAAACCCACTGTCAGTTAGCTAGCCGTAACACTTTGATTGCTCCTGTTCAGTAAGTCACCTTTTGAGAACTACTAAACAGTATAGACAAGATGTCTTCTCGCGCTTCTGCCAAATCACCTACTCCAGGATCCTCATCCTCTTCGCGCAACCAGCCTCAGAGCCTCGCGCAGGAGCCCGCCAACACTGAGGACTTCGACATGCCGGACCTCAAGTACGACTCCGATGGAGATGGCTCTTTCACCAAGGAAAGCTACGATAAGCTCCGACGCATAATCCAGAAACAAGAAGCCGAGACAAAAGACATGCAGAAAATCGTCAACGAAAACCGACAAGCAATGGAAAACCTCAACGAGCAACTCCAGCACGCTAGACAGGCCTACAAGAAGCTGGAAGAAGACATCAAGGGGGACGCCAACCTCCGGAAGATCCAGGAACTCCAGGGGGAAATCACCACCCTCCGGGCCGCCGCCAACATCGTCACCACGCCCGTCCACGGAGGACGACAAAAGCTCAAGCTCAGTACGCCTGTCACCTACGACGGAACCCCCGGGACCCTTAAAGGATTCCTAATTCAGGTCAAAAACTACTAGAACTTTCACCATGGAGATTTCACTAACGAAACCGAAAAAGTAGTACACGCAGCCACCTACCTCCGAGGAAAGGCCCTCAAGTAGTTTAAACTAATCTAGGAAGAATACCTCAAATGCGAGACCCTCGACGAGTGCACTACCGAGACCCGCGACATCTACGCTAATTTTAAAGGATTCGAGGATGCGCTCAGGTCACTCTTCCAAGACCCCGACGAAAAGCGACAAGCCGAACGAGATCTGGCACAACTTAAGCAGACTAAGTCCGCCAAAGACTACTCCGCCAATTTCCGACAACTTAGCGTTTAACTCGACCTTACCGAGGAAACCAAGATCTTTATGTTCTATCAAGGACTAAAAGACGAAGTCAAGGACGAGATCATCAAGATTGATCGACCTGACGACTTTCTCTAGTACGCCGAACTCGCCATCAAAATCGACAACCAGCTTTTCGAACGACGAAAGGAAAGAGGCGAAAAACGACAAAACCCCAACTCAGGACGCAAGTACCAGTGGCAGCCTCAGCACCAGTTCAACAACCAGCGAAACGACAATAGACCCCGCAACAACTAGAACAACCCCCGACAAAGTACTGCCTATGGTCACTACAGTGGACCAATGGACCTTAGTGCTACACAGAGAAACGACAAAAAGAACGACAGTTGGAAGAAAGATAGACAGTGCTATAACTGCCAGAAGATTAGACACCTAGCATACGAATGCAGGTCACCTAAGAAGGAACGCTTCCAACCGGTACCAGAGAAACGACAAGCGAGTATCGCTACGAAGACGATCCCTCATGAACAACTCAACTAGACCACCTGCTTCGATGACAACTGCCATATCCACTCTAGCAGTAAGGAACACGCAGGATGGTACCCCCAGAAACCTCAAGAACGATCTGGTTACGACACTACCAACGCACCTAAACGGACCCTCGCTGTGGGATATAGAAGCAATAGCAAAATCGAGCGCAAGACAATCGAACAGCTCGATAGTATAAACGACAACGAGGAATTAGAACAAGACAATCAGCGAAGACTAAACCTCCTCTACGCAGGACGACAAGCCAACCTGCAGCGGATTCAACAGGACTTACAAAACCCTATGTGGCAACGACAACTCGGTGCGCTGGACGCACACATCGAACGACGACAACATGCACAAGGAGATCCCGCACGGATCCGCCAAATCAACCAAGAACTGGAAGAACAGGTCGAATCAGAAACGACCAAGAACACCCCCAACGACTCGGAAACACCTCGCGATGTTGCCCGCCAACATGCCCAACTGGAAGTCGCCTTTGAAGTCGCTTCAGTCAACGACACCAGCTCTGGAGAGGACTCTGACGAAGAAATACAGTGGTATCACTGCTACCAAGACCAGCGCCGAGTCCACTATATCAAGAAAGACGAAGCA